TTTGACCCCAGTTTGGACACGTGACATGTTGGGGCTGGGCCACTGATACTTTTGACAAAGTTTGGTTGAAATCCATCAAAATATGTAGGAGCAATGGACAACGTTTGTTACTAACTAACAGACTAACAGAGAGACAACATGGTGATTTGTTAAGCTGCTATCTCGCAGCTACAAATACCCTGGACTAGTTTGTGAGACCATGGTGTGACCACCAACACTGAGCAAGGAGAGCAAGTAGGGGTAGGGCGGTACCTTGTTCGCACATCGGTATGTTGTTCTAAGTACAACCAAAAATGCTAATTCAAAAATTGGTTTCAAAATATTATTCTACAACTAATTCCAAAACACATGACAGAATTTTTTTTGTGAGATCATTTCTAACAATCATTATCTTAACCCCCTGATTCAGTTTGTCATATGACCCAACCCAGAAATTTAATAATTCATAACAAATCCTGATACGAATCTGGGCCAAGTACCAGCCAACAAGCCATCAGAGTTAATGGAGATTGACGGGGACCAGCTGTGTCCCAGTGAGGTCGAGTGGTCTGGTGGTCAGTGGGGCTTGAAAGTGCAGGTCAGGGCACGGTGAACCCCTGACCTCATATGACTCTCAACAGGTCTATCCCTTCTAATTGACTATTGACTATGTTCCAAAGAGAAAGTTGGGGGAGACCACCAGGAGGGGCTCTTGAATGCATTCCCAATGGTGCCTGACCCTCACGCAAAGCAAAATGGTGCACATTCAATATGAAGTTAGGTAGCCCTATCCTCTCCGAGTGATCTCCGGGTTTGAAGCATTTATGTTGCTAGCAATCCTGGGGGTCCGCTCATAAGTCCGACAACTCATAGGTCCGACGCCTCATAAGTCCGACAAAATCGCATCCCCTAACCAAATATAGGTCCATAAGTCCGACGCCTCATATAGTCTGATGCCTCATAGGTCCGACGCCTCATAGGCTTCGGACTTATGATACGGCCCCCAATCCTGACTTTGGGCATGATCCCTGGCTACGCAGGCTTCTGACTAGTGCCCATTAAACAATGACGTGGGAAACTGGCACTGAGTCTTAAAGCCTTCTGACAAGTCTTGGAACTTTTCTAGAAACCCCCCCCCCCGAAAACCTCTTGGAACCTTCTAAAAACCTTTCTAGAAACCTCTCTAAGAACTTTTTGGAGTCTTCCTCAATCCAACGAAATCCAACACTATGGGCTGGCACAATTAGGGTACTTTTTCAGAACTTTTCTAGGAACCCTCTGGGAAACTTTATTGCAACCTTTCTAGAAACCTTTCCAGGAACATTTTTAGAGTCTTCCTGAATCCAACAAAATCTAAGATAAGAGTACTTATCTTGGACCTTTTCTAGGAAACCTCCAGTGATCTTTCTAGGAACCTTTCTTGTGACATTTCTTATAACTTTTCTAGGAGCCTTCCCTAAGCCGCTAAAATCTGAAGCTGTCCAAGTCCACATTCTTTGTACCTGCGCCATCAAAGCTGTGGGTAAAGTAATGAATCCAGAGGTCTACAGTCATGGATCCTTCAAAACCAATCAAAATTTTTTTTATTCGGTAGTACCTTTGTTTTCTCCCATCATACAAACCCAACCAGTAACCACTGTCCAATTGAATTCAACTATCAATCCTTATAGAGTTGAAAATAAACTCCATGTGACCTTTTTCAACTACAAGGTGGCGAGCCCACTAACTGTCCATCAGTAAGGCCCTTGTAACACATTCACCTATAAACAGCAAGGCAGACTGTTGTCTACATACATGTAATGGATAAAAACCTAGACCCCTTGGCCTAGAAATATAAACCTTGAAAGTCAAATGTTGTGTTGATAACAAATGTAAACTTCAGAACCTCTTCCTGCTTGCCTTGAGGTCAATCTTACACGGTTTACCCTACTTTTCATTTTTTTTTGCAGTGTGTAGTATTTCAACCCAACCAGCAGTAATTTTGCTGACCTGTCGTTACTCTTGACTCTTGCTGGCTCACATATCCTTTGTTATCTTGATTAACTTCAACTCAAGGCAAAGTAGAAACTCTCAGGACAAGCCACCCACTCTAAGGCCTGTGTCCTGAAATGGACATTGTCAAAGTCTAGGGCTATTCTACAACTACAAGGGTCATTCTATAAATTTAGGGTCCAATGTGTGACATTTTTCCAGTTCTCTTAACCTTGAACCTTTGTCATTTGTCATTCACTGAGAATGACTTCCAACAATTTTTTGTATGTTGGGTACATGTTATTCATGTGCTCTTGGAGGAGGAGTGCATCAGAATGATTTTATCATTGATGTCTGATGTAGAATGACCCCCACACAATTAGTGTACATGTACCAACTACAGAATGGGGATCGTACATGCGTAGAGTTCTGTGGATAGCAGACCCATGAAATTGGGCCCAGACCCAGACTGTAGTCAAATGTGGAATCTTTTTCACCATCATCTTCAAGTTCAACCAGTGACCAAAGGTGTAATATTCGCATAAGCTATTCAACAAAAGAAAATCCAGCACAAATTAGTCCGTTCATTATCAACATTTAAACCAGTTACTGAAATGACACGAGGCAAACAAAAGCCCCTTCCCAGATACCGGCACCGGTAGATCACAACTTTATCATATGGCTGGAAATTTGAACTGCGATGAAAACATCAAGGTTTTTTTTTTAAATTAAAGTCCCCTGCAGTGACCCCAAACCCCTAGTGAAACCTCCACAACTTAAAAGAGGCTTTAAATCTTTCAAGGGGAGGGGGAAATAAATACCCCCACCCCACATGTCAACCCCCTCCCCTCCCCAGTGCCACCCCTTCCATTCACCTCACCTTGACCCCCAAGAAATGCAAACAATTTGTAAAATTGCTAAATTTATCACTCTCCATTTCTGAACCCACGAGTATATTTGTTACAGTTTTCTTTTTGCCGCAACTGACACGAGTATATATTGAGAGGAGCGCTAGGAATCAGGCTGTGCCCGGTGTTCCTATGGGGGCCTAATTTCAAGGGAAAGGTCCACATGCGTGAATGATGGTTACCAGACCGGACGATGACAGTTTCAGAGGGAGGGTGAAGTCCTGCCCATGCATTCACAACAATATTATAGGTTAAATTTATGAGAGTGCTGTGTGGATATGTATGGAGCAGGGCTCTTGAACAAGGGAGTAAAATCAACTCAATCAATCATATTTGTTCTCCTCATTCCCTCTTGTGGTAAAATCCAAACATGTGAACTTCAAAAGGGGCACACTCTCATGTCGGTATTAGGCCTACATGGGCTCTGTGCACAATTATCCCGTCAAAGGGAAAACCTGTTACTTTCAAATAGACATTAAAAATAGGCAAATTCCCAAACATAACATAGTGCTTTCCAGAACAGTTTGGTCTTCTTGACTGATAAACTGGTACCTCGTACAATACTGTGGATTGAGCATGAACAGGATTGTTAACCAACTTAAACAGACTGGTAAAACGTGGCTGAATCAATAGGTTGCTTGAATTCAAATGATTACCATTTCAATACATATCCATACATCATAAATAGTGGGGAAAAAATGACATAGAAATATTGATTCTAGTCTTCCAATTGAGTGACTATCTATCATCCATCCACATCTTCCATCATCCTATTACCCCTAAAAAAATCTTCATTAAAAATGATTTGGTGGCCAGATATTATTAATGTCTCTCTCTTTCCAAAATTCCGCAGTGCATGCCCCAAAAGCCAAAGGTTTGGAGAAGGGTATGTGCGAATCTAAATAGGGGTAGGGGTGTGTCAGCGGTGCAGGGCAGGGGTCCGTTGGGTTGACTTATGGTCCCCATACCGATATGTGACGGGAATCGGGATGATTTAAACCCTTGGCCTCCTTTTCTACGGTTCACCGAAACAAAATGAATTGCGCAAATAACAGGGGAAAACTATTTCATGCAAATGTGGAGTTTTGATTTGAACGGAACAGAAACTACATTACACTCAAGAATGGGGTTTATTTCAGGGCTGTGTTTTAAAACAAACTTTTTTACAGGACAATTTCAGACCATGAGTTTGTTAAACTTATTCCCCGATGAATTCATAAAACGATACAGTAAAGAGGTGGTTTGTGGTGGTACAAGGAGTAACAGGCAGGGCAGTATGAGACATTACAGGGAGTAACATCCAGGGCAGTTTGGGGCGGTACAGGGAGTAACAGGCAGTGGCAGTTTGGACAGCACAGGGAGTACATGTAACCGGCAGGGTGGTTTGGGGCAGTATTAAGGGAGTAACAGGCTTGGCAGCTTGGCGCAGTACAGGGAGTAACAGGCAGGGCGATTTGGAACATTACAGGGAGTAACAGGCAGAGCAGTTTGGGGCAGTACAGAGAGTACCAGGCAGGGCAGGTTGGGACATTACAGTACATGGAAAAACAGGCATTGCAGTTCGAGGTGGTACAGGGAGGAACAGGCAAGGCAGTTTGAGGCGGTACAGGGAGTAACAGACAGGGCGGTTTTGGCCTTTACAGGGCCAGGGGCTAATCACATGTATATTTTTATGAAGTTGCTCAGCCAATAATATTCATCTTTATACAGTTTCAATTTCCAGTCCATTTATGTTAAAACGTATGACTGCTAAAACCTAAACAAACCAAACAAATTTACCCATTACTTGCTGAACCGCCCCGAACCACCCTGCGAGTTACCCTACTGCCCAAGCATGCTATAGTTTTATTGATTCATCAGGGAATACATACAATGTAATACAATGTAATACAAAATGTAATACAATGTAATACAATGTAATACAATGTACTATAGTACAGGTGCTAATGGGTTAAAGAATTAAACATCATCTGGACTGAGAGACACTGTCCTCCCCTTCCTGGAAAAAGCAGGAAAGCCCTTGAATGCATTTTAAGACCTTGACAAAGAAATCATGTAATTGGAAATTGAGTACCACAAGCATGAACAAAGAGAATACTCTTGAGAGTTTGTACAATATTATAAGAATAACAATGGGCCTACCTCATCTTTGAGTAGTTGTACCAGGGCATCTTTCTCTTTCTTGAGGCCTTTGAGTTCATCGCAGGCTTTGGGGTTCTTACGGTTGAGCTCTAGGAGAGCTATGTGGGCGTCTTTCTCCCCGATGGCGGCGGTTATTGCTTCTTGTCTGCAAGGAACGAGGTTGGAGGGAAAACGATAATCGATTCAGCACTTTGTCCCAGTTAATAGAGAGACATAACACAAATCAACATCGTCTACAGGCTTTCACAGGACAGACCTGGCCGGCACAAATTCATCACAAGGGTCACTAAGAGTCAAATATGACGAAATCGAAAGTAGCAGAGCAGCAGAAATAAAGGGATCTCTGGAGGGATTCACTTCGGTAACTCACGTTACGGTAACAGTTTGTCCACCCATCTTTGGTACAAGTTACAACATATAAGAAACTGAAATCCAACAAAAATACTTTTTTTGCATAAAATATGAACCTCTTCCTCTGCCTTAAAAAACACTCACAACAACACTTGCATTTGGCATGTAAAAACAAGGTGCTAAAATGACTACCTAAAATCCATAATTTTAGCCCCCCCAAAAGGGTTGTTTTTGGGACAAAAATTACTTTTAACCATACTCCATCTCACTGAGGTTGTGATACTTGCTGTTTTGTAGATTTCATAGATTTTCAATTTTTCAGCCACGTCCACTTCTCATGTCATGGAGTTGCCCATATACATGCCCAACAATGCAATAGAACAGTGCATATTGCACTATTGGCCCAACATTGTGCAGTATGGTGCTAGTTTGCAATATGGTCCTACAATGCAATATATACCGGTCCAATAATGCAATATAACAGTGCAATAATATGGTCTAACACTGCAAAATTTTGTCCAACAGTACGGCACCACAGTGCAATGCACAGTCCCACAATGCAATTTACAATCCCATAATTTACAATCAACCGCATTGTTGATATCTTTGCCAAAAAGAAATTCTACCTAACTCCTGTGTCAACATAATATCAAGCTTCATATTTCAAACAAAGCTCCCAAAAATGCAAAATAATATATAAACAATCACATAAACACAATACTACACAAACACGTCTTAAATAATACTTGAAAAATCTTATTTCTTACCCCCACCCTTAAAAAAAATCCCCCCTTGTTTACATCCTGTACATGTACTTTATGACTACACCTGCTTCTCCCAATACTGAAGACCTGCCAGCGATGGCAGACACACTAAAGTACCTTGGCCCCTATCAAGACTTTTCCGCTAGTCTGGGCTATGTATCAGGCTTGGCACCGTTTCTACTTAAATACTTTGACTTATATACCAAGACTGCACTACCTATCCCACCTGCCTTGAGTAATGTGAAACCTGGTCTACTTGTCAAAACAACAGATGTCCGTACTTGAGTAAAATAAACCCCCAAACTACAAGAATTCAGATAAGATTTAAAGGTTTGCATGGTGAAGTACTGTGAGCAATAAAAGTAGATTTTGGGGAGCACCATTTGAAGGAATCTCTTCTTGTGAGTTTGTGATGAGGTTCTGAAAAAGAACTTCACAAACTCACCAAATTGTGAGGTTCTGAAAAGTACTTCACAAACTCACCAAATATGAGGTTCTAAAGAAACTTCACAAACTCACAAAATATGAGGTTCTAAAGAAACTTCACAAACTCACAAAATTGTGAGGTTTTGAAAAGTAATTCACAAACTCACCAAATTGTGAGGATCTGAAAAATACTTCACAAACTCACCAAATTGTGAGGTTCTGAAAAGTACTTCACAAACTCACCAAATTGTGAGGTTCTGAAAAGTAATTCACAAACTCACCAAATTGAGAGGATCTGAAAAGTGCTGCACAAACTCACCAAATTGTGAGGTTCTGAAAAGTACTTCACAAACTCACCAAATTGTGAGGATCTGAAAAATACTTCACAAACTCACCAAATTGTGAGGTTCTGAAAAATACTACACAAACTCACCAAATTGTGAGGTTCTGAAAAGTACTGCACAAACTCACCAAATTGTGAGGATCTGAAAAGTACTTCACAAACTCACCAAATTGAGAGGTTCTGAAAAGTACTTCACAAACTCACCAAATTGTGAGGTTCTGAAAAGTACTTCACAAACTCACCAAATTGTGAGGTTCTGAAAAGTACTTCACAAACTCACCAAATTGTGAGGATCTGAAAAGTAATGCACAAAATCATCAAATTGTGAGCTTCTGTAAAGAGCTTCACAAACTCACCAAATTGTGAGGTTCTGAAAAGAGCTTCACAAACTCACCAAATTGTGAGGATCTGAAAAGAGCCTCACAAACTCACAAAATTGTGAGGTTCTGAAAAGTACTTCACAAACTCACCAAATTGAGAGGTTCTGAGAAAAAAAAGAGATTTCTTGTCCATTGGAGAACCGCAAAAAAATACACTCTTATTAAAATAATTATTCTACAGTTCTTCAGGACTGCTTTTAGATTCTGCTAATTAAGATTTTAATGATGAGGAAAATGTCAAAATTTCGTGTATTTACAGTATTGAAAATTCTGTTATATAGCTTGACAAAATTAGGGGTGTTGGAATTGCACTGCCATGTTTTTAGGTCCGTGCAGGCTACCGGCTGTGGTTTGAGAATGGGTCAAACTTGACATGGTGTTGTTTATTTTGCACAGCCCAAACGGAAATGCATTTTGATCTAATTTTCAAGACTTGTTAGGTGTCGAGGATCCGGTTATATACTACTTACTACAGGATTGAATTGGATGTGAAACTGCGTGTTAGTCGAGCCATTACATGTGGGCGGAATACAAACCTGCGGCGTTCTGGCAAAATGAGACAGAACTGGGCAGAGTTTGAAATGAGAGTTGACAGTTACTAGGAAAAAGAATAAAATGCTCCTTACAGTACTTTTTCTTGCAATTCAAGCGGACATTCTGTTGACAAGTTATGGCTGTTTAAAATTTGCATTTATTGACATGTCAAAAAAGTAAATATCAAAAAACAGGCCTTTAAAGTTTCGAGTTTTGTAGTCATGAACGTTTATGACAGCAATTGTATTTTTCATTAAAAACCCTTTAAGTTAACACATTATGTGCAGTAGACAAAGATTTCAAAATATCAATACATTTGAAAATCGAGAAACAATCACAGCAATTCGTCTATATGCATTTTTCTCCACTATGGCCTTTGTGCCCAGTTCTGTCATACTTTGCCAAAATGCTTCACAAATGACAGAGAAGTTGAATCGCATACAATTAATGACTGCTTCGAGTGGTGTAGTAAAACTAGCCTCCCTAGGTGATCCATGAAGCATTGTATTTTTTCCCGCGTCGAAGCCGATGGAAAATAGAATGCTCCATGTCCATGGATCACCGAGGGAGGCTAGTTTTACTGCATCACAAGACAAAGCAGTCAATATTTGTTTTATAGCACCTCTCCCACAGGTTCTGCATTATTTTAAACGATAACTGATAAATACAACTAAAATGTACTTCTATTTGAATACGAAATAAGTTGAGAATTTACTTGCACTTTTCCAAACAACCCCTTCATGAAATGTTTGAACCCAGTTCTGTAGCGCTTGGGAATAATATGCACAACGCACACACCCATATGCTTTTGCACACAATACCGGTTGTTTTGCATTGGTTTCTACAGGTTTACATGTAGTACTTTTGGCCGTGAACAGCAAGATAGCAAAACTAGCGAATGTCATGTGACTTGCTCTCGGCCAATCAAGATGCAGCATCTGTGGATGAGGTGTTATAATAAATACTAGTGCTGAAATCAATTTAGAACATTTCTGTATGAATTAAAAAAAACCAGAACTTTTATTTTTAAACAATTCAGTATCGTCATTGGTGGTCTTAACTCTCAGTGTTCTAAAAAGCTCTTTGCATCGTTTTGAGATATTCACACATAAATGAGGGTGTACTTTTTAAACAAAAAGTTGCTACTTTCTTATGTAAGAACCTTCAAACTTCATTTTTACCTAGACTGCTCAAAGGACCCATGGTACAACTGTTAGGGGGAACTCGGGTTTTTGGGGTTGCCCTTGGAAACTAATCTCATTCTTCCTTTTTGTGTGTGTGAGAGATTACTCAATCAAACCAACACTCTACAAATCAATCTCGACTGATTGGCCTTGGAACTGTGACAAACCGTTCAGCTAATACCAACCCATCCCTGAGATCAAGACAGAAACCAGCGATCCGCTTCGTGATGTACGACGTGGATTAGTGCCAGCTTGAGATCCCATTGCTGTCCACCCAGTAACCACCCAAAAACCCTAACCATCCATCACTTGGGAAACAGTGAGATCTTGATCGCACACCGAGGCCGAAGGGATTTTGAGATTAGACTTGTTGTCTTATTGTCCAAAGTCAGGCATGAATCAATCACACTGACTGACGTTAGGAAGCCTTGTGATCAACAGTGGGGATACATTGAGAGCTCACCCATGGAGATTTAATAGTTCCCTTGAGTGAAGGAAGGGATTTTGTGGGGGGGGGGGGGGGGTGGTGGTGGGGGGGGGGCAAGAGCTTAGAAGGACATCATGGACAGTTTAGGGCCTTTCTCATAAGGCTCTCCCAAAAAATATGCTGGGATGCCTGAAGTTTGGGGTTTGGTCTCAAATACAATTCAAGTCTAGAATGTTTTCCTGGTATTGCTTTTCCTTATAATCAGTACTACAAGGGAAACAATGGCAAATGACAACAACAGTGAAAGTTGAGCACATTTTACCCTTTTTTTTTATAAATTTAAAATATTTTTTTTTCAATGAATGCATGCATTTTTTTCCCGTATTCTGGTTGGAATTTTAACTTGACCAAAAAGACATTATGGCGGGCAAAACATTTGTCCGTATTTATTGTATGTCATTTTTAGAGTCTGGAAAGATGATTTGGTGAATTCTGATTCAATTTAAGCAATTATTTTGTAATTGCCTTCTGGCATTCAGATATATTTTGAAATTTTGAGGGGAAAAAAGTTCAATGCCAATTGCTCCTCACCAATCAAAAACTCCAGCCAAAAGGTCACTTTACTATGCACGTCAGAGGACAGCGCGCGACATGCGCCTTTTCCCTCGTGCAACATGCGCCTTTTCCCTCACGCAGCCGGAGGTATGCAGAAAGATAGCGTGCGAGGGTTAAGTAACATATTAAGCTTCTCCTCATTCCCCCCATGAATCATGCGACGAAACATGAAAAAAAAAAAAAACCTTCCCTCGCTGAGGTTGCAGAGGGAACATTTTTCTTGTAGGCTACGAAATTGGCTGTCAAAATTGAGTCCCGTTGAAATTTCTCCTTCTCTTGAAGATCGATAGCTTCATTTAAGACGTAGACAGCAGACTGCAAGACCTCAGCCCAAATTGAGTCGTCAATGTTCCCCATGTCTGACTGGTTTTGAAAAATCAGTAAATTTCTATTACGCATGTCAACAAATCTAATAAAATTGGGGGGGGGGGGGGGGCGGGAAATGCTACCTTGTACCGGTAACTTGTTATGTTCCACTGTTTTATTCAATCTGTGGAAATCAAATCAAATGCAGGTGGAAGTTGTAAAAATTTGGCTCGGTACGAGTTGCACAATTCAGCGGTTCTACTTGGCTTTGATAAAAAATAAATCAGTAAACTTCCATTTGGTCGGTAAAGCAACTAAATGCATTTCTATATTAAAGTTTTCCCCTCGGCAGTATTTGATAAAATTCTGGAATGACTTTTCTGTTTCTATAAAAATAAAAGTCGTGTTATGCTTCAACAGTGACCGCACTGGAATCGATTCTGACCGCACCATCTGGAATGGGATCTGGAATGGGTTGCACCTAAAAGTGATTGTGACTGGACGACGGCGCCGGCCATGCCAAATACCGACCAATCAGCCTCGCTGACAATAATTGTGTAGGCATTTTTGCGGCGTCCAATTATTAATCTAACTGGGATGGAGTTTGAAAAGCGTGTATTTTTCATTATCAAATTGAGACGTTACCTGAAATTTCCTGGCCGGGCCACGTGCCTGTGGCAATATGATTAGGCCATTTGGGAGCCGGAATAATTCTTTGAAACTACAGAAGTATTTCCCTCGCAGGGAATTTGATCAAGACAAAGCCTACACGCTAACCGCTGTTGATTTTCATGCCAGACCTAATTCTACATTTAAATTTTTTAGAAAATGACTTCCAAACTATTGTTGAACTGAGAAGCTGGAATGTGAGAAACCATAATAATATATATATCTTGATGGTGTGCTGTATGCTCGAGCAACAGAACCAGTTTTACCATCAAAAGTCAAGGTGAATTCTGTCTACCCTCAAAATCATTCTCGGCTATCCGATAACAAAAACTTTCTAAGATTCAGTATAAAAGGGCATCTACAAAGTATCCGCTCTGTTCACAAGTACCCCCTCACCGGCAAAGAGAGTACAGTTGGGGTGACTGACCGACGCCATCTTGCCTAACTGCAATTCATTTGCCGCAAAGCACGGCCACTGCGTGTACATAGAACAAATCCCCTGGTGTACGTGCATCACACACAAGGAACGGTGCGCGTCAACCAGCGAAATGTCCCGCCCATGGGACGTCGTTGCTAGGTAAAAGGGCGCCCTCATTCGTCGGCGCACGGAGCCCATAAACAAATACCAAGAAAGTTGTCCCTACTAATCCACACACTGGTCAGCGTGCACCCTTTCCACCCATGGTCAAAGAAATCTAATCATTTTGCCACACCCTGCACAAAAATTTAACATTAGTCCTTTCACAAGTCCATTCACAAGTCCAGTCACAAGTAACTGGATGAACAATGACAAAGGAATGCTTGTGTAACAGTTCATCTAGTGACTTGACTTCAGACTGAAGGACTTGTGATGGACTTGTGATGGACTTGCAGGGACTCGAGTACAAAACTGGCAAACTGTCCCAATTTTACACAGAGAAACAAATCCACAACTGTAGTCAATGCCGAGTAAACGTACTCTAAGAATTACAAGAGTAGAGGGCAATTTCAGTAAAAATTTTAATTTTAATCTTAATTTTTTTCAGAGGTACATTGCAAGCATGGGCAAAAAAGAGTAAATCGTTAAGTTCTGTTCAAATACGTGTATTTGATTTTGGGCGTCGCTGCTGATTGTTCCCATGGGAACGGACCGATCCATTAAGCCAACCCAATTATATTTTGGACCAATCACAGCTATGATTAATGTTTGACAATAGTAGAGCAGGGCTGCAATGTGTGCGTCCATGCGTGCCCCCGAAGTGCATACATCGTGTAACATGTCGTGTGGCATTGGAGACGCACATGCGTTGTTGCATGTACATGCCCAGTGGGCGGGAATCTAGTGGATCAGTCTTAATACTAGCCTGATCTGAATACAGCCTCAACATTCTCCCATGCAAGGCAGTCTGAGAACTGCCAGCTTGTCATTGGCTGATTGACCTGTGACACAGAGGTCAACTTCATTTAAACATCCATGTGAATGAATAGGATACGCCGTACTGCATAACATGAAGCATGCTAAAGAAGGCCATTCACATGACAGGTCACGCGACATCGTCAAGGCCCAGACTAACCAATTACATTTGATGACCACTTAGGATTTTGCCTGTCCTGGAATGCATGTGATATAAGGTCAGGTATCTCGTCAACTGGCATTGCTCCAAATTTTTTTTTAAATACTCCTTCCAATCCTGTCAAAACTGCCACTACTGCTTTGGCTCATTGCAATTCCAGACCAAACTAACTTGCATGTCTGAGTCAAATGAGGGCGCTATTTACATTTACTGGTATTCCCATTAAATGTCACTTTTTCCCATAACACCCTCTGACCAAGTACCCTCTCAAGGTTGACAAAGACAGAGATATGACAGACACTAACAGTGCCATTTCCCAGATTGAAATTAGCCACGACTGCTTTGCACCATCCATGCACAAACCAGTGTGCCCAAAAGGGGAGTCCCACACTTTGGAACTCTTTAAAGTGGTCACATGGCGCCCTCTACCATTCATGCTCAGAGTCCAATAGTCTATGATTTCTTATATGAATGAAGGTAATATTTCGAAATGTTCAAAGGGGACTCTGAGGGGTTTTCCAAATCTTTGCTGTGTTTCAAGCTTCAGGAGATTTTTTAGGGATCCTGACTCTGGGGACTCTGGGTCAATATAGGTAAATGTTCTGCTTCCGGCATATTAAATTCTATACATTTGAAGCCAATGTTCAGGATATTTCTACTTTGTTTGAACAATTAACACCTCAAAACAAGTACACCGGTGTTGCGAGAGATAGTTTTAGTGATGGAAGAGATGTGATCATTCCAGGAAATATTTTGGTCGATAATGACCCCAAGAAATTTTGCAGATGAGACCCTGTTGATAGGGGTATCATCGATCTTCAGAAGCGGCAACAAAGTGTCTTGGAAACAAGGAGATTTGTTGAAGAGAGAAATTTGTTCATGTGGCTAGGCTACAATGTGCAAATAAGTTGGTGCTGGTTGAATGCCTAATTGGAACAACTGTTTGCCTTAGCTTACGTTTTTCTTTATTTTGTCGCTAGATTTCCAGTGACAACCTCGTACATGGGAATAAAGATGAAATTATTTTTCAGTACTTGGTCGTGGAGGCTCATATTTTACATGGATAGAGAGCTAAAGAGTGTGGCAACATTCTTCCGCAACATCTTATCTTATTCTGCATCCGCAACATCTTATGAGTGCTCGTTATAGGGGCGAAATTTCATAGTTCTTTTTATCATTTGAACAAAGATTCTTCACAAAAGGAGGAAAGTTTGGACTTATATGTTCAATTGCAAATTTTATGCACTAGGATTCTGTGCTTACAGAATTACGTTGGTAGCACAGCCATAAAGTGGGCGAAGAATAAAGGAAAAAAAAACTGGAATACAAATGGTTCTAGTGACTCCCAGGTCTTTTTCTCTGAATCCTCCAAAATCCTGCACTGGGCAGAAACCAATGGAACATCATTGGCTTACATCTGTACAGGTGCATCTAGCCCTAATGTACTGACTCCTGGATGAATCCACAAAAACAAACAGTGCTGGGGCAATCTCGGGTAGTGTAGGGGGTAACAGGCAGGGCATTTTAGGGTGGGATAAATGGGTTAACTTACTAAAGGTCATCAATCCCCATGTACAGTAAAATAAAAGGTGGCTATGCGGCTCCGCCTTTCTCAATCCTGCAAAATCCTGCAAAACCTAGAATTTGGAAGGATCTGAGAGGGTTAAGGGCTAAGACGACTCACTTCATTTCCATGGCTTCTTCTAGCTTTTCCTTTTCTTTTTAGTATTACGGCTTGGCCCTTCCCAACCCTACAAAATCCTTCCAACTCTGGACTTTGAAGGACTTGGGGGGTTAGGGTTAAGCAAACTCACTTCATTTCCATTGCTTCCTCTAGCGTTTTCCTCCTCTCGTTCTGCAAGGCACTCAGCTTGGCTTCCTTCTCTCTCAGCACGGTGGTCGTAGTGGACAGCTTGTTGCTGGCTGTGGACAACTGCTTCTTGACTTGTTCCAACTCCCTCTTCAGATTGTCAATCTGGGACCAAACCAAAGACCGAAGTTACTATTACACCTCATTAATATTCATGAGCCAAACGTGCTTCTTTGATTGGTCGATGTACCAACGTGTCAGGAGCGTTAACAAAAGCTACCTCGCGCGTGCGACGCATGTACCATCACCCAACAGAACGGCAGTGCCATGGAATTAGTACCCAAAGATTAGCTCCTAGACTCCTAGTTTTGCAATGGTAGTGACCACAAATCCAGTTGCTGGTGGTCCCACACTAAACCTTTTATGATAGATGAATTATCATACATATCCCATGTGAGTAACTTTCAACAGAATTTTGTTGAATATTGCTAACAGAACTCAGACGCAATTAAACAAATACGACATTGCTTATTTCAGTCAAGTAATGCCAAATTGCTGGTTCCTTGGTGTCATATGTAACAAAGCACTGTTAAGTGATATATATCCCATTTATTAACCAAATGCAAAATACATTTATATCGCATCAGACAAAAAAATGTCAGTTCGTAATGCTACTGATGAAATAATAATAATATCGGAGTCTTATATAGCGCATGTATCTACCAGCTATTAGGTACTCAAGGTGCTGGAGATATGTCTTTTATTAAAGAAAGGTAAATAAAGTTCATGAGAAATATGAGACCCATTATTGTAGCAACTTATAAGGGTTTACAAGGTACTGCGGTGCATATTGCAGCCACTGCCAGAAACACCGGGGCAAACCCCTTCTCTTAGTGATAAGTGTTACTGGGTTCTTTAACTTGCATTACACAACACACGGGACCTACGGCTTTACGTCCCATCCGAAGGACGAAGCAATAATGGTAAAGTGCCTTGCTCAAGAGCACAAGCACCATGTTCCCACGGTCAGGATTCGAACCCATGTACCACGGCACACGAGTCGAACACCGTAACCATTGGACCACAGCACCCCACGTCTCTCTCTCTGGTACACATCTCTCCCAATGCACAAGTAAACTCCTCAGCGGTTCTAAAGAGAGTGTTTGGCGAGACCACTGGGCACTAGGAGGGACATTTGAACGCCTGGCAAACACATTGAGACCAAATTGATGGATTTGTGTAGATTCTGAATAACCACACAATAGGTACTCAAACCAGTGTGCCCATGTGTCTTATTTCCCCAACTGGAGCTCCTTCGAGTGATGACAAAGCACCATCCACTGTCCTTACATGTATGTCAGCATTACCTGTCTCTGTAGATTGCTGATCGTCTGCGTCTGCTGAGCTAGGATCATCTCTCTATCAGCTGTGATGCTAACACTCTCCTTCAAGGCCCTACCCATGAGTTGGGGAATCTTTGATGATATATTATCATTACCTGTCTCTGTAGATTGCTGATCGTCTGCGTCTGCTGAGCTAGGATCATCTCTCTGTCAGCTGTGATGCTAACACTCTCCTTCAAGGCTTCTTCTAGCTCCTCTATCCTGTCATCTCTCTGCCTAACAAAGGTCTGGAAGATAGAATTGAGCAGATGAGAGGTCAAGGCAATTTATAAGGCTTTTCCAAAGAGAATTGGTGTTTGCAAAAGCACTTGTCTTTGAATATTAGTTAGCTGAAGCAATGCTTGACATTGCAAAATTTCCTTCAATTTTGAATTCCTGAGAGATATGGCCCACAGGTTGATAACATTTCGTCGAACAAACAAACAGAAAGTGTTACTCTACTAACTGAGCTATCCAGCAGTAGGTTGATGGTCTTCCATAATAAAAACAACAACAGGTTATTATATTAGAATCAATAACACGCGACAAATGCCAATGGAGGCTTTATACAATAGAGAGTACAACTTGAAAAAACTGGGCAAGTTCAGGATGTGAAGTGATTAGCTGTAAAAAGCAAAAGGTTCCGAGTAAAACCGGCGGTGCTTACTTGAAGTTTCAGGCAGTGTGCACTGACTATTATCAGGAGAATGACAAACATCAATGCTACTGACCAGAACATCAAGCTGAATACCTCTCGTTCTTCTTGGAAAACTTCTCTTACATCATACAGTTAGTCACTTCACATCAGAGTTATAATCAAGTCACAACAAATCACAAGTAAGTCAACCACAAGCCAGTCAGAAGTCAGTCAGAAGTCAGCCAAAAGTCAGTCAGAAGTCACAAGTCAGTCAGAAGTCAGTCAGAAGTCAGAAGTCAGTCAGAAGTCAGTCAGAAGTCAGTCAGAAGTCAGTCAGAAGTCAGTCACGAGTCTGTCACAAGTCAGTCACGAGTCCAGTCACAAGTTGATTACAAGTCAGTCACGGGTCAGTCACAAGTCAGTCACAAGTCTGTCACAAGCCACTCACAAGTCGGGCACAAGTCAGTCACAAGTCAGCCACAAGTCAGTCACAAGACAGTCACAAATCAGTCACAAGTCAGTCACGAGTCAGTCACAAATCAGCCGCAAGTCAATCACAAGTCAGTCACAAGTCAGTCACAAATCAGCAGCAAGTCAGTCACAAGTCAGTCACAAGTCAGTCACAAATCAGTCACAAATCAGCCGCAAGTCAATCACAAGTCAGTCACAAGTCAGTCACAAATCAGCAGCAAGTCAGTCACAAGTCAGTCACAAGTCAGTCACAAATCAGTCACAAATCAGCCGCAAGTCAATCACAAGTCAGTCACAAATCAGTCACAAATCAGCCACAAGTCAATCACAAGTCAGTCACAAATCAGCCACAAGTCAATCACAAGTCAGTCACAAGTCCGTCACAATTCGTCCATTCTCCCGTCAAGTGATATGCTAGTTAAACTGAACCATGACAAAGGCATTCCTTCGTCATTCTCATTCCGTTACTTGTGACTTGACTTGAAGTGACTTGTGAACCGGCTTGTAGTTGACTTGATAGCAACTCTGGTCAACGTGTTGTATCCCCCAAACTTCTCCCAAATAATAACCATCCTCCTTAAAATGCCACTCCCTCCAGCATCTACCTGAAGCTGGTGTGTATCTGTGCTCAGCTCCCCTTCCCTTTTCCTCGCCTCTTCGAGGAGCTGTGCGTTCTTTCTCTTCTGCAGCTGCTGGTCTCTCTTGACTCCTGTCAGCCTCTTTGTCGCATCCTTCAGCTGACTGCAGGATTCAAACCATACGACGAGAATTTCAAGATTAACTCAATGCATTTTTGGCTTGGAAGCTTTGCTGAATCTTCAACAATTCTCAATTGTGCAGGATTGGCGCTATTTTAGCCCCAAGAGCAAGATTATTTCATAGACTAAACCAATGTGCTTCTCCTTAGTAGTTTTTATCCTTAAACAGAATAACCAGGAAAACAATCTACAGAAAATTACTGTGAAATGAACATGTATCACTGGAATTGTTAGTTTCCCGGTTTTTATGACATTTTCATTAGTTTTTGCTCACTGGTTGTGTAAATGCTTTGAAATGTTGACATGACATGAATACATGTACAAACACCAGAATTATGTGATATCGATTTCTGTAAAACTGAATCAAATGAGCACCTTATTAAGAATGAAATATATAAAACATTAGAACACAAAAACCAGTATTCCAACAAAATGCACAAATGGAAGAAAAAGACATTGCTATGCACATATGCACATGATAAATGATGATGTTGCAAAATAAAGATCACAATTCCACATGCATGCATTAATGCAACATACAGGTACATACGTGTACATCTATGAATATCTCACATTCAATGGTGACCAACATGCACGATGCTAGTCATACTCAATGGACTCAACGCATACAATGTAAATGGTGCAGTGAAGCCTTCTCCTACCAATCAAAGGCAAACAAATCAGACGTGCACGCAACCTTATTTTTTTGGGTTTTAGTTGTCGTAGTATCCCTCTTCTTTAGAACTTCCCTCGTGGGGTACAGTCAAACAAAGCCTGACTTATAGACCTTTATCATGCTTCCACCATTTTAGTCATGTTCCCTGTATCCAATAACAGTACTGAATGATACTGTTTTTGTGCAAAAAGGAACCAGACTATTTTTCCTTCCAGCCTTTGGTTGATCTGAATGGGAAAAAATCAAATGGCTGCAACATGATAATGATCTATTGGGTACCACTGTCCCTTGCAAGGACCTCCTCAAACATGTCAAAAGGGCACAGTAGTTTGCTTAGACTTGGTCAAGGCATTCGATAACAGTGTTCGATGATGGATGGTGGGCCGTTAACAAAAACAGTAGCTGCACGCTATATGCACTCACACGTAGTGTTCAAAGCGCGAACAGCGACCTCATGCGGCTAGGCCACAATATGCAAATCAGTTGGTGCTGGTCGAATGCCTTGGAATAATGCCTTGGAATAACGGTCGTGTTGGCCAGTTATATTTGCTCTACAGACTCCAAAGTTGTTGAAGAATGTTGCCACTCTCTCCAGCTCTCTATCCGTGTAACATATGAGCCTCCATGACCAAGTACTGAAAAATAATTTCATCTTTATTCCCATTTGAGGTTGTCGCTGGAAATCCAGCGACAAAATAAAGAAAAACGTAAGCTAAGGCAAACGGTTGTTCCAAGGCGTTCGACCAGCACCAACTCATTTGCATATTGTAGCCTAGCCACATGAGGTCACAGTACGTGTGGGTGTATGCATAGCGCACAGCCACTGTTAATGTTAGCAGCTGGCCATCGATCATCGGACACTATTGTCAAAGACTTGACCAAGGCTATAACTTGCACAGCAACTGCCATGGTGTGCACTTGACCGGTTTTCAACTGAAGGTGCAATGCAGCAACTTGACACAACAAGACAGATCGGAGCCTGGCCAAAGCAATTGCTAACCAGTTTCCCATTGTGCTGTGGGCTAAAGGCATTACCGGTAGCTATGCATAGAGTCTGTGCTCCAGACACAATCAAATCACACTAAAAGAAAAGTACCATTGTTGAACATGGGACATTTCTCACTGACTGTGTGCCATGTTATACACACATTAACTGAAGCGGGTCATATGATTTTACAATTGTGAACGTCTATTAACAAAATGAGCCAGGGTCTAATTCCATAGCACTGCTCAGCAGTCAGCAGTCAGCAAACAATTTTCCAAACAGAACCTTTGTCCATTTCAGAGAGATCGTAAACTGTAAGCACAGCTGAGATCACGCTAACTTCAGGGGCAAATTTATGCTGAGAATAGTGATGCAGCAGATGCAGCAGATGCAGCAACAGAAATCTCCAAGTGCATCTATGCATCCGCACGCTTACGGCATGAAGTGCGCTTAAGGCTAGTTCAGTATTTTTGAGCAGCGCACAAAATTAGCCAAAGATGGTGACTGTACAAATGTCTCCGAATCTGAAAGAAAAAACAGAAACAACAAAACACACATGAAATGCACAACACAAGTTACACTGTGATGAAACATGCCACGAAGTATCCACTAGACAAATCACAAATCTTCCACTGCTTTCTTGGGATGACAATAAGTTTGATGACACAGATGGGTAAACAATTCTTGAAAAAGAAACTGGAGTTGTAACTTGAGATAGTCACAAGTTGTCGGAAACCAATCACAAGTCATCGAGTCTCAAGTTATGTCGCAAGCTAATCAAAAGAGACAAAGTCATGTGACAAAGTCATGTGACAAAGACATGTGACAGAGACATAGCTCGTCCCCCGTTACTAGTGAATTGACTTGCAAAATTGACTTGTGATTTGAATTGTGATTGACCTGTGAATTGACCTGTGAATTGGCTTGTGATTGGCTTGTGATTGACTCAGTTACAACTCTGACAGAAACACTCACCTAGGGCAATGCTTCCTGATTATACTAAATTATGAGTTAGACATAAAAAATGTTATTTGTTAATTTGACCTATTAATAAGATGGATTTTTTGCAACGAATATTTAGGTTTTGCCCTTCACTGATGCATAAACACTGTATACTCAGTGTGTTACCTCCCGAGTGAAAGTTGGAAAAAATCACTCGGGTGGGACTCGAACCCACGACCATCTGCACTAGAAAGCAGGAGGTCGTGGGTTTGAGTCCCACCCGAGTGATTTTTTTCTCCAACTTTCATTTGGGAGGTAACACACTGAGTATGCAGTGTTTATACATCGGTGAAGGGTAAAACCCTTATATTGATTTGTTAATTTGATTAAAGCACAAATGACAAACAGCATTATTGACTATTTCACTACATGCTATATACTGGGTGTTTTTACCCCCTCCCCTTTCAGTCATGAGTCACTATTTTTTTTGGCCACAAGAATGGCCCTCAGATCAAATGAAGCCCCGCCTCTTTTCGTTCCCGGGTACCAGCAATGAAATGTGTGACCGCATCCCAAAAATGAGCCTTATGAAATATATTTTCACTTGTTGCTTTCTCACATGCGTGGGGGAGTGTGGCCTAGTGGTTAGGATTTGTGACTCGTGATCAGAGGGTCCGGGGTTCGAATCCAGCTGCTGGCCATATGTTGTGTCCTTGGGCAAGCCACTTCACCCCCTCTTGCCTCTCTCCACCCAGAAGTATAAATGGGTACCAGCATTAGCTGGGGAGTAACCAATGATGGACTGGCATGGGAACAGAAATATTCTCAGTCATTTCATGCCAAGGGAACCAGAGATAAACATCGGCCTAACGGGCTATATTGGCTTGTGACCAGACTTTTTTCACAAGGACTAATTTTGCTGTGCATTTTGCTATATCTCCCTCAGTTTGATCATCGTGTTGAACATTTTCTGTTTAGTGTTCAAAAGTGGCACATATTCCATGGTTATAGTGATTGCTAGAATGATCCAAGCCCTTGTCCCTGGATCGACTTTTAGGTCCCTCACCAACACTCTAAAAATTTTAACTACATGTATGTGTCTATCTTTTGACATATTTTTGTATATGAGCACAGATTACTAGTACCCGAGTAAACAGTGCCTATACAATAACGTCAAAACCTGGAATCTCCCTGACGTATCATTCAGTGGGATAGGCTAGGTAGCCCATAAGCATGGGGCCAATATACCTTTATCATGTTGCCACCATTTCAGTCATGTTCCCTGTATCCAATAACAGCACTGAATGATAATGTTTTTTGTGCAAAAAGGAACCAGACTATTTTTTCCTTCCAGCCTCGCTTTGGATACATTGATGTAAATGGGAAAAAATCAAGATGGCCACTACATGATAATGGTCTACAGTATTGCTCTATCAGCTGCCTCCAAAAAAACATTTTATGGTCAGCCACTCTCTTAAAGGGAAAATACAACATTTGCAAACATCAAAAAATAAAACTACCAAATCATTTTGAAATACCTTGCTGGACTGTTAGTGAATGACAGTGTAAAGCATTCTGTAAAATCATGGCACCTGGTATACTGTCATTTTCAAAAAAAGTGGTATTTTTGTATCAATTTCCAACGCTGATCGGCCGATCAGCGTTGGAAAAAACTGGCTTTTTTTCAAATACTGGCCCCAATTGACCATCGCACTTGTTTGCAATCGATTACAAACCTATGAACGGGTACGAGCCAGCTAGACTGGTTCCCTGACCTTACAATTCCCCAATGTATGTAAACTGCTCTGTTTCTTCTTATATGGAGTCAGGGAACCAGACTACCGGAAAATGATTGTTTTTCTTGGTTTTTATAGCATTTTCGAACCCAAAACCTAAAAAAAGTCAGTGTAACTATATTTGCTATATATTTCCAACCCCCAATTCCATCCATTTCTGAAAATTACAGCAAAAGCAAATGATGTATATTCCCTTTAAAAGATCAGGGGAATGTACTTTTACTCTAACTCGTACTCATGGCAAGGTAATCAGACTCGGACTCGTACCGGGTACTCATGGAAATGCACTCCACTACAATACAGCAATGTACGTTTCTAGCTCCATTCAACTCTTGTCATTCTCATTCTTCCCCAGGAATGTAGTCAGTCCATCACAAGTCCCTGCAAGTCCATCACAAGTCCTCCAGTCCCAATTCAACTCACAAGCTATTCAAACGCGCTTTGACAAAGGCATTCCTTTGGTACTGTTCAATGTTCATCTACTGTTGCTTGAGACTGGACTTGCGATTTACTTGTGATGGACTTGTGACTGGACTTGTGATGGACTTGTGACTGGACTTGTGACTGGACTTGTGATGGACTTGTGATGGACTTGTGACTGAATTTGTGATTGGACTTGTGACTGGACTTGTGACTGGACTTGCGATTTACTTGTGACTAGACTTGAGATTTACTTGTGACTGGCCTTGTGATTTATTTGTGACTGGCTTTGCGATTTACTTGTGACTAGACTTGTGACTAGACTTGCGATGGACTTGTGACTGGACTTGTGACTAGACTTGTGACTGGACTTGCGATTTACTTGTGACTAGACTTGAGATTTACTTGTGACTGGCCTTGTGATTTATTTGTGACTGGCTTTGCGATTTACTTGTGACTAGACTTGTAACTAGACTTGCGATGGACTTGTGACTGGACTTGTGACTAGACTTGTGACTGGACTTGCAATTTACTTGTGACTGGACTTGTGAAGGACATGACTACATCCTGTCCTCCCCCCCCCCCCCCCGCCGCCTCCTTCTTTCACCATCAACGTACGCTTTTAGCTTCATCACTCTCTTTTCTTTATTCTTCTCCCATGCCTTCTTTTACCTTTCCTTCTTTTACCATCTACGTACATTTCTAGTTCTGTCACCCTCTTGTCTTTGTCGTTCTTCTCTCCTTCCATCTCCTTCATGATCTCCAGGAGTCTGTCGACTTCGTTCTGCGTCTTGGCCACCTCATCCTTATGTCTTGCGATGGCCTCCTCCAGAGCCTTGGCTGACCGTTTCTCTTCCTCATCCCTGTCCTCTCGCAGCTGAAAACAAATTAGATGAGAACAAAAGGAGTTAATTGCACCTGTGAGACATAAGATAATTTCAATTACGAAAGCACTAAAATGGACATTGGGCATCATACTTGTCAGGAAAAAGTGCAAATTTCCGTATGAATAAGTTCAAAGAGCGCTGACAAAATTCCAGTTACTTTAAGGCATATAGAATCTTTGAATTTACCAAAAAGTAACCAACCAAAGTATTATCCAAGCGCTTACTTGGATTCAAGATCGTACTGGTACTAAACATTATTCCATGGCATGTTGTTATTTTGAAGAATTCAAGAAATGTCAGTGATTTCCAACGATTTTTGGAGTAAAGAGCTATAATGATGAAATCGTGTTTCGTGATCAATTGCTAGAGCATGGTTTCACTATTTCTTTGAAAAGTGTAATTTTCTCAAAAAGTGTAGGTTTTGGTGCACATTACTCATTGGATTCTGCGTGGTGTTATTATGGGAAACGAACAAAATGCATCAACAGCAAATGATCCTATATGCATTTAACTACATTGTATTACATTGTGTTTAATCCCTGGCGAATCCATAACATCATAGAGTGCTCGGGCGGGTTTGGGTGTACTGCCTATGGGCAGGGCAGTTAAGGGCGGTACAAGATTTCATGGCTTAATTTCCTTGGCTCTTTGAAGATACGATTAAAGCCTATGGCCCAACCAAGGGACAACATTTGGCATACCAATTTATACGCCTCTGGTCGTTTGCCATGGGGTGTGCTAAAACCCATGAACCCCATTGTTTTGAGGAAGACAACTCAATGGCAATCAAATGCATCATGGTGTCAACGTCTAGGATACTATTTTTACCTATAAACTCATTTATCAATGTACAGCGTGTCCTGAAAATATTGGTGCATGTAAACCCTGCCATTTTCGCCAATCTACAACCGGAATTTACTGCAAATGTTTACACGATCTTCAAGGTTACAGATTTAGCTTGAGAATACCGTTTGTTTAATGAAGATTGCTTTTGTAAATCCAGAGATATGTTTGAATAACCGCAAAGCCAAAAAAAACCCCAAACAAACATTCTGTGCCACTTTTAGGAAGTGAGTGCTTCAAAGATCAGACAATGCCAGTATGGCTCTTTTCATAAGATTATGTGTAAGACAAACATTCCATTTACATGACAATATAGGGTTTTCAATGAAAGAGTTCAATTAAATATAAATAAATATTGCACACTCTGCTTAAAAATGTTCAAATCACTAACAGTAAAGTGATTTGGTTTTAGACTAGGACTATACTGATTTAACTGCTTCACAGAAAGTGGCACAAAATGCGTTTCTTGTCTTTGCCGTTATTCAAACATATCTTTGGATTTACAAAAGCAATCTCAAGGAAACAAACGGTATTCTCAAGCTAAATCTATTACCTTGAAGATTGTGTAAACATCCGCAGACAATTTTGGTTGTAAATTAGCAAATGGAGGGGTTTACATGCACCATTTTTTTTCAGGATGCCCTGTATTTATTAAAAAGAATTCATGTTGCTTTTCCTAAGGTTATTACAGAGGCATCAGCATGATTATTCAGTTTTAAAAGCCTAATTCGAATGGGATTTGTTTGTTTTTTAAGGGAATTGTGCAAACCACACGGCCAAAGGCGTCCCAAAGTACAGCTGGAAGAATCTGTTGAGATTCTGCATTAAAAGTCACATTTTTTTGAAGTTAGTTTTGATGTTAGTACATGTACTTCCAGCATACAGCATACTGTCGTGCACAAGAACACAAGGGGTTACACGTACATTTAAATCTCTAGGTAATGACTACTCTATCTGGGATTTTGGTGGTACGAGTGCATGCAGGAAATCTCAACTCCACTGGTGAAAAAAGTCATCCAAATTCCCTGAATTTGGGACAAGAATCTAGTCCATGGAAAAGCTGCTTGCATACAAGCGTCTGTGATATTTGCGCAGATTCTTATGCAAAACAAGACTGTGTCTTGACCTCGAGATTCTGACAATTCAGCGGGCTGGGCGCCTTCTATCGGGTCTTCCGTAAACGTTGCTGCATTTTAATTTAAACAATTATATTCCCGAGATATTTTTGGCCAATGTTTGCCTAAATTTCTCAGGCCTTTGAATCCCTACAATGTTCTCAGGGAGAGCATTCCATAATGTAGTGTAGTGGGGGGGGGTGTGAAGGATCATTCATTGGTGGCCAGCAGTTCTAGATTTCACCTGCCTAATGCTGTATGATTCCTGAAGGAACTGCGCAACGATCTAGAAGACTGGAGAAGGCCATGTTTCAGAATGTTGTTACTAACAGCTGCGGGACACTTTCCATGTACTGCCAAATTGACCAATAAACAGCATAGTCCATATTTCTGATTGAAACGATGTCACAGTTTGAAAAGTCGACCGATTGGTTAGAGCGCGGCGTCGCATAAAATTTGCATGGTAGGATATATGAGACGTTCGCAGTGTGGCTCTGCACACGTGAATGGCTGATCCTCGAACTAACAAGAATCATGAGATGGTTTTGTTTTAGTTTGAATACTGGCCGTACATCATCAACTTTGGATTTGTTTTCTTACAACAACGAGTTAAGTTTTGCGACGGCTGCAGTACATACAGTCTTTTAAAGGTATGAGAAATAATTGACTTTATAAAATAAACAAAGTGGGTCAAAAATGTTAGCTATTAGTCAGGATAAAAGGACTGTATTCAAACTAGTATCACATCCTACTCTCAAAACACACAGATTGGGAAAAGCTGTAAAAGAAAAAGCCACAATTGTTAGTAAAGGTTTTAAGGGAAATGTTAGATACATGGATAGGGAACCAATGCTAGGTTTTTGCAGATGATTTTTCTTTTTTTTGGCCAGATACACAGGAAGGGACTTGTCTACATTGGACAGGAATTACAATCCATGCTGCAGTGTAATACTAAAAACCAAAGCCGGTAAATTTTACATGTGAAAAACTTTATCAGTTGAAATTGTCAACTCAATCACTGTAGTGCTAGTTTTTATAATTTTTTTAAAAAGCTTAGTGAAGTTCATCGAATTTTGAATTTAGCAAAAACTCATTTTTATATAGACAAAGCCTTGCAAAAGCATTTTAATGCTGTGCGCTATGCACTTCCGTGTTCTGTGCGAAATGCGAACAGCGACCACATGTGAATAGGCTATAATATGCAAATCAATTGGTGCTGGTCGAACGCCTTGGAACAACCCTTTTCCAGGCAATTTTGTCAATTTGTCGCTGGATTTGCATCGAGTTATATCTGCTCTGCGGACTCCAAACTTGTTGGATAATGTCATCACACTATCCAGCTCTCTATCCATGAAAAATGTATGCGCCTCCACGACCAAGTACTGAATAATAATTTCTATTTATTTACGAGGTCGTCGCTGGAAATCCAGCGACAAAATCAAGAATAACAGAAGCCAAAGCGCACGGTTGTTCCAAGGCGTTCGTTCAGCAACAAGATATTTGCATATTGTAGCCTAGCCGTGTGAGGTTGTTGTTCATGCTTCATACAGTACGTGCATAGCGTGCAGCTAGCTGTATATGTTAGCACAGCCAATCATGGGTTACTAGAACGCCTTGACCAAGGCCATGATAGACCTAGCAATGCCCCCGGATTGGTCTGTAAGAAAAACAGTCAATGTACACAATAGGCAACTTTTTAACTGTTTTGAGTGAAGTTGACCCTATTAAAAAATTCGAAAAAACTTCAGATTTTAAGACCCCATTACATGTCCTAATGTACCTATGTCCATGTGTAAAATTGGAACAAAACAGAAAAATCAGATTTCTTTAATGAAACAGGAACATACATTCGGGGGAAACTCAACTTCAAAAACAGGGAATGCTTTTCAGTAGGACCATGCAGTGTATGCCTGTGCGAGATCACACCCAACTTACCATGTATATTTTGCGAGCTTTCTGCAACATGCATGAAGGAAAAGAATGAATCTCAGGAATGAAAGTGAGCGTTAGATGAATGAGAAAGGGCTACTCACTACAGAATTAATAGCTGCCATAGTATATACTTGTAAGCAGTTGAGTTCAAACTGAGGTATCAGCTCATGTTAACAAGGGGGCATCATTCTGAGACGATATCAGCTTGTATCATATGCAAAGATTTAATCGTGATACTCATGCTGCTCTAACCACTGCCTTTCACAAATGTCTACTACGGGACTTGACAGTGTTGCAATTAGTCTAGGGACTAGACGTTGTTATGGTTTGATACACGATAATCCGCTACCGCGATAACCCGGCGCCGTGAGAGGATGCTATCACGATCAACCAATATCGCCCACGACTTGTCAGAACATCTAGGGAAACTCGTTTTGGTTGTGTAATGGGTGTGCACCTGTTGGGCCTTATATATGCAGCGCGCGATTCAAAAAAATTATAGTGGTTCCGAAGCAAACTCTCAAATTTCTTCCAAGGCAATAAAAGATGCAGCAAGACCTTTGTGCAACATCACTGGTCAGCTTTTTTGTTATGTGTAGTATGTGGGACTGAAAATGGACTGTAATTGCCTGCAGAAGTTGCGCATGCGCACTAGTTTCCCCCGTTTTTAGGGGGAGATTTCAGCAGATTCCCTAGACGTTGTTCTGACAAGTCCGTGGGCGATATTGGTTGGTCGTGGCGGCGGGTTATCGGTGGCGGGTTATCGCGTATCAAACCATAACAGCGTCTAGCCTTAGACTATGCTGCAATCAATGAGCGGTCATGAGGCTCATCCACCCAAGTCAATCACAATTGATCCAGTCCAAATTCAAGTCAAAGCCATTCAAGCTTGAGATGACAACGGCCTTTCTTCCTTATTTTTTATCCTTGTACTTGTGACCAGACCTGTGAAATGACTTGTGATCTGCTTGTAAAAGGACTAATAGGTCTCGTTCAAATGACGTCGTTTCCTACAGACCATCCACGTGTATCGGCATTTTGAGCGTCAACTTGCATAACGCGCATCAGCTGCGTCGCATTTCGAACACATTTCGAGCAACAAGCGCGCGTGTTTGGAACATTTTCAACACTGCGCAATGCGTGCTTGATTGGCGTAAAATACGCAGTTGCAGTTCTCCTACAGAGATGGCCATCATTGAACGAGCCCTATGGACTTGAGATGGCCTGTACTACAACAGTGTCTCAACGTCAATCATGTCGATTGCAGAACCCTAACTCCCTAGGATGATTTACTGGAACTTTCCTCATCCTTGCAAATTTCAAACACCCTGTCCTATTAAAACTGTGCACTAACCAGCTGGACTCCACCAAACCCTTGTGTTGGAGTTTGGCTGCTTGGGAATTGTTAGGGTTCAGAGAATTCTGGAATTCAGAATCAAATCTACATTCCATCCAGGGCTCAATTCAAGCCAAGATATAGCCCATATGTTAGATCTGGACTGTCTCAAGCAGAGTTTTTTTTATTCGGCTGCAAATACTCTGGACTCTGACTTGGAGTTGACCATGAAATGAGATGACAAAACAACAGGAATAAGATATGAAGGAAAAAAGCACATGGTGTGAAAAAAAGACGAAAGAATGGCAGATCTCTGTGAAAAAAGCAAGACAGCATGAGACTGATTTGTGAAAATGCACCTTAACTATCGTCTGAAATTAAAGCAAGAAAATGGTACAATGAATGCAGCAGATGAGGCACATGATAAGGAAATGACTAAAAGAAGGGTGGAATTCAAGAAAAAAACAAGACGGCTTCAGAAAGTTTTTGACAAAGTGCATGAACTCTCCTCTGGATTAAAAGCAAGAGAACGGTGTAATAAACGCAGCAGATGGTTTCTCATTCTCAGCTCAAGTTCAAACACATTCCTTGGTGAAAAATGCAAAATGCATAAATGCTAGACAATGTGATGCATTCTAACGAATACATTGAAGAATTGGTTTTTTATAAGAGTTGCTGTACGATTCCAAAGAAATTTGGAAGAAAAAAACCCCCTACTTGTATTTTCAAAATTGCAGGCAGAGGTGATTCAACGACTGTTTTGTTACTGAACAGAAATCACGCACGAAAAGGCGTAAGTTTATTGCACAGCCGTGCAATACGTTTTTTTGGCGTAAATTGTCCATATGGTATAAGTCACGCACTGTTTCATGACATCGGCTGCAGGATGCGACTATCCCACCTTTTTCAGGTCAGCTTCCAGCCTAGCCGTTTCCTCGGTCTTCTGAGCCACAGCCAGCTCCAATGTTGTAATCTTGGAGTCCTTCTTGAGACCTGATGAGGCTAGCGTGGAGGCGTGCTCCTTCAGGTCCATCAAACTTGCCTGGAGAAATAAAATAGTGGCAGAAGTGGGATGCAGATGAATCTTTTAAACTTAAATGTGACCCATCACCATGGAAATGAGCTTTGGTCACTAATTGCTATTATGAAGAACAGTCCCTCCAACCCGTGATCTGTCCTGTTTCAAGAGGAATGTTAATTCCTTTCTTCAGTTTTTTTGAGTACCGTCTCTTCTTTTTATTTATCTTGTATCCCTGTATCTGGAGCGGCTTCTAGCCTTGTTCAGGCCTTGCTTCATGAAAAAAACAACAGTGGGACGAAAATTTACTAAGCAATATTTCTTGCTGGAACACTTTAGCCCACAACCAACCTCTTTCTCACTGAGTTCCTTCTGCAGGTTCTCTAGCCGCGTCTTGACCTCCTTGAGTTGTTTCTGCTGGTTCTGCAGCTCCTCCTCGTGCTCCTTGATGTTTCGGTCTCGTTGCTCCTTGACCCGGTCCAAGGCTTTGTCCTTATCCATCAGTGCGTCTTCCAGGCTGGACATGGCGCTGTCCGAGCTGGTCTGGTCGGCCTGGACCGAGGACAGCTTGGCTCGGAGCTGGTTGCACTGCTCCTCCTTGTCGTGCAGCTGCTCCTGGAGGTTGTCGATCTGTTGCCATGACAACAGAGAAAGAGAGATGAGAACAGATGGATTCACTCTTACTTTGCATCAGTGAGTAGAGCTTTATGTGACCTTGACGGAAGCTGATCTGTTTTTGTTTCTTTTTTCCCCAAGAGTTGACATGTCCTCACAAGTCCTCACAAGTTAATTTATATCTGAAGTCAAAGGCATTGCTTTGATTTGTGATGGACTTGTGACTGACTCGGTGGCCAGGGTCGGCTGGCTGTTTCGAGTCCGATATAGCAGCGGGCATCGCAACCAAACTATAGGACAGAATCAAAACAGCCAGCTGACCCTGGAAAGCTTGGTGGTCAAATGGTAAGACATCTGCTCTAGTAAGTAGGAGGTCGTGGGTTCGATCGTCCACCTGAGTAAGCTTGTGAATTTGTTTTCTCAGGCCTTCAGACAACACGGAGTATAGAGTGTTTATAGAATACATTCGTGAAGGGCAAAACCCAATATGGAACAAATGTAGACTCAGTTAACAGAATTCTAAAGTTGTAACATTTGGATTATCAAAATCTAGAAATATGCATAGCTATTGCAGGAAGAGGGGAAAAGATACGCAATAATGTTACTACATGTACATAATAGAAAAGGATGACAAGTTCATGTAGAACTGACAAAAGATAACCGTCTTGTTCATTCACAAGACAACGCTTCATAAGCGTAAGTTTACATTGTTAGTACGAAGAAACGATTAAAGCAAAACATCAATATATATGTGTACTTTGATTCAAACATGTATTTACCACTAAAGAAAAGGGCATGAATTTCCAACAGGCTTGTAAAAACAGGCCTTTTCATACTATGTACCATCATGCCTACCCTGAAATCAGCACCGAGTCTATCATGATTGGAACTGGGGTCTCATCAAACCCAGGTAGGCAAGGCATGCCGTTCACACTTACACTGGCCATGGGTCAGCTACAGCTGACCCATTTTGAATTTTTTTGTTTTTACCCGGGTAAAGCCTTCTCAACCCTGGTCCTGTGTTGGATTCTTGCCACATGTAGTTTGAAAGGTTTTTTTTGGTTGAAATCTTTGAAATTTTGAAATTTTGGAGAGCGTGAAAGGCCCTCATGGGGTTAAGAGGTTATTTATCTCAGATACTACATTGTTATTTTTATATATACATACAGATCCTTGTCATTTGTTTGGTGGAACTCACATCACGTGACATTCGTTATTGCTCCCATTTGCCCATGGGGAATGGGAAATAGTATTCAACAGTTAGGATCATCCTTGTTCCACGACGCGGTGTTTGTGTGCAAATGCATGCTGGTGTGCGCATTCAGCGTTGCGCGTAACGCGTATTGTTCCAAAGAGCCAGCGCTACAGAGTTGGGATCAAACATTTTCCTGAAGGGGTGGTTTGGAGGAGAGAAATACATTTTCCACCAATTTTGTATGGAAATAAAAGTTCAAATATATCAAATGACAAGGATCTACATGTACCATGTCAGTTATATAAAACAAATATTGAGTGGCTTTAAATTGTGAAATGGGAGGAGTATTATCGCTCTGTAAAATCTGGACTTTTCCAGAAAATCCAGATTTTACCTTGCAATAATATTCCTCCCATTCCACTCTGAGCCACTCAATATTTGTCTACCAATACAGATTTTTCGTGTGCAAGTTCATCAACATCAGGGTCAACAAAAATCAAGCACAAAAGGAATTTGTTGGAAGAAAAATTAGTCAGTGGTTAAGAAATACACGTATTTGAATGCTTTGGAAAGATTAAGGAATGCCAAACACATCAAGAGAAATGCAGAAAGGAACTGCGCTATCCAGTAGTATTGGGTATCATTGCTTCAGAAATAAAGGAAAGAGACATTGTATACATACATGCCTTTAAAAATGAAAATTACAAGCAAAATTGGGGGGAAAATGGATTAAAAACAAAGAATAGTTCATTTTAATCCAATTACATCAATTTAAAAAACACAAATGGTTGAGCAAAGCAGGGAGCTCTCCAAATGTTGTCTGAAGCATCCTACAAGTAACAACTGTAACTTCAACACGTTCGCTTTAAAAACATTCAGCAATATACATTGTACCTCGGTATTTCGAGTTCTGCTGTAGTTAAGAGCGGGGAAAGAACAAAAGAAATACAAAAGGTCCAATGGGCCTATAATAATAAACAGCTGAATGTTAGGCCAAAAAAACAAATACTCGGTCTCTGGTCAGACCAAAGTTCCGGAATTGATGTGGCTAAGTTTTTTTTTTTTTTTTTTGCTTTTTTTTTTTCAAGCTTGGATTGTACAGACAAGGTGGGGTACTATTTTTTTTTTTTTTTTGGTGTCCTCATGTACATTGGTGTCCTCCATAATTTGCCTGGGTGCTCTCGATCATTTGCCTTGGTGCAATATCCCATTCCTTGGTGCTCCTTGGTACAAAAATTTGAGGAGGTGCAGCAATAGAGGGCGCTGTTGGAAATTTTGGAGAAAAAAGAAGATTGACGCGCATGATTAAAATCAATGCACGCGCTGACTAGAGACCGACTATTTTTTTTTCTGGCCTTAATTGATCATTTGAGGAGGTGCAGCAATAGAGGGCGCTGTTGGAAATTTTGGAGAAAAAAAAAGATTGAGGCGCATGATTAATATCAATGCGCGCTGACCAAAGACCGACTATTTTTTTTTTGTTGCCTTAATTGATCATTTGAGGAGGTGCAGCAATAGAGGGCGCTGTTGGAAATTTTGGAGAAAAAAAAAGATTGAGGCGCATGATTATTATCAATGCGCGCTGACCAGAGACCGACTATTTTTTTTTTGGCCTTAATTGATCCTTTGCTCTTTTTTTTTTTAAGGATCATTTGCTTTTCATGCACACTGTTCGTTTCCAATATTAACACCGCTCAAAATCCAAAGAAGAATGTTCAAAACCTAACCTGTTGAAGTTTCAGCTCTTATTTTGGACATTACACTTTTCAACAAAAAAAAAAGAGAGAAAAACCATGCGCAACCTTTGATCACGAAACACGATACCGTCAATAGAACTCCTATTTCCAAAAATCAGTCAATTTACTGATCCTTGGAAATCACCTACATTTTTTGATTTCTTCTAAATGACAGCAAGCCAGATGGACTATCTGCATGGAGTGTTTGGTATTAGTAGGATCTTTAATCCAAGTAAGCTTTTTGATAATAATTCGGTAGGTTACTTTTGGGATAAATGCAAATGATTCCGTACGCCTCTAAGAGATGCTTAGGAGTTGTTAGTGGGTTAGTAGAGCTATCACCTTGATCTGTAGTATGTATTGTTTCCGCTCCTTGATGTCCATGGCATTAGTCAAATCAGAAAGCTTTACGGGCAGCGAAAGCAACAAAATAATGTAACAATGACAAACAAAATTATGGATTAGAAGCCGGCTTGGTGAGATTAAACTAATGACTATGATGATTGGAAGCTAAAGGACGGGAATGTGGCAAAAATCACATTCACTCTCCTATGCAAACACACACTCTGTGCCAAATTGTCCTTTCAGTCAAAATCAATCAAGTGACTGTTTTCAATAGTTAAGAATTCCCAGCCTACATAAAGCAGGAATGACTGGCTGGGACTGTTTAAGTAACTTGATACAGCTATGCTTTGACTCCGGGTGAGTGATAAAACAGCAGTGACCACAATTTGCCTGCTTTGTCTGTTGACCCAGTTTGACTAGCCACAGTGCTCGCTTGACATACTGGTACATGTACCGGTATGATCTGACTGCTGGTGACTAGCCTTTGTTAAAGGGAACGTACATCATTGGTGTTTGCTGCAATTTTCAGAAATGAACTATTTTAGGGGTTAGTATAATACATGTAGATCACATATTCTTACACTGACATGTTTGAAGTTTTTTGTTTGAAAATGCAGGAAAAACCAAGAAAATAAAAAGATTCAAGTAGTCTGGTTCCCTGACTCCACTGAAGATGAAATGGATCAATTTATAGATGCCAGAAAATTGTAAAGTAAGGGGACCAGTCTAGCTGGACTGCACCCGTTCATGAAAATGTAACCAATAGCAAACAACTTTTGGACTGAAAAAAAAAGAAGGTAAATCTGGAGCAGTAGATGAAAAATATCTTTCCAACGATGGTCAGCCAACCACCATTGGAAATTTATACAAAAAGACCAATTTTCTTGAAAATGACTTCTCACCAGGTGCCATAATTTTCCAGGATGCTTTAGACTGTCATTTACCAACATCCTAGAAAGATATTTCGTAAAAATTTGGTAATTTTGTTTTTCGATGTTTGCAAATGTTGTACATTTCCGTTAAAAGTATAGCAGGGGTAGTGGAAGTGAATTTTGTTAGTGCTTCTACGGTGTAACTGTGTAAAACATGTAATAAATGTCAGCAATGACAAATGATCGTGTTCAATGGCCATTATCCTAAAACCCAACCATCAAACAATAGAATCCTCAATGATGATTAGTCAGTACCACAGCTGGGCCTTTGTATCCTGAAACATTGCTTTTGTATTTTACAACATGTAATTTCCCGATTTGTCTCAATTTGTCAAATGGTTTTATTCCTGGAACCGGCGTAATGGATTATTCTTTAGGCTGTCATTATCTGGACTGGAAATGAAAAATATGCTTTCAAAATAATTACTTTCACTTCCTTTGAAAGGTTAAAAAAAACCTGTTGCTAAGCAGCAAGGAAGTGAATAATTTGAAAACCAACCTCGTGACGGAAAAGTACATTGTACTTTTTTTCGTCAGGAAATAAATGCACAGTGTACGTATTTCTGTACTTAAAAGTAACAGAATTATGACGCTGAAGCAAAGTTTTCATGGCGTTGGTAATTGTGTGAAATCATACTTAAATCAAAAGTCCATTAAACAAGCCTAGTCACAAGTAACAGGGAATGAGTAACAACAAAGTAATGGCTTTGTCACAGTTGATTTGGATATTTTGTAGATATTTGATTATCTTGTCTTGTACATTGGCAAGTCTATAAATTAGGGGTCCACTTTTTTTGTTCCTGTCCCTGTTACAACTGACATCTGCAATTCTATAATTCTGATACACTCGTTAAAAAGTTAAAGGGAATATACAACATTTGCTTTTGCTGTAATTTTCAGAAATGGATGGATTTTGGGATAAGTGTTTTATAGCAAATATTGTTACACTAACTTGTTTGAAGTTTTGCATTCGTAGATGCTGGAAAAAAACTAAGAAAAACAATCATGTTCACGTAGTCTGGTTCCCTGACTCCACTTAAATTGAAATGGAGCAATTTATAGACGTCGGGGAATTGTAAGGTCAGGGAACCAGTCTAGAAGGCTTGCACCCATTCATGTGTAATCGATTGCAAACAAAATTCAGACTAAGTACATGTAAGTATGGTAAATTGGGGACGGTATTTGAAAAAAAAACACCCAGTTTTTTTTCCAATGCTGGTCGGCCGACAAGCGTTGGAAAAGGAAAGAGGAAAAGGAAAGGAGAAAAGGAAAGGAGAAAAAGAAGAAGAAACACCAGACATCCATGTTCAATTTCAAGCAACGTGATCTGTTTTCAACGTTTCTGGGCCCGTGGCTTTGAGATGTTAAACTCGGTGGCACGTTGCCAGAATATGATCTTTAACTACCGAGCAGCGCCCTAGCCCTACCGGTAGAACCGCTGATTTCCCATGGTGGGGGCAGCTAATCTGTTGTAATAAGGCGTTAATTTCATTACGTCGCGGGGATAGCGAGCGGACGGATGAAAAACAAGTGTGGGACAGGGGACCCTCACGGCTGGCTATAATCAGTTTAGCGAGGCCGTTGATTTTCTGATTTGCTTCGGTGATGCGATACAATTGCATCGCATTTTAAAATACATTTGTTGTAAAAAATCAAGACATGTACATATGTACATGTAGGCTTGTGTAATGCACGTTTTCCCCTTCCTTCATTTAGAATAAGTTTTTGAATTGAAAAAAAAAATTGACTTTTTAACAAACCTGGATTCACATTACATGGTAGGAGAAGTGCCATGCACTGATTTTAAAATAAAATTTCAAATAAGATTACCAAACGCTTTTAAAAAAAACTTTGGATTGAAAGCAAAAAGAGCTTTAATAGGAGATTTTATGAATATATTCAATGTAACCCTAGGACTACTGGGAGATCCTTTAAAAAAGGGAAGGGAGTGAAACTGCCACTGCCCCCCCCCCCCTTTTCTCTACACTTCTATTTCTCGAAACACGTAACCATCTTTTGTCGAATGCAATACGATCAAACCGGTGGGTGAGTGGCTCAGTGAGTACCTGAACAGTCTCAGCAAAGAAACTGCCATTTTCATTTCGTTGATTTTCGGAATGATACATTATCACACAAATTGGGTCAAAGGTCACAATAACATATTAAAGGTCACGTGACCTACTTTTCACAAAATTTCATTTTGACAAAAGCGTTGATTTGAGCATGCAATTTGTATTATTTTAATACCAAATTCGCATATATTCGATAAAAATTGACATGGTTTTGACATATTTCTACCAAAAGGGTGGTATTTTACTCTAAAAATGTCAATTTTTTGTGTTTTCTGCCCTGACCACATGGTACCGTAGGTCGGATCGGGCTAAAAATTGGTGTGCGTTCATTGCTCATCAGGACGTACAAGCACAGCTGTTTTTATCAAAATTGTTATAAAAAAGTGTGTTGGCCTGACATGGAATGACCCCTCTTTAACATCTGTCCCTACTGTTCCATCAGCAGATTAACAGATGTATTATGGATACATTGTCATTGAAAAACACAAGCTTGCCGAATGAAACAAATGTGAATGCACTCTCCTTTGACAGGCTATTATTCAAAAAGGTACATAAACAGCTGAACCCATTGTTTGCAATGATCATTATTTCCCCTTGTCCGTTTATCATTCAACAGTGATAAACGAGCTCCAACGTTTGCTATCTGCAAATACGTCAAGATATGTAAAAAGAGCCGGTACCAGCAGTTCATCAAGTCTAGTTGATAATGGTTTTTGTCATTACTCGAGGCAAGAGTCATTATTACTAACATTCGAATAATTTGTAAATAATTTGACGTCGGTTTGGCTCGACTTGAACTTTCAGAGATAACACTGACCTGCATTTACAAAGATGAATATTTTGAATTCTGAAGAAAAATATTGCCGAGGGGAAATATTTCTACTTGTAAGTATGGGTAAACAATACTTTGAAGACTTGTTCAGGGAAAAGGATGATTTGTGGCAATGCAAAATCATTTTTTAAAATTTTCCAAACAAGCTTTAATTCAGTGGTGTAACTAAGGGGGGGGGGGGGGGGGTGTATGGGGTGGGGGTGTATGGGGGTATCGGGGGAGGGGGGATATGGGGGTTATCAGGATGCCTGTGTCCACCTCCCTCCCCCCTTCCCCCTCCCCCACTCAAGGCCTGTGTCCCACCTTAAGAACATGGAGATAGGCAACCAGTAACATTGTATTGGTTGAAACTACCGTATGACCAAACCTATTGTATGACCCCTCCACAAAAATGAGGTTCCCTTAGTGCCTCCCCTCCCCAGCAAATCGGACCCCAGTCACGCCCTACTGCCAAACTCCAACATGTGTCCTAGCCACATGCATTTGGATTATGTTGGACCTAGCAGGATGAAAGAGGTTGTGGTAATGTTCTGCAATAAACTTGATGAACTTTACATTTGTCAAAGTGTTTTACTTCACAAGTTCCATTAAAAAACAAAAACAAAACAAAAAACAGCATTGACATTTCATCCCACATCAGTAATTTCAGAGTACATCAACATTTTGTTGATCGGAAAGAGCCTCATTTTGAAGGGGGTTAAGATTGCATTACTATCTAGACAAAGCAGTCTTGATGGTCTCATTCCCAAAGTTTGAATTCTGATGCTAGATTCAGATAAAACAAGCTCGATAGGATCTCCGAAGCTGCGGCTCAACGAATTCGTGTTCATGTGTGAGTCATGTGATCGTGATAGTGTCATGTAATTTCTGGAAGGAGTAGCGTTTTGAGTTTTAAAAAAACCCAGGTTTTTGACCCCAGTGACCTCATGACGACCTTTGACCCCAGGTTGGTCATGTGTCATGTTGGGGCTGGACTACTGATACTTTTGACAAAGTTTGGTTGAAATCGGTCAAAATATGTAGGAGCAGTAGACAATGTCAATGTTTGTTACTAACCGAGAGACATTACGATTTGAGCTGCTATTCTGCAGCTATAAAACAAGACGTTTCTAAATGTCCACATTGTCACACCATGAAGCCTAACCAATGGCTGAAATGCAAGAGTTTACCGGAGTCACATGAAAATCCGACTCCTATGAAAATCGGACCCCCTATTTCCCTATTATTGATTGATCCCTCGCACGTGACAGGTCACTCTCATGAAACGATCCTAAAAATAGCATAGTATCGAACTCACGCGTGCGCAATACTACCAATAAGTCCACATTTCATGAAGTCGGATATTCACGCTACACCGGTATCCCAAACTTCATTGAGATGCCATGATGAGAATATTGTGCATCAACTGTATGTGCTGAGCACCAGTCACATTCTACATTAATTTACCTTCCTCTGCAGAACACCAATCTTGCGCTCCTTGATATCCAACATCTCTTTGAGTTCGTTGACCTCCGAGTAGCGCTTGGTCTTGTCCGTGCTGAGCGTGCTCAGAAGTTGCTCTTTTCTGACGAGGGTCATCTCTTTCTCGTCGAGGCGCGTCCTCAAAGCTTCCACCTGATTGGTGCATTTAATGAATCAAAACCAAACAAGGAAAAGGTCTCCATTATAAGCAACAGACCATTATCATGTTGCGGCCATCTTAATTTTTTCCCATTCAAAGCAACGTAACCAAAGCGAGGCTGGAAGGAAAAATAGTCTGGTTCCTTTTTGCACAAAAACATTATCATTCAGTACTGTCATTGGATACAGGGAACATGACTGAAATGGTGGCAGCATAATAAAAGTCTATAGGACATGAACCATTTTTACAGCACATTTTATGGATTCAAGGCATGGATACTAGAAAATGCTTTGTGATCTCTCAATAAAGTACAAGTCGAAGAGACACGCTGCATGTGCGCGCACTGGTTCAAGCACACATGGCGCAGAGTGCATACATGTACGCACGTCTCATTTTATTAATGAATCAATGACAATCGGGTAAAAATTTTTCAATTCAAGCAATGACAAGAACAGGTGCATTACCCATCAATATAATTGCAGAAAGTTTGTGCTGGATGCACTCACTGTGGACAGGGCATTGTTCCTGTGTGTTAACTATGAGTTGAAACTTTTTACTTTCACTGTCACTGAATTTAAATAACCTGTCGACAGTGAGGCGCTCTGTGAGAGCTCTCTGAGCTCCGTGCGCCAACAAAAGAGGGCGTGTTTTTACCACTTTTGAGAGCCCCTTGGACGGGATACCGCGTGTGCGCAAGGGACTGGTTAGCGCGCGAAGTACCAGTACGCACGACGTGTTTATCCTGAACTTGCGATGGTCTCGCAGACTAATCCCCGCCCCTAATAACTTTGGATCATTTGAAATACGCAGTGGATGGACCGGGAACCATTCTAGGTCACTCCCAACTCTCCTTTTCTGGCCGTTGAGGGAGTACTTCTGCACGGAGCATAAAGAAAGGATCGAGCTCTTTCGTGCAGAAACCGTTATTCAACACAAATGTGAGGCGTTCTGGCAAAATGAGACAGAACTAGGCAGAGGTCGGAATGAGGGTTTGCTGGTATTAGGATAGAGAATACAATTCTTCTTACAGTACAGTTTGTTGCAGTTTGATTGGACATTCTGTTGACAAGTTATGGCTGTTTTAAGATTCACATTCATTGACTCATCAAAAAAGCAAAATACTGAGAATAACGCCTTTAAAATTTGGACTTTTCTATTCCTGAAAATGAAAGATGCCAATTGTTTTTCATTCAATACACTGGTATTCCACAATTTTAAAACTATTTCTTTAAAATACGTGAAGTAGCCTCATCAAAGATTAGAAAACGAACCACCATTCCTAATTTTTCTTCATTTTCTCCACTGCGGGTCATGCCCAGTTCCGTATTATTTTGCCAGAACGCCGCACAATTGATTTCCTGCACATTCATGTTTTGTCCTGTACAAGTACACGTAGTTAATTCTTTGTCCATTATTCTGTACCACACAACAAAGAATGCATTCAAAAAGTGTAGTTAATGCTAACCATCTCTATTATTAAACAAGAACCAATCAGTGCGTGATTGTCAAAATTAAGTTTATGTAAAATCTCCTGAATCCCTTCTTAAAACTGTGTCCCCCCAACTGTGTCCCCCCCCCCCTCCCCCTCTCTGGATCTCAAAATATTACAAAGGAAACAGAAGGCTCTACTATCTATTACCAAAATGATACAGTTACACGTAATGCTTACATCTATTTATCTATTAAATAATAAACTTTAATTTGTTCTGGAGAATTGAGCCTGGAGCCATTAGTTTTTGTTCCGACTGGTTTCACATTTGCCCCACACCGATAAACAGATTTCATTAGAACGTCGCCTTCCGATGTCCGACGGTTTGATAAAGTACCTTGTGTGAATCACCGGTTCCCACTCATTCCAATACGTCTTGTATCATTAATTCACCTCTACAATCGATGCAGGGGGACCATCTGAGTCAACACAACGTTGAACCAAGCGTGCAAAACACATCGGGGTGTTTTTTAAATGTTCCTTCACGTCAAAAGGATTTTCACCCGACGCTAAATTATGAAGATTTTTAAGTGTGACCAGAAGCACCTTCCAGTATTTTGGAGAATTGCAAAGTATTGATTTGAACCTGTACATGATTTGACTTTTTTCTAAATGTCTTATTTTGTCTTCACATGTCATTGACTGGGGAAGGGTTTGTCAACCCCAAAAGTGGAACCTTTATTTGATCTCATACACAAGATATACGGTGTCATGCCTTTGCGAGCTGTATGCTTTTTAGAAATCTTTATGTATGGTGTACACCATGGGCGTCATACTCATTTTTTGTTTGTACGTCATGCCTCTGGACGTATGAAAAAATGGTACTCGTTGGAAAATGGAAGGGGTTAATTTCAACCCCAGTCCCCCCCCCCCTTCCCCAGTCAGTGCAAGCGTCTAGGATGTAGATTCAGTGATTAATTAACCTAGCGCGGTAGAATCACGTCAACGCAGCTTGTGAAATTTTGTCCAATTACATGATATACAAATGGACGCAGACTGCACAATATTTGAGACAAACAAAACTTAACGTACAAAATTCCATAAAATAGGGTTGTCTAAGGGGCCTGGCTGACACGCGAAATGCGAAAGGTCAATTATGCAAAACAACTGTGTCTTGACCGCCAGATTCTGACCAAGCGAGCTTCTTCTATCGTGCCTTCAGCAACCTGATGATGTATCAGTTTGATCAATGCGATAAGTCAGCTGACCAATCAACACCTTCGGCCACTGCTCTAAATGACGTCACAATTTCTAAAGGCGGATCCAATTGGCTAACACTCCGGCCAAATAATATTCGCATGCCTGGCTATACCAGACATTTGTAATGTGGCTCTGCACACGTGAATATCTGAACCTCATGACTAGTCCCCCCCCCCCTTCCGACCCCCAGGCTGTTGAATATCGCGTCTCAGCAACCTAGTTAGTGTTACTCACGTCTGCTTGCAGGATACTGGAGTGCTGTTCCTTGGCGGCTAACGATTCCTTGAGTAGACTGACGTGTGCCTGGTAGTCTTGATGCTGATGGGTTAGCGTCTCGATCTTCGTCTGGAGCGCTTGAACCTCGGAAGATTTCTTGTTGAGCTCTAGTTTGAATTGATCAACCTGTACACATTGAAAGAAAGAATAAAAAGTGAGGAATTTGTCATTTGGTTTTGGTCCAGGGTGTTGGAACTTGCTGAAACCAGTTAAAGAGGTTGTGCAAACAAAACATAGTAAATCGTGACGTAATAAACAGGACTCCCAATGCAGCGTAGTATAAACGAGTCCTGTTTACTATGTTTTGTTTGCTGCCCCCAACGACGACTTTTACACAAATTGCACGTTCGGGTCGAAACAGGACCTGAAAAACAGCTCTCAAAAGTACCTTTTGTACTCATTTCATGATAGACACAATAGTCGTTTTTATTTCATCACACCTTAGGCTACATATACCCGAAAAATGACGGAAATGTCTTCAAGCATTCCACAACCTCTTTGACACTGGAGGATATGTAAACAGGATCTGGCAATGTAATGGTATACTCGCAGGGGCAGGTGACCGGTTAAATTGTCAAGCCTTCTCTGAGCCTCTGGTGGTTTCCGTTGGTTTTGTCCACACCGTGTTTTGAACTTGAATTTGCTGCATGCTGTACACGGCCTGTCGTTGTAGCAAATATCACTCAGTGGTTGGGCCTCGGGGTGTTGCAATATGGGGTACATGTATAGTTACATGTACGGTGAGAAGTACAAATGCATCGTACAAATACTGCACAATTGACTCTCAGGTGCAGTATTTGAGGTGTTTGACTTAATCTTCAAGTGATGGCAAGTGGTTGAAAGGGGTACAGTTGACATCTGTTCAAAGTGATACCTTTTCACATCCTAATAAGTTAGATGCATTCAATTCATAGGGTACCTGAGGGTGAAATTTGACACAAAAACAGCTCAGCCAAAAAGACAAAAAGGCTAAAAGACATGGGCATGCGAGGGGGGGGGGGTGAGGGGGGGGGACAAGGGGGAGTGCTTTCCCCTACCCTGGACAAGCCAAAGAACACAAAAAAGGAGAAAAGAAAAGGAAAAAAAAGTAAAAGAGGTGTGAAGTCACATTGTTGTTACCGTAATTTAATGGGTTGGGGGGGAGAGGGCAAATGTCCCTGCCCACCCTCAAAAAAAATGATCAATCGGGAAAATGCAGGAAAATATAGGGATTTTTTGGGGAAAATGTGCTTTGCCCCCCTCTAGAAAAAAATCCTGGCGACGCCCATGCTAAAAGTCAATCACTTTTGAACTAAAACATGCAGAGTGTCAATTTTTTTGGCACAAACTCAAAATCCACTTCCAGTACAAAATATCACTGAGCAGTTTCCTTTTGTTTTGGAAAATGTGGTAAATCGTCAAAAAAAAAATCTAATTTCTGACCGCAATTGTACATGTTGTATGGTACATTTGTACTTTGTAATTTGCCATTCATGTATTATTAAGAGTGACTTTGTATTTGTTGGGTAGGTAGTTTGCTATTCATAATCTTGGAGGACGAGTGCATTAAGGAGTGCATCAGAATTATAAAATCATAGATATCAGATGTAACAGGGACAGGGGAAGAAAAAAAAGTGGACCCTAATTTTATTAAATGACCCATGTGTACTAATGTGTTGAAACACTCTGGGTAGACATCTATATAGTACAGTTGTACCTGTAAATACACAGAGCTGTTATGCCCAAATATTGTCTGTTGTGCTGATAATTACAAAGTCTGAGGCACATCACAGCGTCATTGACCTTTGAAAAACACCAGCTATTTTGTTCTCTCCCTGCTGTTAGTGACCCGAAGTGTGTGGTGTGCCCCGAGGCTATCAAGGGGCGGGACAAGAACAAGTGTGATGTCCTCGGCCTGAAAAGGTCACGAAACAGGGGAGGATGGAGGCTTACGGAGAGAATCCGGGCATTCAGTCAGGTGAGAATTGTGGGGATGTTATGCCTTTGCTTCAGATGGATGAAACTGGATGCTTTTAAGCTTACAATCCATGCTGTCTTTGTGAAACTAATTCCATTGAATGGTTTTCTACATGATAATCTATTTTTAAACAACCACACTGCACTCTCTTTGGTCAGAATAATAGGATTTCCTGCACAATCAACAGAGTGGAAGTATGTTAATGTTGCGTTCCCAGTGCTATTTTGGAGAATCATCCCAACAAATAGATCTTGATTCTAAATTAATAAATACCTTGGAGAGTTGATGGTTTCTGATTGGTCGAGACTCGATCACGTGGCCGGTCATTAACGGTGATAATGGACCGGCTTCAAAGATCAAGCGAATAAATGGCCCCTGAACCAGCATTGATCCAGCCCCGTTCAGCCCCATGCAAGCCAATGATTGGTCAAAATATAGTAACAGTCCTGCGGTAGCTTGTAACAATACAGCACTGCACATGCGCTCAACCCCCATCGCGCGAGACTGACGCGCGCGTACGCAACACAGTTGCTAGGGATGCGCGCGTAAGGAAGTTTTGAAACGACATCGTACAGCAGTGCAGTATATACTACTGAGGATGTTTACGACGAAAGCGTAGATCTACGATTTATTTTCTTTTGAAACACTTCACCCACCGACATATTTACCTTTCCTAAACCAAGCATCTTTGTAATTCCGGACACAAGGAATGTGTAAACGAGATTTCAGCTTCCTCCATCAGGTAAAGATATGAAAACATTGTTTTAATTTGTTTCACTACGGCAGCAGTTTCTGTTGAGTTTACGTCGTCATAGCAGTTAAGCTAAAATATGGCCCATGAACATGAACACCAAGAAGTCTGGAAATATCGCCGGAAAAAAGTCACAAAATTGGAGCATTTTAACTGTTTATTTCGTTAAAAAGGTATTTATTAATGGGAATAACAGTGTGAGGATCCGGTCTTCACTGCGTGATAATGACCAGATGTGGGGGTGACCGCTGTTAATGGACCTCAGCTTCGTCTCAGTCCATTAACAGCGGTCACCCCCACACCCGGTCATTATCACGCAGTGAAGACCGGCTCCTCACACTGTTATTCCCTTATTGCTGTTTTTCTGACAACACAAAAGTTATTCAGTTTTGAATGAGACATCGACCCCCCCCCCAAAAAAAAAATGGCCCTTGTTTAGTTATTGAATTGTTACTTTACAATTTCGAATTACTGGCTGCCGGACAATAATTCCGTTCTCGTGGGGTAGGCTGGTTCCTGCCCCACAATCAGTATCGATAATGTATGGACTGGGTGCCAGTCTGCTGGCAAGGCGGATTTTAAATGCCTGAAGCAGAAAAAAACCCACCTTTTTTGAAAATACATTGCAGACGTCCAAAAAGGGGGAAAAAGGAGGATTTTTGGTTAAAAAATGTAAAATTTCCTATGGAAAAGTTGAAAAATGTATTCATATTTGACTCCTAATCAGAGGGTCAGGGGTTCAAATCCAGTTGCTGGTCATATGTGGTGTCCTCGGGCAAGTTACTCATCCCCACTTGCCTCTCTTCACCGGCATTAGCTGGGAGTAACCTGCCATGGACTGGCATCCCATCCAGGGGGAAAAAGACATATTCTCAGTTGTTTCATGCCACTGAAACCAGATAAACTCTGGTCCGATGGGCCACATTGGCTTGTGACAGACTTTACTTCAATACTAACCTGACTCTTGAGAATCTTGGAATGAGACTTATAGTCGTTGATCTCACGCTGTCGATCTTCCCTCTCTTCTGGACTTAACGAGCCCAGCGATCGGACCCTTCTCAGCTCGTGTTCGTACTCGCGGACTCGACTCTCCAAGGTAGCAATCTTATCCTCCTGAAAGAGCATGAAGAAAAGATGAGGAAATCTTCACAAAGAGGTTTTGAAATAAGATATGAGCCCTAACCCTCCCATTAGTGCTTCAAGTAAACCATCATGTTTGGGTTCGGGTTCAGTTCAGCAAGGTTCGCATGTTAAAGCTCATCATTTGTAATTTGTGCATTTTATTCGTTTGAAGCAACAAAAGAGTTCAAAATCTAATGAAGGATACTGAGCAAATAACCTGATGAAGTTTCAGCTAAGCTTCAGCTGTACATTCCGAGAAAAGCAGCATTCTAAGATCTCAATTTCAAATCAAAAGTTACTGAATCATGTTTTGAATTGTTTTGAATTGCAGCTATACGCGCGGCTTCGCGCACTGATCCGACGAATTATAACAACCACACGCGTGTGTGCGTCGTTCCAATACTTGTGCGCGCTGCGCTGAATAACAAAACGAACTACTAATTTAAATTTTCCTACAGTGCTTCTTAAGAATCACCATTGCAAATGCCTTCTTTCGTTGATTACTTCAAAATGACAGCTTCCCAGAAAGAATAATTTCACAGGGAGTTTAGTTCCCTTACTATCTTTCAACCAAGTTTGTTTTTCAACAGTAATTGCGCCAGTTACTTTTCGGATGGCTGCAAATGATGGACTATAGCTTTAAAACGGCGTCCCTCAATGAGTACTTCGACGAAAAAAAAGTCCCGGCTTCGTTTCTAGTCAGTATTGTCAGCCTTTACCCTAACTGTCCCAAATCCATCAAAATCCAAACCCTGGTTTTTGTGGAATTTGACGGATACAGTACAGTATCATATAAGCTATTAGTTTTCCTTTGTTTTCAGTTTTAGCCATTAGTACTACATTGTAGATCCATCTAAACCTACCAGCACTGTCATTAGTAGATATGGTACTGAAGTATTTTGTGCATAACTGAAGGTGATGGATTTTGGTGGACTTAGGAAGGCTCCCAGTATTTTGACCTATGGGGATAGGGTTAAACCAAGGGTTTTAAAGGGTTTTGCAGAACTGAGTTAGTCCCATAGAGCTATATTAAATTACTAGAGCGCTAACTCCTCATTCTTGCGCGCGGAGACGCTTTGAAGCCGTCCTGGGTGCAGACAGTTTGAATTCATGTGCGTGTTTGTAGAACATAATGAAATAAGATGGATTGAATTTTGAAAGTGTACTCTACATGCAACGCACAAGTAGAACATATGCAAACAACTTAAGCGCGTCATGACGGTTTAAAAAAAAAAGTCACAGTTAATCATCTGCAGTGGATATGCGCACGCGTTGCGCTGTTCGCGTAGAGCAAAATGACACGCTCATTTGCTGATCATGCGTTTCGGTTTTGGGCGTATTGGCTTTGGTAATTTCGAGTTTTCCATACATGTAGGTTTGTGCACAAACATGGATGCGCCCAGCAGGCATCACTTTGTACATGAGTCACGGTAGAACGCCATGGTCCAGTGGTTACGGTGTTTGACCCGTGTAAGAAGGTGCGTGGGTTCGAACCCTGCCAGGAACATGGTGTTTGTGCCCTTGGGCAAGACACTTAACTACAATTGCCTCTCTCCACCCGGGAGTATAAATGGGTACCTGTGAGGGTAGAGGACCGATTGAGCGCTGATATCGGCTGCCGCTTGGTCCCATGGCCTGATGAACAGGGTAATAATTGTAAAGCGCTTTGAGATCGTTGATACAATGAAAAGCGCTATATAAGCACAATTAATTATTATGAGTCAGCGCTCTAGTAATTTAATATAGCTCTATGGTTAGTCCATAAGTGAGACTTTAGTCAGATAGGTACAAAGTGGAAACTAAGCTGGCCCTCCGGGACCAACAAAAAATCAAAATGCAACTTCTCTTTTCAACTTTAAAACTGATTCATCACCGAGCCCATGCATGCAAAAGAATGCTCAAATGAAAAAAAAAAAATGCAGGCCACATGTAACACGATAGTCGGTTTGATGTGTAGGTTAGTTTATCATGACACCAAAAAAACACGATCATCAAATCGCAATCACATACCAGGGCAGCGTATCACATAGCATGCAGCATGCAGGAATGTGAAGGGAGACATATACACTGTATGACATTGCACAATGTTAACACAGATGAATGTTGTACACATGTACATGTACATGTATGACTGGAAATTGGTACAACACGCTGTGTAGTGCTCATGAATAGGGAGAATTCGGTTTGTCTAGTATAAATGTGAGGACAACTTTCTGACAAATTTTTGTAATTATCACTCTGCTCAACAGCTTCCAATGGCATTCCATGGACAGCTATAAAAATATGTGTACCTGTAGGTTCTTTTCGTAAAACATGGACACATTGTGTAACTTCTGATAGCATGGATCAATTTCAGTAATTCTGGTTTTCAGATGAGTGGCAGAACATGCTCTTTTAAGACACTTCATTGGTGTATCAAATTTGATTGCGTTTACATTTTTTTTTATCAATCCATGTCATTTTCTTTTTTGACTCACTCTGTACATATTGATACGAGCAGAATTTCAACCTGTGCCCGCTGGAAGACCCTATCAGTTCTCAAGCAACTGAGCTATCAAGACCTATGGGCTCTTTGCGCGATCAAGAGAGGGTGTTTTAAACACCTTCTGGAGCCCAGTGGATGGGACACACCAAGTGCGCAGAACGGTTCATGCGCATTTAGCACAAAGTAGGCACCACATATTTATTCTGAATGTGGACAAAGCCATAGCACTTGGCGTGAGCGTCAGGCGTCACCCACAATGCATTCAAATGTCTCTCCCAGTGGTCTCCCCCAACTCTCCCTTTCTTACCGTTGACGGGGCACTCGTTCGCGGAACCCATATTAGCTGTCGCCAACATTTTCAATGTCTTTGTTCAGCGGTATCTGATCAGAAACCATAAGACGCATGGCCAGAGACCACAGTCAAAACCATCACACTTGAGACATTATAGCATGCTGCAAACCTGGGAATTCCGGGGGGAGGGGGGGGGGGAAATAGTTTTACAAAATTTTCTCCTGTTCTCTGAATCCCCAACCCTTGCCCCTCTCCTTTTTACATGTTATGGTAAAGGGTTCTAAAATACCCTCATATACTACCAGCACCAACCAACACCCACCAGTCACCTCAAACGTCTGATCCTAAGAACCAATACCTTAGTTTTGGTGGTTTCACACAGCGATTTCACCAGGTTAGTTTGCACGGATTCCTCCGACTGAAGCACAGAGTCAACCAGCTGCTGCTCAAACCAGCCTGCCTGCGCGGCCGACTGGCGTAGCTCCTAGGTCATGTAATAACCCACGCGTAGTTGGCGTAACGAAAAACCAGCCAATCACAAGACAGGCACATACAGACATTTCACGGCATGCCACAGATGCAGTTGGCACAGTTTTGGTGTTAGTAGGATGCGTGTTAGATACAAAAAGAAACAGAACAGAAATCACACAAATTACTTTACAGTGGTACATTACAATGTATCTAATTTGGATGTACCTATTTGGCAAGTACATGTACATTGTACTTTGCTTTACATAATCGCTCTTGGAGATAGTTCTAAGGCATTGAAAGATGTGTCCTGAAAATGCACAGCAAAAGTTGGACCCTGAATTTTTGGATTGACCCAAGAACATTGTATGAATTACACATGTCGTCTATTCTGGCAAAAGCCAACACCATATTTTTGCAGGTTTTTTTTTAATGAATTCAAGACTGTTTGGCTAAAGTCAGTTATTTGGGTCTTAGTTTCGAACTTTTTGATTTGATTTGATTGTTTTAATTTTTTTGGTGTGGGGGGGGGGACGGGGGGGGGGGGTTGTGGTGCTGGTGGGGGATGTTTCTATAAGGAAGGTGCTGTTTGGGTGTTACAAAGTACAGTGTACATGATATTTTGTAGGAGTCGAGAAGCTTATAACACTAAATTCTTGGGACTTTTTGCAGCGAACATTTCAGAATCCTACATGTACGTAAGCCTCCATTTGGAAGGAATCATTTTAAAGCCCCATTGCAAAGAAAACTGTTTATTTGCTGAGCCCCACCTTTCTCAATCCTGCAAAATCCTTCCAAACATCCTGGTAAAGTTTTGAGGATCTGAGAGGGTTAATAGCCCAAATGACACAGGACGCACATGTAGGGTTAAAGACGTTAGGGTTAAAAGACGTTAGGGTCTGTTTTGAGTGAATATTTAAGGGTTCTGAGAAAAACTAGACAAGTTTTTTCTCAAACTGACTTTGGTCCACAGTCAACGTTCATAATTGGAAAATTGTCAGAATTTTTTTTTAGTGGAGGTTTCAACAATTGTTAAAAATATGTAAATCATCAAAAACAAACGACAAACATGCAAAAAAAAGTATGTGGCAAAACTGCATCAACCCTCCTGGGCAATTCCACGGTTACTCACGTTACATTTTTGATGTACTTTTGAGTTTCCTTGGGCTGTAATTACCTTACTGAAAATAACTGTTATCCCCATGGTAGATAGAGTAGACCTAGACCTACCTAAGCACCAAAGATGACATCCAGAAAAATGTGTTATGTATGATAAACAAGACGCACAAAATCGGTTACTCACGTTACGAAAATGTAACCTGAGTAGCCGTGGAATTGCCCACCTGGAAAATTGCTTTTGCTACAGATATCATACATTTAATATTAACTATATTTCTGCCAGTAAATAATGAAGGGGATCACCTTAAATGTGCTGGTACACATAAACAAAGGTGATACCTTCACAGATGCAGAGTCAGTTGTAAGGAAACAGTGCACATACTTAGGAAAAGTAAAGCTTAACCCTACATGTAACCACCCCAACTCCATCAAAATCCAACCCCCCCCCCCCCCCCCCCCCCCCATTTTGGTGGATTTTGGGGGACTTGGTCCAGGAGGCCTGGCGTGGCTAAATATTGATGGAGTATGATGGACTTGGGCCTAATGGCCTCAAGCAGTGCTAGGGTATCAGATAGATTTTGCCTAGCTTCCTGTACTGCTACTGTGATAAAAGCCATGTGTAGCAAGTCCATGAATGTCAACCAGTGCGTCAGTTGGTGAATTCCATTATGTCATGTACAGTTTTGTATTGGACACACAGTGATTTATGGATTTTGATGGACTTGGTCCAGTTCCTAGTAAAACACGCTAGGGAGTTAGGGTTAATGGATTAATATCAGTGGTTTAAAGTAACTTGCATTAGTGCCTGTGTTTCCACACGCATTGCCTTGTCTACTGAATACAGACACCCTCAGACTTACATCTGCCATTCTACTCCTCTCCCGGTCGCGCTGATCCAGCATGGTCTCCAACTGCAGGATACGGGACTCCGCCTCCACGACCTTTGACCTGAGCCGGTCCGCCTCCTCCCGCTCCACCTCCAGGTGCTTGGTGGGTAAGCCTTTGCTCTGCAGCATCTCCAGGAGTTTCTTGACGCTCTCGTCCCGGGCCGAGAGGGTCTGTTTCTGGGTCTCGATGCGGATCTCCATCTCCTCCAGGGTCTTGCGCAGCAGGAAGACCTCCTTGGACAGGCGGTCGCGGTCCGAGCGCAGCGCGTCCACCTCGTGGTGCGGGTGGGCGCCGCTGACAGCGTGAGTAGACAGCGAGGCCTGCAGCTGGGCGTTGAACTCTCGCTGCTGCTGCAGCTCTTCCTGAAACTGCTTCAGGTCCTGGCAGTAGTTCTGAGGTGCGGAGAAAAAAACAGGGGAAATTATCAGGTTTGTATGCTAAATATGGACTGGAAGAAGACTGTTGGGGGGGGGGAGCAGTCGGTGCAGACATGCCGTAAAGCAATTACTGCACTGACCCTTGACATTGCCTGAAGGAATGCTGTTATAAACACATGTTCTAACAAAATACAAACTAATATCACGTAAACACAAAATAATATTATAGTGATGCAGCAATGCAAGTACTGCAGTGGGCAGTGTTTTATGTACGGTACTTGTAACTTTGTATGATTTAACCACTTGACTGTACAGAAATACACTGTACATACATGTAAATGTCTTAAAGGGAATGTACAACATTTGCTTTTGCTGCAATTTTCAGAAATAAATGGATTTGGGGTATTAGTATGTAATTGCAAATATTGTTAAACTGACTTGCTTTACTTTTTGGGTTCGGAGATGCTGGCAAATCCAAGAAAACCAACAATGTTCTTGTAGTCTGGTTCCCTGACCCCACTTAAGTTAAAATGTAGCAATTTATAGACTTGGAGAATTGTATGGTCAGAGAATCAGTCTAGCAGGCTTATACGCATTCACAGGTGTGTAATCAATCGCAAAGAAAATGCCGAATAACCAAATATGAAAAATTAGGAGCAGTTTTTGAAAGGAGCCAGTTTTCTCCAACGCTGGTCGGCCGACCAGCGTTAGAAAAATACAAGTTTTCTTGAAAATGTCAGCACACCAGGAGCCACCATTTTACAGAATGCTTTAGACTGTCATTCCCTAACAATCCATTAAGGTACCGGTATTTCATGATAATTTGATCATTTTGTTAATTTTAATGTTTGCAAATGTTGTATCTTCCCTTTAAGAGAAAACAGGGAATAAGAACTCATCTCCAGCTGACACATCAGGTACGGTACATGTACATGTACATGCACATGTACATGTACATTGTACATGTACAGCTCTGCTTGCCATTTACACAGAGTTGGCTGGAGTTTGTGAGATTGGGAGCCGCTGTGATGAAAACCTGTAATTTGTTGTAATTCATGCATGCAACTAAAATTGTGTTCATTTATTATACTGCTGTTCTTTAATACATGTACATAGTGTCAACTTGTCAAGAGTTTATTACACGCACCGGCATTTTTGTTTCCTATACTTCGTGGCATGTTAAATATTGCTCTTTAATTAATCTATATAGGGATTTAAACTTATTTTTATTTCAACTAAATATGAAACACAAAATTTACAAGATGAATCACATTACAAATATCGAGTGAGCACGAACAATGTGAGATCAAATCTGATCAAACATAAGGCAAAAAAAATAGTTCTGCTTCCGATTATGACATTCGTCAAGGGTAAAATTAGAAATTGATGGTTTTGGGTGTTTTTCCCCCTCATTTTTCCCATACAAAAATTAGGGTATTAGGGTAGGGGCTGTCAGAATAGGGTAGGGTAACCGGAAGCAGAACTATTATTTTTATTGGCCTAAATGACAATTGGATCACAGTTTATCAAGATAAAATAAAGAATCGTTAATAGACTGACCGTAACGATACTTGAGCAATTATTTGACTTTAATGAATTGCTTAAATAAAAAAGAAAACCACACATATACACACTTGTGCGTATATTTGCCTGCAATCAGGGACCCCATCATCCCTCTTTTGTCAGTTTGTTTGTACTTTAAAGGTATAGTCCATCATTTGTAATTTGGGCATTTTGTTCGTTTCTCAACAAAAGTGCTCACAATCTAAAGAAGGGTGCTGAACAACTAACCTAATGAAGTTTCAGCTCAGCTTCAGCTGTATATTTTGAGAAAAACAGCATTCTAGGATCTCGATTTCAAATCAAAAGTTGCTGAATCATGTTTTGAATTGGGCCTGAATTCAGCATCCGAGACAAGTTCTCACTGAGCCAATTGCAGCTACGCGATGTCGCGCACCGATCCAACAAATCATAGCAACTGCGCGCAACGGTGCATCTTAAGAAGCACCGTTGAAAAGGACTATTTTTGTCGATTTCTTCAACATGAAAGCATGCCATACGTCAGTTACATTTCGGATAGCTGCAAATGATGGACCAAAGCTTTAACTCTTCAGAAAGACCTCCTATTCCTTTTGTACACGAATCCAAGGGGACCTCTCAGGAATAGGGGACCCTATTGTCTTCCATTGTTCAACGCCCCCTACTGAATGCAGAAACAAACTCTAGTAAGACACTCAGCTAGGGTTGTTTGATACACATCATTTGTTTTAAATCATTTATCTAAATCACGATTTCAGTTAGTGAAAAAAATTATGAAAAATTATTTTAAAAAAAATCAAGTCATGTAAAAGTTAAAAAATCACACGATATGCGGGTACCAGTAGATAAGGGCTTTTTAAAGAATTTTCACCCCATTTTAATACACTGATGTTACAATGTATCATTCTGATTATTATCAAACAGAGTTTTGCAACTATGTGTGTAGAATAATAATTGTGTAAGATATAACTTTTTCGATAACTCACACAAAGACAAAAATAAAAAAAAATTAAAAAAAACGATTTAAATGTAAATAAAAAAGTTGATTTAAATTTTTTTAAAAGATCCAATTTTTTTTTAATTAAAAAAAAGTCACGATTTTGAACAAACCTGCTCTCAGCATATTTAGTACCAATGTCTAAATCCAGAGAATTATAATAATAAACCCACTTCTTTCAATTTCTACATCCGATGGTTTCAAACTGTCAACAGTCGGGGACTGTTTAGTGGGCGAGTTTCCCAAGCCACAGAGGGAACATAACAGAGCTATGGGAAGGCCTGGCAAAGGCGAAACAGAATACAGTGAATCACACCTCAGCCACGCAGGGCCGGCCCACATCTCCCTCAATACTCTGATCCCTGTTTGTTGTCGTCGCACCGTTCTTATGTGGCCAACTCTCTCCATATCCGGATCCACACAGGCCGAGCAGCCCTGCTTTGCAGGGAGGCTCACTCTTGAATAGGCCAGGGGTAACGTGACACTTGTGAATATCACACCGGTTTCAATTCAGTGGGTTAGTTATTAGATCAGCGACTGTGGCTGGCTCTGGCAATCATTCTATGGGAATTGGGAATCAAGGGCAAAGACTTCTCCAGATCTTCTCTACTTTGTGGATTGTAACTTGTGAACAAAATCTATTTTTGTTTACTTAAGAAAGTAGGCTGAGGCTCGTTCATAGAAGACAGTGAGCTATGAGCTTTGGCATTTTGGGAAGGGATTTACAGGTTTCTCGTTGAGTCATTCTGATGAAGTTGTAGAATATTTAATCCAGAGACGAACTATTTTCGTTTCACCTCAATTTTCTTGTTGAACATTCAGATGTCTGCAAGCACAGGTCCAGTTTTAAAGAATTTATAAACGAAGGATTAGGCCCTATAAGATGTGAAACACGTTTTAGGGGAAATGTAATTTATCCTCATTTTAATTTATACTGGATGATTTTTTAACATACATGTGCATTCTAATGTACATGCACATGTACAATGTACATGCTTATGAACATGTACATGAATGCTTTGAATCATACGTACAGGTACATGTACGTACATTGTACCTGTACATGTACCGGTACCCTTGTTAGGCACAGTGATCAATATGTGCAAGTATAGCATCTCTCAACAACATACATGTAGTACATGTATCCCATACACATACACGTGTACATAATGTTCATACATGTATGTATCAGGAATACATACATGTACACGTACGTACATGTACATGTACATGTACATGATGTTCACATAATTACATTGTACATGTGTGCCTGTATTTTCATACTGAATCTATTAAGCAAGTAAAGCAACCCAAACCAATTAACATCTTTACAAGGTACTATAATTATTATTACTATTAATCATTTCTGGTAATGAAACCAAGCATTCCTCAAAAGCGCTCTAGGCACTGTAGCTCGCAAGCCTGAAGAAACCTGTAGAGAGAAGACAATGAGAAGAACTTACAGTTCTAGAGGTGGGAGGAAAAGCCCAGAAGAATATTCTTGGGAAACCCATGGTATCAGGTACATGTACATGTACATGTACATGTAGGGACTAATCCACTTGTAGCCAGGGCAGGAATCGAACCTGGGTCACAGTGGTGGAAGGCGAGGAAAGTGGCCAACCCGACTGTAATTATCGAGTAATTGTATGTAATTATTTAACATACTGTACATGTATGTACAGTACATGTAAGAATTTTTCATTTGACCTTGTGAAAGTGACAGCCATGTTCAATGAATAATGTAATGTACCCGTACATCATGTACGAATGGAGGAAAAAGAAGAAATGTAAGGCAAGCCATGCAAAGACATGGTGAAAATGCCATAGATGTATGGGTGTATTTACAACCAATATGTACACATCAATTAAATGGATTTTTACAAGATATTTTTACAGCAACAGTAACCTAAAAAAATCCACCAAAAAGAATCAGTATCAAGGACCCATTTCTGAAATTTCTGAAAGTTGATGTGCATAATGTGTATACATGATTGTAATGCTACCCCTCACTTCAACTGTTTGCAAAAACAACAAATTGTTAACAACTTCCATCTTGTGATTTCTACATGTTGTATTGAAAACCATGCTCAATTGAACAATTAAGAACTTTGATGTGAGAGAAAAAAAAATTGATTCAATCTACCGGTAGGCCCTATAGGCCTAGATCTTATGCATTGAGCATGTCGAAGGTGTCTCAGAGGGCATTCTTTGCTAATTTGTTATATTTACAATGAATGCACAAATGGTAGGCCTATGGGGCCCTCTATTGCGAACAAGAGAGGATGCTTAATTACAACATTTGAGAGCCCCGTGGATGGGACACACTGTATGCACGTAATGGTTCGCGCGCGTACTGGTTCGCGCGCGTAATGGTTCGTGCACGTACTGGTTCGTGCGAGCACTGGTTCACGCGCATACTGGTTCGCGCGCGTACTGGTTCGCGCGCGTACTGATTCGCGCGCGTACTGGTTCGCTCGCGTACTGGTCCATGCGCATACTGGTCCATGTGCATACTGCATGGTCCCTGCGCTTACTGGTATAGCGCGGGGTACGCACAACTTATTTGTTCTGAATGTCCACGAATTATATTTATTTTAAATGTGCACATCTAGGCAGCCATGTAGCATCTTTGTCAGTGATGGACAAGAACCCCGTAATGAATGAAATCTCGTCTTGGGAACTTTGGCAAGCGCTTCCCAGAAAATTCTGAGCATCGCCATTTTCAAGCTTAAATCCTCCTATAGATGCAAACATATATTTTGTGAAATTCATGAAATTAGTCCTTTCAGTCAAAATCAATCAAGTGCCTTTTTTCAACAGTTAGGAATTTCCAGCCTACATGTAAAGCAGGATTGACTGGCTAGGACTGTTTAATTAACTTGATACAGCTGTGCTTTAATTCTGGGTGAGTGATAAAACAGCTGTGACCACAACTTGCCTGCTTTGTCTGTTGACCCAGTTTGACTAGTTACAGTGCTTACTTAACATATGATCTGACTGCTGGTGACTAGCCTTTGTTGAAAGTATAGCAGGGGAAGTGGAAGTGAAGTTTGTCTGTCTGTGACTGTTTAAATAGCAGGAGGGTTAATGCACGCATGTCCGGCATGTTTGGAATATCCAGGCCAAACTTAGCAACCTCTACTGCCACAACAGCTTCATCGCGCAAGTAAGGTGCCGACTGGCCGGACTGTATTAGGGGAACAAACACTAAATCCAGTATTGAAACAAGGCTAAGCTTAAGCTGGAAGCTGAGGCTTTGTGCCCCCCCCCCCTCCTCCACATGAGGTCAAGGTCTGACATGATACACAATATGATGTACTTGTACATGAACACCGATCTTTATTACTGAACAGCCAATACACCAGCTGTCATTGATGCCTCAACGCCCACATGACATTATGTATTTTTACGCAATGCTGAACCCCGCCAGATGGGCCCAACTAATATCAAAGTGGAATCCGTGAATTACATGCATTGAGCCAACTCAAGCCAGCTGGTGACGGTTCGTTGGTTTTTATGAGTTTGAGATCAAGAAAGCTTTAGAATTTGATGTTGAAATATTTCATGAAATGATTGCTCAATACCTACATGTACAAACTGCAGTCAGTACTGTTGTTTGTTAAAAAAAAAAAATTATTTTATGTTGATTTCACAATGCATGATACAATGCAGGTGTTAAATAAGATTTGATTAGCATGGTTTTCCATTTACAACAAGAGAATCAATTTCGTCGCTGAAGAAATCTTGGTTTAACGACACTAACTTTCTGCTGAGGATGGACAGAATACTCTATCGTCCAAAACATCAAAAACACTCTCCAATCGTATGCCATCAAAGTGTCACATGACCATCCAGTTTCTCCATGATTGGCCACAAGCCAAGCATTTGATTAGCAACCAAGTCATGGAACTACCGGTAGATAGTAGAGCTCAATGTCACTTAACCGTGACTTCTTCATCAAATGGCATAATGGTCACTACATGTAACTGTGCCGTGTACAGTTCCAATAATCGGCCATCCAGTTCGCCGTCAAAATCTTAAGTATATTTCCATAGTGACTGTTGGTTCTAGTCATAGAGCTATATTACATGTAAATTACTAAAGCGTTAACTCCTCATTCTTGATCTTGGGCGCAGAGATGCTCTGAAGCCGTCCTGGCAGCACAAACATTATGAATTCGTGTGCATGTTTGTAGAACACAATGAAATTACAACTTTGTAAATGAATTTTCTATAAACACAGCCAATTACTAAACGTAGTTTCGTTTAAGTTTCAACTAGTTTCACAAGTCATCCTCAGAACGAAGCACCGCCAGTCGGTTGGTGGCGCTGTTTCCTGTTGCGGCCACTAGATGGTGGTCTGGCCGCTTATGTCCTCCCCCGGGGTGGTACTTGGGGTACTTGGGACACAAGCGGCCAGACCACCATCTAGTGGCCACAACAGGAAACAGCGCCACCAGCCGACTGGTGGTGCTTCGTTCTGAGGATGACTAGTGAAACTTGTCGAAACGTAAACAAAACCACGTAAGCCCTGTGTTTATAGAAAATTCATTTACGGATGAACTTCTTTCATGACAATGAAATTAGGTGGATTGAATTTTGAAAGTGTACTCTAAATGCAATGCGCAAGTAAAACGCACGCCAACTTCTTACGCATGTTACGGTTTAAAAAAAACACGGTGAATCATTTGCAGCGGATACGCACACGCGTTGCGCTGTTTGCGTACAGCAAAGTAACACGCTCATTTGCTGATTGTGCATTTCGGTTTTGGCTGTATGGGCTTCAATGACGCAGCGGTGTATGGAATACAAAGGCAGATATAACAGCCGTACAAACGACGTACAAAATGTCTAGTTCTCCACTGGTTTGTGTGCAAACATGGATGCGCCCAGCAGGCATCACTTTGTACATGAGTCAGCGCTCTAGTAATTTAATATAGCTCTATGGTTCTAGTACAACTGAGCCATTGTAATAATTGATTACACTGTAGGTCTATTTCCCGGTCATTTGCCTTTACATGAACAACATAGAACTGGAATTATAGCCTCTGCAGTCGCAAAGAGATCATAAATAATTATGTTTTATATTTAAAACAAAGTTGACTTTTTAGCCCACTTGACACTTAAGGATCTTTCATGTTAGCTAGGACATAAGGATCTTTCATGTTAGCTAGGACTTAAGGATCTTTCGTGTTAGCTAGGACTTAAGGATCTTTTATGTTAGCTAGGACTTAAGGATTTTTCATGTTAGCTAGGACTTAAGGATCTTTCATGTTAGCTAGTGACCTAGTGTAGGGCTTAAGGATCTTTCATGTTAGCTAGGACTTAAGGATCTTTCATGTTAGGTAGGACTTTAGGATCTTTCATGTTAGCTAGGACTTAAGGATCTTTCATGTTAGCTAGGGCTTAAAGATCTCTCATGTTAGCTAGGACTTAAGGATCTTTCATGTTAGCTAAGACTTAAGAATCTTTCATGTTAGCTAGGACTTAAGGATCTTTCTTGTTAACTAGGACTTTAGGATCTTTCATGTTAGCTAGGACTTAAGGATCTTTCTTGTTAACTAGGACTTTAGGATCTTTCATGTTAGCTAGGACTTAAGGATCTTTCATGTTAGCTAGGACTTAAGGATCTTTCATGTTAGCTAGGACTTAAGGATCTTTCATGTTAGCTAGGACTTAAGGATCTTTCATGATAGCTAGGACTTAAGGATCTTTCATGTTAGCTAGGACTTAAGGATCTTTCATGTTAGCTAGGACTTAAGGATCTTTCATGTTATTAGCTAGGACTTAAGGATCTTTCATGCTATTAGCTAGGACTTAAGGACCTTTCATGCTATTATTTAGGACCTAAGGATCTTTCATGCTATAAGCTAGGACTTAAGGATCATTCATGCTATTAGCTAGGACTTAAGGATCTTTCATGTTAGCTGGCAGCCATATTTGTCAGCTTCTTGAAATGAACAATGCATGCATGTGACGTAACTCCAACATAGATCCTGCTCGGAGAGCAGGTATGAGGTGGCGCAAACGGTTGATTGCTGAGAATGATATCAGAGTAAATCGAACGGCATGGGGCTCACCCGAGCAGACCTGGGTGAGCTATTGAACACATCCACTGTGGCCTGTTCTCAAATACATTGTTAGGACACGTCCGAACCACTTGGCTATAAGGCTGGCAGTAACTCATGCAACTATGGGAAGCGGGTTCCACTGTTTCCATGTGCATGGATACACTGCAAGCAAGCCTTAACCAACTGATTCAGATGAAGCCGTTCGGTACCAACCTGATTTTCCTCCAAGGAAGTCCGACACTGCTCCCTCAAGACCTGCATCCTCATGGATTCCTCCTTCCTGAGAGCCCGCTCCTTCTTGAGCTCGGGACTCCAAAAAGTCTTGATGCTGTTCATGCTGGAGGCCAGCTTGGCCTCCTTGGCCTCTAACTCCTGCTTGAGGGAGGCATTCTCCAGTTGGTACTCCCGGAGCTGGGTGTGAACGTCCAGCATGATGGAGTCCTGCGGCGGGCGCATATCCTCGGGATGATGGGAGTTGGAGTGGGAGTTGGAGTTGTTCATGGCCAGCTGGTCCGAGGGATGGGGTTCGGCACCGTCGGAGCCGGTCAGTGGGGAACCGTGGAGACCCTGGCTGGATCCTAAACTGCTGGAACGACTATCATGGCTAGGAGTGGGTAGGGAGGAATAACAGCAATACCATAGAGAATTATTGCTCTAACAAACTAAGGTAACATGCGATGACGTCACACTTTGTTTACCTGTGCGCTTATCCGTTGGGCTACGAAACCGTAGTCCCCATCAGGCTCCTATAAGAAAGCACACGTGTAAACAAAGTGTGACATCATCGGTACATTTAGAATGTTCAGTTTGTGTTGAATATATATATGTTTTGATTGAGTTTTGTTAATTAAGTTCAAATTCAGTTATGTCAATTTTAAGTTTCGTTAATATCATATATTAGCTTTTAAATAACCTCACTTTAGATCAAATGCAAATTATAAAAAAGTTTTTTGTTTAAAAATATTGATTTGCACAGCATATAGCATATCTTCGTGAACTTGTTGCCCGAAGCATACCTACCAAGCCCTAAATCGTAAACTTACAACTTTAGCAATTTTTCCCAATTTAAAGGGAATGTGTACAACATAATGCTTTTGCTGTAATTTTCAGAATTGGATGGATTTGGGGGTGGTAATTGGTAGGCCCTATTTTATGGGAAATATTGTTACATGTTACACTGACCTGTTTAGGGTTTTATGTTTGTAGATGCTGGAAAAACCAATATTATGTAGTAATAATAATAATAATAATAATTTGGGAGGCTAATCATCCTTACTGGCAGCTGGTGTGCTGAATTGCGAAGGACGCGGCTACAACGTGGTCGGACCGCTGGCACTTAAAGGTGCCTATGGCTGCCGGCCACATCGACCCATATATGACCACGGAGCACAGCCTGAGATCGAAAGTGTTTGATTTTTCCGGAGGGAGGAATACCGGAGGACCCGGAGAAAAACCCTCGTGGCACAGGAGAGAACCAACGCACAACTCTACTCACATGTGATCCGCGGCCAGGATTCGAACCGTGGTCACTTGGTGAGAGGCGAGCGCTTTACGCACAAGCCACCCATGCCACCCTAGTCTGGTTCCCTGACCCCACTTTAGATGAAATGCAGCAATTTATACTGACGTTGGGGAATTGTAAGGTCAGGAAACCAGTTTGCTGGCTTGTACCTGTTCATGGATGTGTAATTCACTGCAAACAAAATGTGGATTAACTAAACCCTAAATGTACATGTATATTTGAAGAATTTTTTTTTTCCAACGATTGTTGGCCGACCATCATTGGAAACTGATACAAATATTCCACCTTTCTTGAAAATGTCAGCACACCATGTGTCATGATTTCACAGGATGCTTTAGACTGTCATTCACTAACAGTCCAGTAACTGAGTAAGGTACAGTTGTATTTCATAATAATTGGGTAGTTTTGTTTGTTGATGTTCGCAAATGTTGTATATTGCCTTTAAACATAATTGCACAAGTTATGTGCCACTCTTTCACTATATTCTAACCTTGGTCCATCACTGCAAACCAAAATTTGGATATTGGGACTACAATTTAACGAAACACAACAAAACGTAATCTGAGTCTGACCTATGCCACGGTAATTGTTAGATTTTACTTTGGTACATTGTCATGCATTTTGGCATACATGCAAATGTTTCATTCTAATTATATACATCATCATGTGTACTGTACAGCAACAATGTCTGGATCTCCAAACTATAAACACGATATAGGTAAATATTAAAAACGCTGTACAATCGTATTTGAAGACAACTGGGAAAACAGAAGCAATATCATTCCAGAGTGCTATCCAAGCTGTTGTGTTAAGTAGCCATTCTTGATGTACATGTATAGCCAACACACACACCGCAGGTCCATGTACCTTGGGGTTGGAGAGTTCCGCGGTGACAGCGAGTTGGACTTGCCACTCGCGCCGCTCGACACGGGCGAAGCCCGGCTCTGAACAGGACTCCCAACTCCGTCCCCCATGTAAATAGGTCCTGCATTATAAGCAGCATTCAACGACTGTATCGTCTCCATCGGCAGAGAAGTGCTCACATCAGGTCGTGAGGAACGAAGACGGGCTGAACGCGACGGCGATCGTGTCCCCGAGGCTGCCGATCCCGAAGCGGAACTGCTCCGGCTAGAACTACCGTCTCGCTCCGCTGCTGCACCGGTACCGCTGTGGTCTAGCGGCAACGGCGATTGCCTTGGACTGTACATTGTGTATTGTCTCGTGTGCCTAGGCCTGCTGTACACATACACCACACACCCAGGGGGTCACCAATGTTGTCTTATTCACGGTCGAGTAGTCATTATTTTGAGGCTAACTTGCGGTGTTGACAGACGAGTAGTGGTTACACTGAGACATTTGCTTCCACGTTCGTGTGCCGGCTCCTCGCACGCCCAGCAAATCCAAAATGGCCGGCTGTGATGTGATGTCGATGATGCGCTATTGATGCATGCAGCGCGTATATCTTGTACCGCCTGATGAATTATGCAAAATAATGATGATACTACATGGATACCTCATCCTCATATTAATCACATTAGATATGATTGCAATGATCCCTGTTCGTGAACACATGCAGTTTTTTAGTACTCGGTACCCGTTTCACTTTTAAATTTTATTTTTGCCCTTCACCGACGTTATCATGCAAAATCCACAAAAGCTTGTAATAAAAAAATTGATCCAAAATTGTACCTACCTCAGCTCTTAACGATTTTCAAGTTGATGTCACAGGTGCAGTTGTTATTTCCTGTTAAAAGATACGTTGTATGTAGTGCGCCACGTGTCACTCATTGTAGGTTTTTTTTAATTTAATTTTTATTAATTAGTTTTTTGGTTGGTTTTTAATAGGGCAACGGTACATCACGGGCACAAGCGCGGGCCCATGATCGGTCATACGTCAAAATCTGTCCCTGATAGAATCATTAATAGTTCGAGGCAAAGGAAAAAAAAGCAACTTTGAGTCCCTAATTAACCTGGCCCTCACTTCTTATAAAGAGTCATGCCTTGAAAAGAGAGTACAGGACTCCAAAAGATGCGGAAATGCAAGTTAGCTGCCTTAGTTTTTTTAAGATAGGAGGAAAATCTTCCAGTCAACTTTTTTGGTATAAATTTAAAAGTATGTCATTTTAAATTTCATCTCGGGTAAATAAATGCACGGTTAATTGATTTGCACTGAAGTTCGACGTGAATCTTGGCGTGCACTTAGAGTTTTAACACAACTAAAAGAAATTCTTCTAATTTGTTGAGTACTTATACCATACCAATATTATACAAAGATCCTACAGCGCCTGTAGTTTCTTATTCAACTTGGCGGAGTATGCTATTTTTCTTAATGCGCGCATATGCAGCTCAGACGTCGACCGCTAGTTTGTTAGGGCGACCTCTATTGACAATTTTAGCGTATAATTTTCTCGTTTTGGCGTACCTTTCAAACGTCCGGTACTCATTCATTCGGCAGTTTTGACACATAATGTTTATACCAAGGATGTGATTGTGTATGGACCAGATTCTGTGATCATGTCAACTGTCCAGAATCAGAGTCAACGAAGTGCTTGTTTTGGACAGGTTTGATCTTTGGCTGTTTGTTTGATTTTTTTTCGCCAATCCCAATCGGTTTACGTTCATAATCATAAATATCGGATCGGTCATCATGCGAATGCGATTGTAATACATGTAGGCCTAGTTATTACGGTGACTGCTCTATGTTCCGACACCCCTATGTTCCGACAACCTAGATTGTGTTACTCCCGGTTAGGGTTAGGGTTAGGAATAGGAATATGTGCAGTCGGAACATAGGAGTGTCGGAACATAGAGGTGTAACCGTTATTACTTAGTACTTATAATTAAGTTATACCACTGAATACCAGCGCCTGTAGTTTCTTATTCAACTTGGCGGCTGTCCTTATCAGGCAGGCTATTTTTTTTTAACTGAACGCATGCATCTCAGCTCATCTCAGCTCAGCTCAGCTCAAGTGTACTTGATGCTTGGTTTGCCTTTCATAATGTACAAGTACAACATTTGCTTTTTTCTGTAGTGTAAGTGTCAGAAATAGATGGATTTGGCCCAAATCCAAATTTTGGGGGCTTTATTTTATGGTTAATTATTTGTTACACATGGAGGAAGGAATAGACCTGTGTTAAAGTTTTTAGATGCTGGAAAAAACAAGGAAAAAAATGTTGTTCTTGAAGTTGTAGGCCTAGTCTGGTTCCCAGACCTTTCTTCTTGTGGTTATCAGCTAGCAGTGTCAGCTTAACTCGACCATTTGCCAACTCGACTCGGAGCAACTCGCCCCTTTACCAACTCGACCGTTGAACCAACTCGACCGTTGTGCGTTCAACTGTACAAGTCAACTCGACCGTTTACTAACTGAGTAACTCCTCTGTTGTCCAACTCGACCGTTGTGCGTTCAACTGGAAAAGTCAACTCCACCATTGTCCAACTAATAAATAAAACTAATTTTAAATTATTTTTATACAAGCTTGCGTTTTGGAAATATAACAATTTAGCCTCTGCTAATTGGCAAAATCCACTGATCCAGTGAAACATTTAGTCATTTTTTGTCAAATTATGAAAACCGAACAAAATTTTTAATATCACAACAAGTTGATTTTCAAATCAGATGTGTACATGTATCTCTTATTACAAAAAAAGTTATGGTTTTCTTTTCCGGTTCACCACACGAGGTCACAGCCGTGTTCTGGCCCCATGATCGTGACCAGAAAAGTCAGACGGCCTGACGTGACACACGGGCAAAATACAGTTCCGATTCTGCTTTGCACAAAGCGGCAACATGGAACATGCGTACGAGTAATCGCTGTTTCAACATGCCAGACATGAATAATTATTTACCCATTTGTTTTGTTAGAGAAAGGGAAAATTAATTGATAACATTGTGCTTTTTTCCTATTTTATTTCTTGAAATTCCCACAACTCAGAAAAATGAAATCTCATTGATTTTTCTGTGCACCTCAGGTTGAATTTAGTCAGGAGGAACATGCTGCCGTACAAGCAGCCCTCCGACAGAAGTTGGGGCCAGAGTTCATCAGTCAAAGGTCAGGAGCTGGAGGACAAAAGGTACATGTCGGTCGATCTTGCTGTTTAGTTTGGACTTTCTCTGCAGGAACAGTAGATACATGTACCATGGTGACCGTTTTAGCTGATTTTCGGCTAACTTTGACAGAATTTTTGTTAAAAAAACGAGTTTGACAGAAAATTTGACAGAATGGACTTTTTTGGGCAGATTTCCAGCAGAATTCTGCAAAAATGGTTATTTGACAGAAAAAACAGCAAATTTGAAAAAAAAAGTGTACATTTGTTTAAAAAAGCTTCAATCCTTTAAAACAAACCCTTGCATAATGGGACAGGTTGGCTGGTCTAGGTGCTGAGGTTCACTGGGAAACGGACTTCGTCGTGGCCGGATCTGCGTTTTGCCCAAAATGTACCAATAATTTCACAACATCTTTATGTGACTAGATTGTTTATTATGTATGAAAAAAAGAATGTTTATTATGTTTATTATGTAATTTGAATCTAAATTAAGGCAATACTACCAAGTGTTTCTAGTGTATTTTGAGCAATTCTGGGGAATTTGGCAGATTTTTGATAAATCTAACAGGTTTTTGATGTGCATTTAGCAGAATTTGGCTCTGACCTTACGGTCACCCTGGTAGGTACATGTGCTTTGTGACCACTTTCGAATGCTGCAGTTGGAAGGACACACAGCGTGTGTGTGTAGTGGTTAGGCCTATGGGCTCTGTGCACAAGTGCCCCCTCAACGGTAAGAAAGGGAGAGTTGGGGGAGACCACTAGCTGGGAGAGACATTTGAACACATTGCCGACAACGCCCGATGCTCACGCCAAGTGCTATGGCTTTGTGCGCATTCAGAATAACATTAGTCGCGCGTACTTGACCCTGTATGGGCCTAAACTTGTAGGCTATGGTGTGTGCACACGGTGTGTCCCGTACACTGGAGTATCAAAAGCGTTAAACAAGCTATGGAGTGTCATGGCCTAGCGGTTAAGAGCACCGGACTCATGCTCTGGTGTTTCAGAGGCAACAGTGGCGTGGGTTTGAGCCCGGGTCCGGACACTTGTGCCCTTGAGCAAGGCACTTAACCATTATTGCTTCGTCCTTTGGATGGGACGTTAAGCCGGAGGTCCCGTGTGTTGTATAAGGCCTAAAGCACGTAAAAGAACCCAGTAACACTTATCGCTAAGAGAAGGGGTTTGCCCCAGTGTTTCTGGCCTCCTACTTATACTCCCTTGTGGAAGTCCTTAGGAGAAGAACCAACCAAGTACCAAGTATTCTGAATGCACGATTTTATTCTGCATGTGAACAAAATCGTAGTGCCATCGTAGTGTCTTTGCATGCGCATCAGGTTCTGCATTCAAATGTCACTCCCAGTGGTCTCACCAGCTCTCCCTTTTGTAACCATTAAAGCTATAGTCCATCATTTGCAGCTATCCAAAAAGTAACTGGCGTAATTATTGTTGAAAAACATTGGTTGAAAGATAGTAAGGGGACTAAACTCCCTGTGAAATTATTCTTTCTGGCAAGCTGTCATTTTGAAGAAATCAACAAAAGAAGGCCTTTCCAACGGTGCTTCTTAGACGCACCGTAGGAAATTCAAATTCAAATTAGAAGTTCGCAAGCATTGGCATGACGCACACGCGCGCGTGGTTGCTATAATTCGTCGGATCAGTGCGCGACATCGCCTAGCTGGAATCGGCCCAGTGAGAACGTGTCTCGGACGCTGAATACAGGCCCAATTCAAAACATGAATGATTCAGCAACTTTTGATTTGAATCGAGATATCCTAGAATGTTGTTTTTCTCGAAATATACAGCTAAAGCTGAGCTGAAACTTCATCAGGTTAGTTGTTCACAGGCATGCAACTTTTCCTCGGATCAGCTGATTTCCTCTTTTTATACTTCCATGTGTGCCATTGAAAATAGAAAAACACTGTACAAAGTCTTGGAAAGATTTGAATTTCCTCTTTTTGTGTGAATACCCAGTTGCATGCCTGTGTTCAGCACCCTTTAGATTTTGAGCACTATTGTTGCTTCAAACGAACAAAATGCACAAATTACAAATGATTGACTATAACTTTAAGGGGATATACTTGTTTAACTTTTATCCTAAGCACTAAATCATATTTATTCTTTTGAATATCTAAGCATAATGTAATTAAAAATGACTTGATCAGATGCTTTACTTTGTGTTTGATTGCAATGACAGAAGAAGCGATATTCCATTGTATTTTTATTTTTCTTGTATGTTTCTTTTGACAGCTTGCCTACATTGAGGGATGGCGTCTGATATCTCTGGCCAACGAGACGTTTGGTTTCAACGGCTGGTCACATTCGGTCACTCATCAAAACATCGGTATGAGAACGATATCCCCATTTTTACAATGTCCTCCAGATTTGTAAAATATAAAATTTCAAATTTCGAATTTCAGTATGGAGCAACATATGACAAAAATATGCCTATGGACTCCTTATTACAGTACACAGGGAGGGGTAAAAAAACTGCATCCCAAATGGCAGGACTAATTTTTGGATGAAGTTTTGCCGTAGCACTTTCAAAATCTAGGATAAGAAAGCCCAATCAATGAGTTTTCTTTTAGTACAAGAATCATTCAGATCACTCATGTACTTTTCAAGTTACGGCATTTTGAACACAAACCCTGTTTTAAAGTTCTGTTCTGTTTTAAAGTTCTGTTGGTTGAACATTCAACAATCCTCACATCGGCATGTGTAATACTACCGCAACGCCCCATTTGCATTCTGCGCGTCATCGCGCGCACCAATCTCCATAAAGAGAGTTGTTTGCATCTTACTCCCGTACTGGACACTCCATTTTTAAGCTAGAGAGGTTTTTCAAAAAACCATAAAGTGAACTTGTTGAACAAAGTCGGGTGGGTTTTAGCAAAAAGTTTTGGGTATTTTTATACTGAAAAGGTATTTATGAAAAGGAATAAATATGTGCTAGGTCGGTATTAATTAATCACTCTGTTTAAGACTGCTTGAAGTCTGGGAGCTGGTAATTACCCTTGCCAAATAATTATCAGCACCCAGACTCCAAGAAATCTTAAACAGAATGATTAAAACCTCCCAGGCACACATTGATTCCCTTAATCATTTGCTTAGCAGCATCATGACACGGCGCTGCTAAGCACAAAAATTTGCTTAGCACAAAAAAAAGTCTGGCTTATAAAAGCAGGTTACCTGCCAAAACTCCACGTGATGTATATTGCTCGTGATCAGTATTCAGCTGTTGTTTGCGTAGCATGAAAATCACATGGAGTTTGGCTGGTAACCTGCTTTTATAAGCCGGACTTTTTTTGTGCTAAGCAAATTTTTGTGCTTAGCAGCGCCGTGAAATTGGCCCTCGGACACACCATGTGCGTGCACATATTTTCTGCAATGAGCACAAACCTACAGTCTCTCCATAGAGTACCATGAGTGCACAACAGCGATCATACTCGGGTATAAAGGTGTAAGGCTGCAATTCAGGGCGATTCACAATGCAGTGTGCCACCAAGAGTTTGCCACATAGTTAATTATTCCCAGTGCACTTTTGGAGATGGTCGACAAATTTGCAGCGAGGGACGTTTGAATTTATTAGTTTTTCCAGTCAGTAGTTTCGTAAGCGTATGATTCGAGTACACGTTTGCCCTTTTCTTTTTATCAATATGGTGTTTTTTGTAAGGCAGCAGAACGCTATGCTCCAATCTATAACAAATTAGCTAAAGTTGTCTACTGACACTCGTTCAAATGGGCCATGTTTTGTCGACTGTAAAATTGAAAAATTAACTCTCCATGGCAAACTCTTGGTGGCGCACTGCATTGTGAATCGCCCGAATTGTTCACGATACAATACATATCACAATACGTAAGTTTTCGTCCGGACCCAGGAAGTTTTCTTTATTCACCAAGACTTTGAATGTTTTGGACTATAACTTACAGATTTCGTGGAGCAGGCTGGAGCCAAGTACTTCGTCGGTGTGAGTGCTTTTGTCAAGGTTCAGCTCAAGGTACTAGTATATGACAAAACAGATGTGCTGTGATAACTTTTGAAACCAAAAAAGCATTTTATTTTTCTTGTGGGTACATCTTTCCAAGGGACACTGCTGTACGAGAAAAAAAGTTACCATGATTGTCCATGAAGTCATTTTATAACTTATTTGGTAAAGTCTCAACTATTCTTTGCTTGTCATTTTTGATGTAAACAAGAAATACTATCTCCATATTCAACATGATGAAAATTAGAGCAATACGCTCTGTGGATAAGCTTTCAAATCACGCGAGTAACGTGACTGCCGGCAAAAATGAGGCATTTGACTAACAATAAAATCATGCAACTTATTGGATTTAAAAAACATCACGGATACTTTTCCTCACTCTCCTCTTGACTGCTTACATGTTGTTAATACCCAAATTGAAAAATGCTTTATGGATATTCAATGGATGATCGGATATTCGAATATTCGACACAGCCCTAGTGTTCTTCTCTCTACTTAGGATGGTGTATTTCATGAAGACATCGGCTATGGCGTCAGTGAAGGGATGCGTTCCAAGGCTCTGTCCATTGAGAAAGCTAGGAAGGAAGCGGTGACGGACGGCCTCAAGAGAGCTCTCAAGTAAGACCAATACGTCTGTTCTCATTAAAGTCTGTTCTCCCCACTCAAAATCCAAAGAAGAATGTTTAAAACCTTAGCTTAATGGATAAGGCCAAAAAAAAAAGTCTCCGGTTTTGGTATGCGCGCGCGTCGCCGTAGCCATGCGCGTCGGCAAAAGGAAAAAGTTTTTTTTTCAATGAAAGATGATGTCTCAAAACCGCCAAACTCACTGGTTTGATTGGAATCCTGCTACTGCACAATTTTAACGTGTTTTTAGATTGGGTTATGATCGAGAATAAGCTTCATGTGGCCTCTCTGGACTCCCATATATTTGCACTAAGTTTAGTCGGGCACCATTTGCAGTCATCAGCCGACATTTGAAGCAAAAAAGTTAGGTAAAAAAAAAAAAGCCGCGTCGCCGCACCACTTTTTGGACAAGCTCCATACCAGAAACCGGAGACTTATTTTTTTGGGCCTAATACACTTTTCGAGAAAACAGTGAAAATTCATGCACACCTGTTTAATCACGAAAACTGTTTTCTTCAAAGTTCCAAAAATCAGTCAATTGACAGATCGTTGAAAATCTGAATGACAGCAGGTCAGGCAAAATAATTTCATGGGTGTTTATACAGTACAATCTTTAATCCAAGTACCGCGGTAAGCTTTTAGATAATATTTCAGTAGGCTGCTTTTCCTCCCAAGATTCTTCCTGATTTCAGGATTTTGTAACAATCCCTTTTAAAATCTGGAATTCCTTAGGTTTTCCCATAAAGGTGTTTTCGCTAAAAGTTTGTATAGAACAAAAATAAATGTTGGTTTTAAGGCAAATAGGAACATACACAATAGACCCTACGTTGCTCTGGTGCCCTCAGCAACCCTGGTCAAACCCCCAATCTCAATCTTGACAAATACATAAGTTGAAGGTCCCACGCAGTGTAAGTTTTGCAATGCATTCCTTGAAAATACACCTTTGTGTCCTATTTGACCTTGTTTGCAATTTTCGTTTTGCCATTTTCAAGGGTATTTTGGTGCCTTTTTTTGTTTTCGTGCTAATGCAAATTTACATATTCATGAGCAAAGGTATGATGTCATTTCAGGCAGAAACCTCAATGTTACAGCTATTTCAGCACAAAGAGCTGCCAGAGTTTTAGATATTTTGCTGTTTTTCTTTTCTTTGGTGATTCGTTGTTGTGTCACTACATGGCAGTATTAAAGCCAATAAGCAAACTTTTCTCACAAATGTTTTCAATGAGCACATTTTTGGGTTGACAATTTGAACAGAAAACCCCTAAACTGAACAGTGTCTTCTTGAAATAACGTCACAGCAACAGCACCCTCTATTGTCTGGAAAAGCATGAATTTTTTTTTAAATGTGTAGAGAAGCGCACTTTTGAATAACATTAACCAAAAAGGGATGTCAAATAGTTTTTATACATTTATGAGGAGTAGAAAGTTGCACAAAATATGTTCCTAATAAAAATTTATGTCATTGACCTTTTAATTTGCAACAAGCAGACAAATGACCATTTACGAAAGTTTGAAGCTAATGACCAATGTAGATTTTGCAGTGTGTTTTGTGATAAGCCACGTGAAATTTTGAGCTCTTTTGATCAGTGGTTACAGCATTTCATGCAAATCAAACCATGTTAAAATCAAACCATGTTAAAATCTACATTATTGTACCTGTATGCTGTAGTCCGATGGTTACGGTTTTGACTTGTGTGCCGTGGTACATGGGTTCGAATCCTGACGGGGAACATGGTGCTTGTGCTCTTGAGCAAGGCACTTTACCATTATTGCTTCGTCCTTCGGATGGGATGTAAAGCTGTAGGTCCCGTGCGTTGTGTAATGCACGTTAAAGAACCCAGTAACACTTATTGCTAAGAGAAGGGGTTTGGCCTGGTGTTTCTGGCATGGTGGCTGCAATATGCGCCGCAGCACCTTGTAAACCCTTATAAGATGCTACATAATGGGTCTCATATTTCTCATAAACTTCATTTACCTGTCTTTAAAAATAGACATAATTACCAGCGCCTTGAGTACCTAATTGTTGGAAGATACGTGCACTATATAAGACTCCGGTATTATTATTATGTCTTGTAGGAGTTTTGGCAATGGTCTTGGGAACTGCCTCAATGATAAAGGATACCTCAGATGCATCGGGAGGGCGCCCAAACCAGTAAGTGCAACACATTAAGCTCTTCTAATTAGAGGATGTTAGTTGATCTGCAAGTTTTAATACAGGGTTTTGCCATTTACCAACAGAACTCTGAAACATTTTGTATATTTTGATACTGTTCAGTTAACTTTCTTAGGTGGCATTTAAACCACTCAGCCCCCTCAAGGGTAAAGGGTGTAACTTGAAAAAACGCATTTCGAGAAAATTCAGTGTCAAAGTTTAAGGTCCTCTATTGTTTGTAATTTACCATCAATTTAACCAATTTTTAACTGGGCTTAGTTGGTTTTGTATAAAAGTCAATTACATTTTACCTCATTGGCTTTGTGTTTTTTTGCTCTTATTCACGGACAGCCGGAAGAGATACTTAATGTAACTGACATGAAGAGAAGTACAGTGGACCCAAAGATCCTCCAAGCTCGCTATCAATCCCAAACTAAGCACCAGCGGTCTCCGGGGAATCTCCAGGGCCCAGGAGAGAAGCCCTGCCGCCAAACAGCCGGCAAACCAACTGCGGAGGCAGTCCTATCCCGAGTCCAGACCAGTAGCTGCAACGCCACAAACAATCACACCACTGCGGAATTTGTAACCCCCAATCGGAGGCCTTGCCCGACTCAGGCCCCAACTCCAAAATGTGTCACCCCTGCTTCTGTGCCGCCAGTGCTCCACAGACAAACTCAGCATCCAGTTCCGACAGGCAGGCACCAGGATGGCAAACAGAATCAAGACGCAACTCCTTCCCCAACCCATCCAAGTGTCGCCGTCCGACCACCCAGTCCCAAAACTAAATTCACCGCGGCCAAGCCACATGCCCATCAACCCTCTAAGCCCAACAGAGAGATTCCAGATCCTTCAGCAAATCATCAGTCCTTCAAGCAAGTCCAAGACAGGACTGATACTTTGCCAGTACCGGGCTCCCATGGTGCTTTGGGTCCACGAAAGGTTGAGGAGAAACAACTTAACCTGATGTGCCAAAATGAAGAGAATGTTGATATGGAAGTAGTGGACCAGGATGCTTTGATGACAGATGGTCATCACCTCTCTCCAGAAGAAGTGATGTCTGCCCTTGCTGGTCTGCCAGTGCCTTCTGATGGGTATACAACAGAGTTGTAACGAGTCACTGATTTTTGTGACTCGAGTCGAGTCGAGTCATTTTAAAGAAGTGACTCCAGTCGAGTCGAGTCATTAGGTCAACAAGGTCGAGTCGAGTCGAGTCGAGTCACAGAGTGTGGTCGAGTCGAGTCGAGTCGAGTCAAGTATTTAGCTCGAGTCGATTCGAGTCACAAATATTTGAACACTAAATTACAATAAAAAGCAACAAACACAAGAGAGAAAGAATACAAGGCACCAGTCTATTACGGAAATCCAAAGACATAAAGTATGCTGTATGGTACCCAACCAACAGTTTCCATTGCTAGCTCACGTCACAGAAAAGAAGATGTGAAACTTCGGTCTTATAACTGGTTTGGGTTCGGGTCTAGATTTTGTTGTTCGCTGATCGCTGACAACGTTAAAACCTAATTGCATTATACAAAACTGTTTCTGATTATTTAAAGGTGGGCCCGTCCGTATCCATTTTTGTGTGTGAAATCGGGACATGAATTTAGCCAGCGTTCCACCAAGAACTTCAAAATCGCCCGAAACCAATGATGAAACCACGGATTGAGAAATGCGTTTTAAGTCTGGTTCCGGGTTTAGCATTACATGCTATAGAACCACAAGGTGTCGGGAGTCCGCGACACGGTGTATGTTTGTTGTTTCATTATGGAGGAAGGAAACAGACTGCCGCTGTATATAAACGTACATTATTCGCGAACATTAACGTGACGTGAACAAAAACTGGCAACGCGAACGGCGCAGCGTAAGTCATTGCAAATATTTTTCGCAAGTAAGTTTTGCTTTTATTTTGGGACTCGAGTCTTATTAGCCTTCCTCGAGTCGAGTCGAGTCATTCTGATGAGGGACTCGAGTCGAGTCGAGTCATTTGCTCGCAGTGACTCGAGTCGAGTCGAGTCATTTACCCGTCGGGACTCGAGTCGAGTCGAGTCGCCAAAAAATGTGACTCGAGTCGGACTCGAGTCGAGTCATTGACTCGAGTCATTACAACTCTGGTATACAATACATTTCAATCACTTCCACTGTTTGACAAAAGCAATGAAAAAAAAACCCATTTATGTGGTGGTCTAGGCTAGGGACCTGACACAGGTCACCGTTAAGATTGTGCAGTTAAATGGAGTACTGTATGAAAAGGACCCTGTGTGCGAACTTTCGAAATCAACTCAAGTATGAGATAAACAACAAAAAAGCACAAATAGCGGAACAGTTTAAGCTATCTATCTTGTGTAACAGATCTTGCCTGCCTTCGATTCTCTCTCTGAAGTCCAACTTTTTGGTGTCCAACTTTATTGTATGCGTTCTTTGACCAGAAAGTGACCAGAAGACAAAAATCCTGGTCAGAAAAAGATGAACGAGCACAATCTATTTTGAGCTGTAACATGCACTACATGTGGGAATGCACATGTACACTTTTGGACAAAGTTTGTTAATTAGAAGGTGAAATATGACAGATATCCTGGTCAGAAAAAGATATACAATGTACAAGAAAAATCTATTTTGAGCTGTAGCATGCACTAAGAATGCACATACACTTTTTTGGACAAATATGGTGAAACAGTTAATGAATGTCAGATGATCTTCCATAATATCACTCGCAGTCTATCTGCCGCTGAGCTTACCCCTGAGCAGCTGCTGCAGCAACGCAAGCTGCGTCAGCAGCAGAAGCAGCGGGAGTTTAGGGAGCAGCTTCTCCGCAAGCAGCAACAGCAGCAGCAGGGGCAGCAAGTGGCACAGCCGCAGCATCCAGCAGGGATGTCGGAGGCTTCCCTGAGGCAGCAGGGACCTGGGGATCCTCAGGAAGGGACTGAAGGAGGAGTACCAAATGCTGAAGAAGGTGATTGGATTGACCATGCAACTTGTATCAGTTAGCTGCAATCTCAATCTTGCAGGGTTCCCAGCCGCACTGGAAATCAGGGAAAACCTTGAAAACGAGTTTCCATTTGTCAAGTCTGTGGAAAACTCAGGGAATTTGACAGTGACTCGGAAGCGAAAGTGACTCAGAACCAGTTGGGCGTATGTGTCAATAACAATTGGCTGTGCTACCCCACCTCTTGGAGTTTTGAAAATTTCTCAGGGAAATATAATAAGATAATAATAATCGGCATTTAAGAACGCTCTAATTAGTAAACTAAATCACAGCGCTTACAGTATTATTATTAATACCCCTGATCATTGGGCCAATTTAACATTCCAAATACCATCTCAGCTCCCTGGGGAGTATACAGCTCAATGCAGCCTGTTAGGCGCAAGCAAGCTTATTCAATCACAACTATCTCTGCCCTCACAGGTACCCATTTACTCCTGGGTGGAGAGAAGCAATGAGTGACAAAGCGCCTTGCCCAAGGGCACACGCACCATGACCCCGGCTGGACTTGAACCCACAACCTGCAGCTTTACCCACAGATCACGAATCCAATGCCCTTAACCACGAGGCAACAGCAAACTTGGGGAATTTTAGTTTTTCACAGACATGACAAAGTGCTTGGAACCCTGTCTTGAAGAACTTGTAAACTAGATTTAAATGTATTTTGAAAAAGCTGTATTTGAAAAAAAAGTCAGGTTTTTTTTTTTTTTTTTACAGTGGTCGACTGACCATCGTTGGGCGTTGATTAAAAAATTCCACCGTTTTCGAAAATGACAGAACACTATGTGCCATGATTTCACAGGATGCTTGAGTCTATTATTCACTTACAGTCAAGTAAGGGATGTCATAGTAATTTTTTTTTTTTTTTTATGTTTGCAGATGTTGGATATTATGTTAAAATTTCCATGTTCAAAGTTGTGAAGGCATTGGAGGAACTATGCAGTTCAATCAAATTCAGATACTGAAGCAACAGTTTGAAAGCTGTAATTTTCAGGAAACCCATGTCATGTTTGTTGTCTCTGTTCCTTTTCAGATCCGTTGTTTCCCATGGCAACTTCCACTCCCTTGGACACAGTTTTACTGACGACTGCTGGAAGTGCCACCCCTGGCCCCAACGAGGTCCGTTCACCAGCCATCGCTCAGACACACTTCACCGAGATTGAACAAATTCTTCTTGCGGATGGTAAGTTCAGCGAAACTAAACAAAGCATGGAGTTTCTTCACTTTAACTTCATAACGTTCTTCAATATCTTCATATTAAAATGAGCTATAAAAATGCAAAGTCACGTGTGCAGAAGGATCATTCTGTAAGTTTGGGGTTCTCTTTTTTTTTTGCTGTCCCTGTTACATCTGACATCTATAATTTTAGCACTCCGTTAATGCAGTCGTCCTACCAAGAGTGTTTATGAATAGAAACTACCTACCCTGCAAATAAAGAATCCTTTGAAGTCATTCTTAACCAGTTCGCGCCGAACCCAGGCGCGGGATTGTTTTTCACGAACCTCGATCCCAGACGGGTTCAGGCTTTGATCTGCAGTAGCACACCCTGATATTTCCGGCCTGCCTTGCTGCGAGCGTGTCCCTGACAGATATTTCCGGCCTCGCTCCCTGCATGTTTATCTGTCATCCGTTCCGAATACCGCCAAACCTTTGCATTTAAACACATCATCCGATGCAAACTGGGTAATGATACATGAATGACAAATTACAAAGTACCAAGGTAACAAGGGCAGGAAAAATGTCACTTTTTGGACCCTAAATTCACAGAACGACCCAGATCCCATGAGATGTTATGGGGGCTTGAGTCAAGACTTGATCCACCTTTTCTCTCAATTTTTTTTTTTTTTTTTAAATGACAAAGTTTTGGGCAAAAAGAGGCTTTCTTTATAAACATTATTTGCTATTAAAGTAGCACCCTCACTTTTTTTCAAATGTGGGCCACAAAAAGCCAATTCATAATCCAATGAACCAATTGACTCCCTATGGACAGAAGTCCTAGATGTATGTCCAAGTTAGACTGACATTTCCCACTTGGCTCTGGTTTGAATCCTGCTGGAGAGCATGATTTGTATTAAATTGTCGATCAGTCCGTCCATTTAGCTTTTTTTCACAGGAAGGAATTCCTTAAATGTCAGATTTCTTGGTACATATAGTAAATAATGTTTGGTGTTTTTTTTTATAACAAATCCTTGTTCTGTTGCAGAATATTGAAACGTATCATGAGTCAATGTGATCTCATGATGTCAATGAAATGTCGTATTAAAGTGGAGTCCCAAATTTTAATGAATCGTAATACCTCCCTGTTGACATCCAGATGACCCTGAATTCTGGATCGCTTCACAAGTTCCCGTCCCAGAAGCCGACACGCGTCAGATGCCTCCGCCCCCGAGCATCAGCCCCAGCCCCGCCCCCAACAAGCAGCAACAACATGGAGTGGCTGAGCAGAGGACCACCCCTCGATCCTCCCCACGCAACCACAGACCCAGGATGTCTCCCAGAAGGGCAGCCAATCGCAATCAGAGACTGACCTTAGTAAATGACATCACTGGGCAGTCAGCCAACCAGCAAAGCAGGTCAGCTCAAGCTGCCGACAGGAAGCCAAGAGGCGTAGATGGGAGAGATGGGGGTACATCCTGGGGTCACAGGAGTGGAGGAAAAGACAGCGGGCGACAGGGACACAACGAGCGTAGTACTGGTGAGAGAAAAAAAAAAGACAGACACCAAAGTTTAACGTTATGTCAAATGTACATCTTGCCTCTTCTTTTTGAAGAGTTGACAGGGGTGCGGCCTCGACTCCATGGGCGCGTGCGCGTTCTTAAACCCCTGGCCATGAGGAACACGTAAATGACACTGGCGATTCAGAGCGTACTGCGCGCGTATTTTGAAGACTGTGCGCCCTATAGGTCGGCCCGTGCATGTCATTTCAAATCTCTGGTATCTGTATATGAGCATTCTGAAACCAAAATTGTACGCAGACATGGGGTTCAGGGGGAGGGGGGATGGGCTAAGACAATGTAACAGGAGGGGGTAGGGGTGGTAGCTCCCCCTCCTGTGTCTATTAATATTAATAGTTTATTTTTTGCACATTCTGTTGTAAATACAGGCTTTCAAGTATCCCTACCTCTTTAACTTTTTCCTAGTTTTTTTTTACCATGCTCCTCTTCCTTTTCTTGAAATTCCTTATTTTTTCTACTTTTTGTCTCACAACTCCGAATAATATTGTTCATAATAGTGTTACACACTGTCATTATGTAACTCACACAATGTACGGCTTGGGCGCAGGAGTACTGCAACTGTACTTCCAAGAGCTTAGTTGAGGATGGAGCACAAGTGTTGTGAGTACAGAACATGCCAAATGAGGCTTATGATGCTGTAGACGTGGATGAATATCAATGAAAACTACTCCTGAAAGCCTGCAAAAGTCCCTACTTTTGTCTCGTTATTTTGTTTAAATTTTGATCCTACTGTTCTCCTACTTTTTTCACCTGGGTCTGCTTGAAAGCCTGTAAATATTATCAAAACATATCTCTAGACTCACATTTGAGCAGGCAGTGTTTCTTTTGATTTGCTTTCTTTCAGTAAAAAGACGGAGAATGGAATCCTTGTAACCAGATGTTGACAGTTTGCTGATTGCCCAACTTAATCATTGCCTTGCAACGTCCACAGAGAGATTCTTTAATTGGATCCGTTGAAGTCTCTCGTTTAGTCCTTGTTGATGAACATGTACAGGCAACATGATGAAATGTCTAATTGGACAATTGTAAAAAAGGAGCATTTTATTATTAATGTCGTATGACACACAGGGTTGTTTAGTGTTGTTAGACACAGAGTCCACTCGTATGACCTTCAAAGAATCGCAGCGCACTGAACCAGTCATTCTTTGTAGTCAAAAATGTATTGCATACTTCAGCCACACTTCAAACAGTTATATTGAAGATTAAGTGAAGACAAATGTGTGATGGACCAGTACTGAGCATGTTAAGGAATACAAATTTAACAGTAGAATACATCTCACATGTAGACACGATTGTATTACATTCATCATCTCGACTTTGCCTTTAGTTGATACTCATCTTAGGGAATTGTGTTAAAAAAACCTCAGGCTCTTTTTGTCAGAAAAACATCCCTAAATATTCTAACCTGAGTCTCAAAAAACCACCCGTGAAGTTTTGTCAGATTTTTTTTTGGATTGAGGAAGGCACAGCCAACCCATCAATGTTACTTTAAATATGACTTCATTCACATGAACCATACGAGTGTACCCTATGTGCCATTAGAAGTTTCAGGAAGATAATTAAAACAAAATGCCTTGGGAGTTTGGGTTAAATCAATGTGAAGTGATTCCATCGGGTGTGGATTTCAAATCGGCTCACACATTTATCTACATGTAACCCTACCCTCTGGTACCAACTCATTCCTTCAGTAACGCATACCTTTGCCAAGTGGTACCTCATATCTTTGCGAACTAGTACCTTTGCAAACTGGTACCTCATACCTTTGCCAACTGGTACCTCATACCTCTGCCAACTGGTACACATTTGACAACTGGTACCCCATACTTTTGCAAACTGGTACCTCATACCTTGGCCTCTACCTCATACCTTTGCCAACTAGTAGCCCTACCTCATACCTTTGCCTATACTTCATACCTTTGCCAACTGGTGCCTCATGCCTTCAATAACTGGTAAGCCAACTAGTACCTAATTTACCTACTGGTACCTCGATACCTTTGCCAACTGGTACCTCGATACCTTTGCCAACTGGTACCTCATAACTTTGCCAACTGGTACACCTTTGCCAACTGCTTCAACAATTACTGGTACGTACCTTATACCTTTACCAACTAGTACCCCATACCTTTGCCAAACGGTACCTTATACCTTTACAAACTGGTACATCATACCTTCGCACACTGGTTCCTCATACCTTTGCCAATTAACTGGTACCATATACCTTCGCCAACTGGAACATTATGCCTTTACCAACTTGTACCATGTACTTCTTTGATGTTTAGTCTACATTATAAACAAAGGCATTCAAAATTGCGAGCAAAACTCCTAATTACAAACAGGTCGAGATTGGAAATGGGAGAAAAAGTCGTGCATACCTGTTAGTGCCCCCATAATGAACTTCAAGATGCATATTCCCCCTGCTATGTCGAGTTTCCACACGAAAAATACATATTTTTTTTCAATTGCTATTTTCTAATATAAAAGTTGTTAAACTTGTAAATAAGACTTCGAACGAAAAAAACCCCACCGACGTTCAGTTATTGAATTATTTCTTTGCAAAATTCGAATTATTTGAGGCCGGACAATAATTCGACTCTTGCAGGGTGGGTTCATTAATGTGCAAAATGGAACCCCCTTTTTCAGAGGACAAATTGAACTTTCGCTCGGAGAAAAAAAATACGTATTTTGAAGAGCATGGGACACCATCTTTGCACGTATGGGCCTAAAATGGAACATTAAAAACGAACGCAACAGAAGTAAGTTTTGAAACTTTGCATGGTGGACTATTGAGGGTTTGTTGTGACAGTTGTACCGGTGTGGAAAATCTTGAGAAGAAGTGTGTTTAGAACCGGTTGGTTGTGAAACTCCAACATGCAGCATTGGCAAACCTTTTTTATGCACATTATCCTTGGTACAAAAAAAAATTGACAAGTTTTCAAGTTCAACTTAGGCCAATTATACAATGAGCTATTAATCTAATTCTAAGTGTTGTTCTGTTCAACTTCACGCCAGGCACGTCGATCGTGGCGCGAGGAAACGACTTCTTTTTCCGCTCAGAGGAAGTTCACGTCATTAAAGATTGTTTTTAATAGATTTGTTTGTCTGCATAGGAAGCCAATATAAACCAAGTTGGTTCCGTCCGGTAGGCCTGTGTAAATACTTGAACTGATAAAGAAAATAATGTCTGAATTCAGGGTGGCTGACCACCCCCCCCCCCCCCCAAAAAAAGTTATGAAAAATCTCAAATTTAGTTTGCAATAACGGCACTCACTCAAAATTGCAAATCTGGACTCAAAGTGTGTCGGGTCTTCGGTGTTTTTATGCGTTGACTGCTACTCCCACCCATGGTCTCCCCATGATCCCCCCATGACACCCCCCCCCCCCCCAGCAGCTTGAAAAAGCTGGGACTTCAACGCCCACGGCCCAACTTGCAAATCTTGGATTCGCCAATGCTTTAGACCAATTCACAGCCGTGATTTACGTCCGACGTCCATACGCGTATGACGTTTGGATGGATAGGAGCACGTGTTAATTGTCCACTCGGCGGCAGTAGGCGGGATAGAGAATGTGCGATCATAGAGAAAGTACGAGTGACACATAATTGTGTAGTCTATGGAATAGCCGCTAGCATATTTGCCTCTGTGCGCGCGGATTCAGGAATGAATTCACTGCGGGCGCCTTCTATCGGGTCTTCGGGATAACCTGTTGTTAGCTCAACAGCCAATGGTTCCAGACCAGTAAATAAACTTCCATTGACCCCAATGATAAATGCTCCCACTTCAGAAATTCGGGAAAAAATACTCACAACTCTCCAAGGTGTTCGAGACACACATCAAATTAAAGCTTATTTCATCATCTTTCATTTTCTTTTCAATTTACGGGAGGTCAACTGATGACATTTAGGAGAAATTTCCATCCGAAGATGATCACCCCTTAAAATAGTCCTGAAGCCCATCGCCATTTTGAAAAACGATGCCTACACTCCATTGCAAAATAGAGCGCTTTTAGGGCCCCAATTTCATCCAAATTGAATGGAACTACAAGCTCACAGTCCTGTGCACGGCTTCCCGACCCATATTTCTTACAAACCCTCCAGTTCATGGCCCACAGTATGCTCAAATACTGAAGATTTTGAGGCATGCAAATCGTGATTTGGCCGGCGTAGGCAATTTCGGACCGATTTACTGGTCTGCAACCTTATAGGTCGGATTTCCGCTCGAAAGTAGGTCATAATTTCTGAAGTCGACTCCAACTGGCGCGCGGGATCATGCTCGATCACAGAGTATCCGACGTTGCGGAGCTTGCTGGCTCCGTTGATACTCGGACTAATCGTGAATGCACTCGGCCTACAGCAAAAACTGTGGCGTAAATTTAACAGGTTTGTTTTTGCGGGGCCGTATCATAATGTCCGACGCCTCATAGGTCCGACGCCTAGTAAGTCCGAAATTTCGGACTTATGAGGCGTCGGACTTAATTTATTTATTCCGCCTCATAGGTCCGACGCCTCAACATAAGTCCGACATCTCATAAGTCTGACGTTGGAAAAACGAAGCGTACGAGGCGTCGGACCTATGAGGCGTCGGACCTATGAGGCGTCGGACTTTGAGGCGTCGGACCTATGAGGCGTCGGACTTATGGGCCTTTATTTGGTTGGGGGTGTGATTTTGTCGGACTTATGAGGCGCCCAACCTATGAGGCTTCGGATGAGAGGACCCGTTTTTGCAGTGTGTCTATCTTACGATCGGCTTGACATGATTTTCATCATGATTTAGTCGTGCTTAAAATTTGTATTAAATAGCGTATCCTCGTGATCCCTGTTGCGCCTAGTTTTCCGAAGGTTTGCAGCATTGCTTTTGTTGCTATAGCATCATGATTTTAGGCGTGATCCCTGGCTAATTGACATGTAGTGGAGTCTCTGTAACGTGGCGCTTCGACGTTTCCCTCGGATTTTCCTCATGCAGCGTTGCCAAACCTCTTCCTTGCATTGCACTGACAAACTTCGAATTCATTCAGTTAAATACCGGTCCTTTTACCTTAATAATGCTTGCTGTTGAACCTTTTGAGAACAATTTCAGTGTCATGAAATTTAGTCCGAAATAAAAAAAAACCGTGGCATCCGGAAATTGGGCACCAAATCGGCCGAGTGTTCCCTTTTAACGTGGCGCACCAAGTTGAATAAATCTCGGAAAATCCCAAGTTTACAGAATTTATTTAAAGTTGACACATTCTGATAAACTATTATTAACTCCACTCATACCACTACTATACAAGTTTATCAGAAAATTAGTTTATTATTTTTGCGTATATTAAAAGGGTTCAAGTAATTGTGCACTTTAAAAAAAATCGGAAAATCACGCCAAAATTTAATTTCTCTGTTAACTCTGTAACGGGTATACTAAGTAAACTCAAGATTTATGAACGAGAATGTTTAGCTTGATGAAATTTCACATAGGCCTACTGTACGTGACATTTGAGGTAAACCTTTTGTTCTGGCATTATGCCGGCAATGCACAGGCGGAAAATCAAAGTGCGCCACGTTACACGGCGGGGCGGGGGGGGGGGGGGGGTGACCCGCGATTGCGATTAATTTGAATGTGTTTCCATGCGTAAATCAACTGTTTATTGGACATGAAAAGGCCCACTCACCTCATGGTAAAAACGACCCCCCCCCCTTCCACCAGGCAGTGGGTACGGCCTGCGTAATTTTTATTCCTAGGAGGGTTAGGGGCAATGTCATGAATAATTCATGTTTATCCATGAGAACGGACAATGACATCAACAGCATTGTTGTTAGTTACTCAACTAGTTACAATACATTAAAGCATTTTAAAGAACGGTTGTCGTCGAGCTACCACACAGTAGCCTAGTGGATAGCGAGATGAGCTATGGATACAAAGATCCCTGGTTCGAATCCACGTCGTCGCTGCTCATTTTTCATCAGCTATTTTTCTTCTCCAAATTTATCACTGAGATAATTTTAAATTAAGGGGAAAATAGAACGAGAACCTAAGTCTTGCAATGATTCAAAGGAAAAACTGAATTATTCATGACATTGCCCCTAACCCTCCTAGGGAAAAAAATTACGCGTACGGCCTTGTATATAGGGGACACCAGCAAAACGGGTTGATGGCCTCTGACTAGCGCCCCGCCGCCCCTGAAATTTGAAGACATTGACAATGAGGGATCGCCAACATAATAGAGGCTATAGAACAGGATGAGTTAATTGGAACAGCACCAAACCGGGGAACGGCAATCCAGAGGTCGCAGGTTCAAACCCCGCTCCAGTCAATTTCTATGTTCAATTGATAAACAATTTAATTGTATATAATTGACCAAGTCAGTTTCCCTTTGTGGTTTATTTGAAAATTTATTCCATTAAAAGAAATTGATTTTATATACCTTTCTCCAAACCACATCCAACACTCGTGACAAATGAAAAGATTATAATATTGCATTGTGGTATGTTAGGGCCACGTGGGGACCAAGCCCCGCCGATGAGAACGCGATGTTCTTTTTTACAGCATGCTCATCAATTGCTCAAGTCCTTGAAACTTCAAACATGGAGGAATGTTCTTATTCCTCCATGCTTCAAAACTCAAATTTTTGTGCTTCTGCGATCGCACACGTACATGTACATGAGGGATACATTTCTAGTCTATCTAGCGTGCAACGTCCTGTCCCCATTATAGTTCAATGATCCTGGCTTTTCAATAAACCTCAAGGGGTTTTTAAGAAGGCCAAGAACCGTGGCGACAGCTTAATCATAAATAATGCTTTAGCCGGAAACTCCTTCCTCTACCAAGTCTTTTGAGTAGGCGCCTGAGCTGAGATGATCGAGGACAATGGGGCTATAGTGCATCAACACGGTACAACCATGGTACATCCCCCAAAAATGAGACATCCGCATCGAAACAAACAAGCTTCCAGGAAATCGTACCACGTCAAACCTCTTCCCGACTGGCACGTTCACCGTGCGCCAACTGCCCCGAAGGCCAAGAAATCGGACACGCGCACGGTATAAAAACCCCACGACAACTCTCGATCAGTACAAAGTAGTTTGGGGTGAGCTGCTGCTGAAGCTACGTACGTGTGTGCAAGACTCTGCGTATTGACTACGAAATCTTCAGCTGGACTCAACCATTGTTGACCGACTCAACAGAGATCCTTTTCGTTTGTAAGTAAAATTGATCTGTCCTTACACATGTGCCATTAGCAATACTCCCAATCTTGACTAAGTTTTTGACGCGGGTTGCACAGTTTTTGCCGGACCGCTATTTTTTTTTTATTTGAACCACCCTAAACATGCTCCGTACATGCCCCGTACATGCCCCTACAATAAAACGTACTTCACGTTTAGTTTCATCATTAAATGCATATACAAATCTTTTGCAGTAATCCCAAATCTTTTGCAGTAAAGTAAAAAAACCTGCAAAGATCGTATACCGAAACTGATACTATAGTAGTGCCTTTTTACTATAGTGGTACTAATTTTAAGTACCAACATGACCAAGTAATCACGGATCCGTCTAACTTGCTTTCATAAAAAAGTACATGACGCGATGACGTAGGTGATTTCCAACAATCAGTCAACTGATTTTTTTTTTTTAAATATAGAGGGCTGTAGACCAAATCAAGTTTTGGCATGGCTTTTCACTGTTTTCTCGAAAAGTGAAATATCCACTTGGCTGTAACTTCAAAGTCAGGCTTTAGTTAAACATTTTCCTTTGGATTTTGAGTGGTTGCATTAATTGGAAACGAACAAAATGCATGAAAAGCAAATGATCAGTACATGTGTGTCTTTAAAGACAGTATATATAGGGGCTTGTATTTTGCCAAAAAGATGTTGAAAGCCCAACTCATTCAAAATTCTTTCTTTCTACTTCTCAGCTGTTTGCACATCTCTGTCAAGATGATGCGAGATTTATTGCTCTTGATGATTCTTGCTGCCACCTTCTGGTGCAATGATGCAGCGCCTCATCGTGCCATCAAAACTCCATCTTTCATTGCATCGCTGGATAAAGCATCGCAGGTGAGCAATTTAGTTAGCACCCCTTTTTTTCAAAAGCACTGGATCGGTGTTTTTTTTTTGGTGAGGGGGGTGCTCGGGTGACATGGGATAATACCTGCTGGGAAAACATCCAAGTTGTAACTTGAAAAATGTCTCAAGTCCCAATTCTGAGGAGGGGAGCTTTGATAGTGAATAGCAAATGCAAAATCATCCAAAACAGCCTAAATATCAAGAGAAGGTGTTGAGAAAACTACTTCCAGGCCTATCCTTGCATCATGTACTCTGAATGTTTTTTTTTTCTTCTAAACTCACAACCTCCACCTTCTGTTCCTTGCTCAGTGTGTTCTTATTCCTCCATGCTCTGTGCTCTAAGTAAATAAATACATCCAACATTAAGTAGATGCACAGTAACTTGCACAGGTTGGCCCTTTGGAGCTTTCAGTCTCACAAGGTCAGTGATGGTATGTGAGGGTCTGATAAGGGATCAGTAGTGGTGCCTCCTACTGGGTTGTTTGTCACATTCCTTACAGATAAATTGTGCCTTAAACAAAACAATCTTGACAGCTTCTTTTGTCAACAACATTCATTGTGGGAATTGGGAAGATTGGGGGCTTGGGTCTTTCTAGTTTAGTTATATGTTGGTGCTGAGTTTTTTTTTTGGGGGGGGGGGGTACCAGGCGAGAAAGGGGGGGGTTTCAGTGAATCTTAAATAAATTCTGGGTGGAAATTTTGGAAAAGTCTTGCTAATTAATTGCTGTCATTTAGAAATTAGAAGAAATCAAGAAATGTGGATGATTCCAAAATGCAACTTCATGGGCATCCCATGATTTTTTTTGTAGAGGGGTGGCAAAACACTCACAAGAAATGAGGTGAAAAACATCGATGCCCATGTTATTATTTAAATTAACAAAAATGTGATGCACCCCTCACCTTCTTTTCCATTTTCTATTTCCTTTATGTTTCTCCTCCCCCCCTTTTTTTTGGGGGGGGGGGGCAAAGGGAGGGTAGCGTGGGGGCTTTTCGATGTGGGTGGGTGGGGGGGGGAAGTGCCCCCTTGGCCCCCCCCCTCACCAGTGGCGCACCATAATCTTACTCAAATAATTCTCTTCGTTTTTTTACACACAAACCTTTTTTATTTATTGACATCTTTCTTAATTTCTTTGTTGTTCCAGCGTGCCAAAAGAGAAAGTCCTATAATGCCTGTAATAGTTGACCCATGGAAGGTTTTTTTCACCACAACTACTTCCACCAAGACTACTCAGACCACGGTCAACCCTGATGTGATTGTCCCAGACCCAGACCCAAAGGTAAGAAAAGATTTCTTAAGACTTTGGTTTGAAGGAAAAGTTTATTGAAACAACAGTTGCTCTTTGAAAATTTGTGAACAGGAATAATGTATATAATTCTCTAAAGAAAAAAAAATCTTAGCTCTTATTCTTGGAAGTTTGCTAATATGAAGAGAGGGAACAAGTTGAAACACAGACTGATGGGTCAACTGATGGTTGTGATGGTGTTTATATTTTGTTTTGTTTTGTTTTAAGGATATAAGGATTATTAATTGGCAACCGTTAGGTTGGATACATATAATTTACATATAATTATAACAGCTTAAAATACATACACAGAAATTGACATATTCAAAATACCACAAACAATAACCCCAAGCTAAAATATAAGAAAACAAACAGATCTAAAAAGGAGATTGCATTGAAAATTACAGGTTGTTTTTCAGGATAAAAAAAAACAGTTTAAAATTTAGTACAATTATCTTTGAAAAAAAATCATTCAACAAAGTTACTGATAAGGCCAAAAAAAAAAAGGTCTCCGGTTTCTGGTATGGAGCTTGCCCAAAAAGTGGTGCGGCGACGCGGCTTTTTTTTTTTACCTGATTTTTTGGCTTCAAATGTCGGCTGATGACTGCAAATGGTGCCCGACTGTAACTTAGTGCAAATATATGGGAGTCCAGAGAGGCCACATAAAGATTATTCTCGACCATAACCCAATCTAAAAACACGTTAAAATTGTGCAGCAGCAGGATTCCAATCAAACCAGTGAGTTTGGTGGTTTTGAGACATTATCTTTCGTTGAAAAAAAACCTTTTTTATTTTGCTGACGCGCATGGCTACGGCGACGGGCGCGCATACCAGAAACCGGAGACTTTTTTTTTTGGCCTAAATAGCTACTGATTAAAAAATATTGAACTTTGTGTGCCCAGCCGTTGAAGATACGTGGACTGCGAGTGTTATCCTTAGTGACGGCTCGCTTCACTAAGACAGTGGTTGAGAGCTTTGTGGTCAACCCAGCAGAGATGAGCCAGGAGATCAACTTCTACATGGAACTACCCAAAGAGGCCTTCATATCTGGCTTTCTGATGTAAGTCCGGCATTTTGAAGGCTTCTCCAAAAGTTGTGGTCGAGTCCATCACAAGTCAATTCGGTCATGTCAATGTATTTAGAATGACAACAAACACGGTGTTTGGCCCCACACTCGTGGAGAAGTTCTAAACTTAAAGATTTTTTTTTAACCTTGTACAGAGAGACTGATGGTGTGGTGTACAACTCGCGGGTGGACGAGAAGGAAGCAGCTCAACAGGCCTATGACCAAGCCAAAAGTCAGGGACAGACTACCGGACAAGTCAAACAAACGTAAGTAGGTCTATATGGGCTCTGTACGCCAACAAAAGAGGGCGCCCTTTTACCTTGCAACGAGGTTCCATGGGCGGGACACATGCATTTCGCTGGTTGACGCGTGTGCACTGTTCTTTGAATGTGACCCACGTGCACCAGAGGATTTGTACTATGTACATGCAGTGGTGGCGCTTCGCAGCGTTGCAGTCAGGCAAGATGGCGTCGATCACGTCACCCCCAACTGTCCTTTTTTGCCGGTGAGGGGGTACTTGTGAACGGAGCGGATAGGCTCTGTCGTGACCAGTAGAGGGTGTAGTGGCCTAGCATTAGATGGTAGCCCCGCCTCATCCTTATTACTTATCATCAGCTAGGGCTGATGACAGTAATAGGTCTCTCTCAAATGATGTCAAGATACAGAATCTGTGGGGGAGGTGCTATAATAAAGTGAGCTAGTAGCCGAGCATTATCATGCAGGTTTTGCCACACTGCATTTTGGGTAGCATTATGCATAACCAGGTATCTAAATTTCTATACAACATCTTTTCAATGAGAGATATTTTGTATCTATGTCAGTTGTAAATGATACACGAGTTTAGCATAATTGATTTTTCTTCGGAAAGAAAATTGCACCCCGACATCCCAGGGCTCACTGAGAGGTAATTTGACTCACTTGCCTCCCCCTCTGGATGTGCCGCCGCTCTCCCAGCTCTTTGGAGGCAAGTTGAAGCAGAGATTTTGTACATCAAATAATGATTTAAAATTGACATTTTTGTCTCTCCAGTTCAGAAGAGAAGAATGACTTCACCATATCCATCAATGTCGAAGCAGGAAGTGAGCTGAGATTCAACCTGACTTACGAAGAACTTCTGAAGAGAAAAGACGGATTCTTCGAGAATGTGATTTCTATTACTCCAGGCCAGGTCAGTGCGAGATTAACGCTCAGTCCAAATCTTTTGTCGCTGTCAGTTAGCGCTTTGACAGTTAAAGCTACATTGGGGAATTGCTGAGAAGAGATGAAGCCATACTCTGGAGTACCGTTTCATACTTATGACCTTACACAAGAATACTTTTGATACTCTAGTTGTGGAGTGCTGTGGCCTCATGGTCAGGAGCATTGAACTCATGGTCTGCAGGTAATTCTGCAGGTTGTGGGTTCGAGTCCAGCCTGGGTTATGGTGCATGTCAGACACTTTGTCACTCATTGCTTCTCCCCACACAGAGGTAAATGGGTACCTGTGAGGGCAGAGGTGGTTATTGTGGTTGATTGTAGCTGCTTTGCGCTGAAATGGCTGCATCAAGCTATATACTACCCAGGGAGCTGAAACTGTCTTTGAAATGTTTCATGGGCCCAATGATCAGGGGTAATAATAGCGTAAAGCACTTTGATCTTTAATAGTTAAAAGCGCTGTGTAAGTATTGATTACATGTATTAGTTTGTTCTTTATACTTTTTTCATTGATAGTTCTTTACATATGTGTAGAGTTTAAAAAAAAACACCCAGATCTTTAGCCATCAAATGTTCAGTGCAGGTATGTCTTCCATAGCGCAGTTACTGGAAACATTGTTAGACACATAATCACTCCAGGAATTGTTTCTATCATTGCTGTCGTTTATGCAGAATTATTCAACAGTGTTTTACTAAAGAGGTGGCTTAAGCCAGTCTAGAAAAGAATCTTTGCTGCGCTACACAATTTTTATTGCAGCAACAGAGTTGTAATGACTCGAGTCAATGACTCGACTCGATCCCGACTCGAGTCGCAATTTTTGGTGACTCGACTCGAGTCCCTAAGGGCAAATGACTCGACTCGACCTTCTTGACCTAATGACTCAAATCGAGTCACTTCTTTAAAATGACTCGACTCGACTCGAGTCACAAAAATCAGTGACTCGTTACAACTCTGTGCAGCAATCATATTTGGAAAAAAAAAAATCACATATTATTTTTCAATTAAAACTAAAGGCATGAATGTGTCAGCTGACTTTCCTTTCTTTTCTTGCAGACTGTAGACCATCTTATAGTCGATGTCCACATCACTGAGCCTCAGGGAATCAAGGAGGAATCCGTGGATTTCTTCGTCAAGAAACGCCTGACGGACGGGAGCACAGAGGTTCAGCGGCCAGAGTGGGCACGGCTGAAGGGCCAACACAGTGATCGCGTCAGCGTACAGTTTCACCCCACCCCTGAGGAGCAGGAAGCTCTGTCCACCAATGGCAACTTTGGCAAATTTGTCGTGCGTTATGACGTCGTCCACGGGCAAAATGCAGGAAATATTGAGGTAAAGAACCGGAGTTGTACTCCAGAGCATCTCAAGTCAAATCATAAGTCAGTGAAGAGACAATTACAAGTCAATCACACGACAATCGTTATTCAATAACAAGTCAATCACAAATCTATCACAATTCAATCCCAAGACAATCAAAAGTCAATCACAAGAAAATCACAATTCAGTCACAGATCAATCACAAGTCAATCACAATTCAATCACCAGACAATCACAAGACAATCACAAGACAATCACAAGTCAGACACAAGTAAAGGGAGGAGAACATAACAATTGCAAACGGAATGACTTTGTCAGAGTTTTGTATTCTAATTGAAAGAAATGAATGTAGTTTATTGTTCACAAATTACACAAAAACAATTGGGCTATTTGTGGTTATAGATGAGTGCAGGGGCACTGGTTTAATCAAACTTTTAAAGTTAATGACGCAAACCTGATATGTCTGTCTTGAGTTGAGCATACAAATGTATATCATTTTGAGAAGTTTGTGGATGTTATAATAATGAAGGGAAAAAAGAGGTACGATGAGTCTGACAAATACAGACTATATTTTGTGAAACCAATGTTTTTGTCTTTTTCTTCTGCACAGATTGTCAACGGCTATTTCGTGCACCATTTTTCACCAGAGGGAGGGTTCCTGCCCATACAGAAGAGCGTCGTCTTTGTTCTGGACACCAGTGGATCGATGAGCGGAACGAAAATCCGCCAAACCAAAGAGGCCATGGACACCATCCTCTCCGATCTCCGAGAGAAGGACGAGTTTGGTATCATCACTTTTTCCTCCTCGACCCGAGCGTGGAGGTCTCGCATGGTGCCTGCCAACAAGGCCAACATTGAATCTGCCAAAGATGAAATACAAGGGCTGCAAGCAAGAGGAGGTTTGTGGATTTGCAGGGTTTTTTCACTGCAAATTTGGTAAAGATTAAGGTTATTATTATCGTTTCGGTTTGCGGTAACACCATGTGGTTATCTCTACTGTCGTTCAGTGGATATTTGGTTCTGATAAGAAATGTTCCTGCTTATTTTCAACTTTCGCTAAGTAGTTTTTAGTTTTGGGGGCCCAATTTCACGGTGCTTACTTACTTACTCAATGCCTTGATGATGCCTAGTGGCATGTAGGCCATCAACAAAGCTCCTCCATCTTGGTCTGTTCTTTGCTCACTTTTCCAGTTCCTTCCAGCTGTATCCCATCTGTGTCGCATCGGCCATTGTGTCCATTTCACGGCGCTGCTAAGCACAACAATTTGCTTAGCACAAAAAAGTCTGGCTTATAAAAGCAGGTTATCAGCCAAAACTCCATGGGATTTTCACGCTAAGCAAACAACAGCTGAATACTGATCACGAGCAACATACATCAAATGCAGTTTTGGCTGATAACCCACTTTTATAAGCCAGACCTTTTTTTGTGCTAAGCAAATTTTTGTGCTTAGCAGCACCGTGAAATTGGCCCCTGATAACAGCACCCAACTGACACACCTGAGCGAGCAGGACACAAGACGGGCAAACCGGAACGATACTAATACTCCACCATGCAAAGCCTAAAATCTTAAAAGTTTATTATTTGAAAGGAAGTTTCAACAACATTTTTTTTGTAACCTCAACTCCACTAAATTGGCCTGCAATGAAGTTCAATAACACCATAAAATTTTCCTGCAATGAACTTATAAGCATTGTTTAAAACTGAAAATGTTATCACAAGATGATTCCGGTGAAGGTGTTCCAAATCCTGCCAATAACACTCTGTACAGTGAGCCTATTGCAAATAAAAGTATTCTGAAACTTATTTCCGGACAGAGTAAATGAGATTACTCCTTATGAAGTTGCATTGGTGAAGGGCACAACCCAACATTGAACTAACATTCCCCCTCCGATCCCTATGCAAGCGTCTCACAATTCATGCCTGACTCTCCACAGGTACCAACCTCCATGGTGGCATAGTTGATGCCATCGAGATGCTGGAGGATGCCCAGAACAATGATCTCTCCACCGTCGGAAAGTTCTACCTTATCATCGTGCTGACGGACGGCATGCCAACTGCTGGAGAGCTGACCAGACCAGACGAGATCAAGAGAGACATCCGGCGGCGTCTGGATGGCCGATTCTCTCTCTTCTGCCTTGGTTTCGGAGACAACTTGGACTACACGTTCCTGGAACAGCTCTCCTTGCAGAACAAGGGCCTGGCGCGGAAGATCTACGAAGACTCGGACGCTGGCCTGCAACTCGTGGGATTCTTTGACGAAGTCGCCACTCCGTTGTTGGTCAATATTAGAATGAAGTACGACGAAAACATGGTCATCTCCAACAGCGTCTCGGACACTGTCTTCCCGACCTACTTTGAGGGGACGGAGTTAGTGGTTGCTGGCCAGCTAGCGGCCAATTATAGCCTGCCAGAGAGGGTGATCTGTACGGTGCTCGTTGAATCTGGTGGGATTGAGATAGAGCTGGAGCTTGAAGCAAACGTCCAGGTTTGAACTGACAATTAACTGTACTTCTAAAAATATATTGTTTTACTAATAAAACTCAACATGTTTCATCTGAGTTGAGGATCAAAATAACAACCCAGTTCTTTCCTGTTTAATACAAATGTATTTTTGAGACCGATATTGCTAGAGAATTTCTGTAGGTCCTGCAATGAATAGCCTTCAATTTGCAAGGAAAGACCACTTGGGCCTCATATTTCTAGGTGGTACTCAATGGATATTTTCTACCAAAACAGTGCTCTCTCACTTTTTTCTCAACATTCTTCGGGGCAATTGGGGGTAAAAAGAAAGGGGGATCCTGTTCACCCTTGTGCAACTCTTTGTTACACTCCCTCTTGGTAATTGTTTACTTTTGACTGAAGCATTTCTTAACCCATCGGCAGGAGGAAAGTGTCCTCAGCCCACACACTGTGGACGACTTCGCCCAGCGACTGTGGGCCTTCCTGACGATCAAGGAGCTCCTGCAGAAGCGCATTGCGGAGGAACGCGACAGCGAGAAGGCAGAATTGACACAGAGGGCGCTAGAGCTGTCCCTCAAGTACCACTTTGTCACCCCGCTGACGTCGCTGGTCGTCGTCAAGCCCGATGAGGATGATGCCCTCATCGGAGAGCCGCAACCCAGGATGGAAGACGATGCATTTGAAGACATGATGATGCATAAACCTGGTATGTGTTCATTATTGATCAGTGTGCAAACGGTAGCTAGATGCACTTTGTGAACGCTTTCGAAAGCCCCAGAAGGGGAACAGTCCGCGGGCCTACACTGCATGCTATGCACAATTTATGTCATTCAGAAAGTGAAGTGCACAATCCCGTTGTGCCTTCATGTGAGCATCAGGCGTTGCATGTTTTCACTTGCCCCTCCCATACCCAGTGGTCTCTCCCACAGTGGGGGAGGGGGGGGGGTGCCTTCGGGGGGCTTGAGGGGGGAAAGAGGGGGACAAGAGGTCATAATAAGAAAAACATTTAAAATCAATTTTTGTGCATGAAAATCAAAACAGTTTAACTTGGAAAGTTTCTATAATTGTGGCATCTTCTGTTTAGAAAAATTAAGGGACAAATCCTGTAGAAGTTGAAAAAAAAAATAACCAGAAAGTTTGCATCCCTGTACATTTTAAATAGACCCCTTTCACTTCTTGCCGCAAACCCATTTATGCGCATGCGCACATAGAATTATCATGTATTATTAAAAAGGTCGGTAGCCTCAGAAAAAAACCCCACAAACATGGCCTTACTTTCTTTCTTCATCAGGACTTGATTTGGTGCAAGTACAAATGCTTTGCAATATTTAACTCAAGGTATGTACATGTGCCTCAAAAATTAAAAGCTGAAATCACAATGCATAACCTGAATGTAACACACTCTTTTTCATTTTGTAGTTTCCAGGAAACAAAGGCCTCCTTCCCAACCCAATCGTCAACGGTCAGGCTCAGTCGGGCCCATTGGGCCCATTGGGCCCATTGCTCCACAAGGTTCATGTAAGTACAAATGATGAGGCCATTTAAAGGGAATATACAACATTTGCAAACATCAAAATATAAAACTACCAAGTTTTTATGAAATACCTTACTAGGATGTTGGTAAATGACAGTCTAAAGCATCCTGTAAAATTACGGCACCTGGTGTGAAGTCATTTTTAAGAAAATGGTATTTTTGTATAAATTTCGGCCGACCACCGTTGGAAAAACCTGACTATTTTTCAACTACTGCTCCAAATTTACCATTTTTTTCAGTCCAAATTTTGTTTGCTATTAGTTACATGTTAATGAACGGGTGCAGGCCAGCTAGACTGGTTCCCTTACCTTACAATTTTCCGGCATCTATAAATTGATCCATTTTATCTTTAATGGAGTCAGGGAACCAGACTCCTCCACCATTTGTGTTTTTTTGTGTTTTTCCAGCGTTTTCGAACACAAAACTTCAATGTCAGTGTAATAATATTTGAATTATTATAGTAACCCCTCAAATAGTTCATTTCTGAAGATTACAGCAAAAGCCAGTGATGTTCCCTTTAAACCATCATTAGGGTGATTCTTCAGAAATTCAAACTACATTTTTTTTTTGGGGGGGGGAATGATGCAATCTAATACAAATGATCATAGATGCAAATTTGTTAAGATGTTTTATAAATAAAAGCCTCTAAAATCAGGTGAGCCCAATTTTATGTCAGTGACCCAATAACGTCAAACCTTAAGCTTGAGGGTGCAGGCCTTCCAGAAACTTAACTCATAACTCTCCAAGGAGGTTAAGACAGCAATCCAATAAAAGCTTATTTTATAATCTTTAATTTTCTATTTAATTTTTGATCAATTATCTGACGACTTTTGGGTGAAAGTTTCATCTAAAGATGATCACCCCGCAAAGCAGTCCTGTGGCCCATCGCCATTTAGACAGATGATGCCTGTGCTCACTTGCAAAACAGAGCATGGACCCAATCTCATGCGAATTTCACAGCAATATGAGCTCGCACTCCAGTGCACCCATCTTCTTTTTTTTACAAACCTTCAAGTGCAAGGCCCACAAAATACTCTAAAACGAACAATTTTAGGGCATACAAATTTTATCTGGATCTGTATGTCGGTTATATAAAAAAAAACATTGGGGGAGGGGTGTAGTTAGCCTCACCAAATAACCCTCCTTTATGTGCCCATGACCTTGATATTGTTAGGGTGATAAAGCACTTGAAAGTTTAATTGGTTGCATTTTTTTTTTAAACTTCAGCAATTCTTGCGAGTCCAATGCATCCACCGCCATCTGGTCCTGGTAAGTCTAATTAATTTATACGGTGGCCCACAACTGTCACGGCAAAAGCAAAAGCGCCACGGCAAGCGCAAAAGCGCCGCGGCAAGCGCAACAGCGCCGCGGCAAGCGCAACAGCGCCGCGGCAAGCGCAACAGCGCCACGGCAAGCGCAAAAGCGCCACGGCAAAACAAAAAGCGCCACGGCAAAACAAAAAGCGCCGCGGCAAAAGAAAAAGCGCCACGGCAAAACAAAAAGCGCCGCGGCAAAAGAAAAAGCGCCACGGCAAAACAAAAAGCGCCGCGGCAAGCGCAAAAGCGCCACGGCAAGCGCAAAAGCGCCACGGCAAGCGCAAAAGCGCCACGGCAAGCGCAAAAGCGCCACGGCGAAAGCAAAAGCACCACGGGTTTATTGGGAAGGGGTGTAATCATACATGCCGCTACTACATCAAAAAATAAAATGGGAAGGAGAATGGCCGCCACCAGGAATTCTTATTAAGCACAGAATTTAATTCTTTGAGAAGTGATTTTATGGCTGAGAAAATAGCAAGGAAAACCGGTCAGTGAAGCAACGTTCAGGGACTGATAAATCGTCGATATTAATTTGTTGTAGGATGATTCCAAGATTATTCCAAGAGAGTTGCTGCCGTGAATCAGAGTTTATCAAGGAGTGGGACTCGCTATCAGCACCATCAGGGCCGTTACTCATTTCTTTACATTTCTTGGGATGCAAACAATTACGAGGACGGGAGGCTCTGTGAGCTGATGCATTTTTGAAGACATTTTTTTCCCTTCCGACTAGCATGCAGAGAAGAGTTCCGTTAATTTGAGCCTTTTTTTCACAGGTGTATACCAGTGTAGGCACGCAAGTGAGCTGCCCAGAGTGTATGAGTTATTTTTTTTTTCTTTTTCAGTATATCATACACATCTAGGAAGTCGATTAAGGCTCTCCTGCAGGGCTGCGGCAGTGGGTGGGTAAGGCTTGTCAACACGTAACTCGCCCGCGGGCCCATTAGGTTAGAAATTCCCAGAGAGCGGGAATTTCAAAACTCTTCGCTGAACGTTGCTTGCACTTAACGGTTTTCCTTGCTATTTTCTCAGTCATAAAATCACTTCTCAATTCATAGTGGCGGCCATACTCCTTTCCATTTAATTTTAGATGTAGTGGCGGCATGTATGATTACGCCCCTTCCCAATAAACACGACTGAGTTGAAGATAACTCACAAATCGAGAAATGGATCGTTCTATTAGACAGTTGCAACGCTTTCGACAGAGGAGGTTAGGTCGTGGATTTCATGTAAGGAACGTAACACAGGTGAAGACTTTGGATATAGAATAAGAAAGAAATAAATTAACTTAAAAAAGGGGGGGGGGGGTAAGGGAGAGACACTAAACAAAGGAGAAGTGTTATCGTTGAGATGCACAGTTCTAAGCTCTTCTATGAAAATTTGGTGGCTCTGAAAAGAGCCGTTTGCATGTTTCGAGTGAATACGGAACTATTTGATGCCGGAAACAAGCCCTCTTTCTGCCCTGCAGGCTGATTCTGCGATGTGGAAGACTGTCCACAGGGCAACTCATCATCGCTATCGCTAAGCATCATGAGGTCTTGTTCGGCTTGTTGGTTTCTTGAGCCGGGGGTGGGTGGGCCAATGAGTTCTAGGTTCTGAGTTAATTTCTTTCTTTCTTATTTTATATCCAAACTCTGGGCAGCTCAATTGTGTGCCTACACTGGTATACACACCGGTGAACTCATGGGCGTCGCCAGGATTTTTTCTAGAGGGGGCAAAACTTATTTTTCCCAAAAAATTCTTGTATTTCTGAACAAATTCTCGATTTCTCAGTTTTAGACGGGGGCAGGGACATTTTGCCCCCCCAAATCATTCAATTTACACCACTATGACTTCGCGCCTCTTTTTCTTTTCTTTTTTTCTCTTTTTCCCCCTTCCCCGGGGGGGGGGGGGGGGGGGGGGGGGGGGGAGCGGCCCCTTGCCCCCCTCGCGACGCCATTGGGCAGCTCACTTGCGTGCCTACACTGGTATACACCTGTGAAAAAAAGGCTCAAATTAACGGAACTCTTCTCTGCATGCTAGTCGGAAGGAAAAAAACTCTTCAAAAAAATGCATCAGCTCACAGAGCCTCCCGTCCTCCCTAATTGTTTGCATCCCACGAAATGTAAAGAAATGAGGAACGGCCCTGATGGTGCTGATAGTGAGTCCCACTCCTTTATAAACTCTGATTCACGGCAGCAACTCTCTTGGAATAATAATTATCCTACAACAAATTAATATCGACGATTTATTTCCTGACCGGTTTTCCTTGGCCTTGCTATTTTCTCCGCCATAAAATCACTTCTCAAAGAATTACATTCTGTGCTTAATAAGAATTCCTGGTGGCGGCCATTCTCCTTCCCATTTTATTTTTGATGTAGTAGCGGCATGTATGATTATGCCCCTTTCCCAATAAACCCGTGGCGCTTTTGCTTTCGCCGTGGCGCTTTTGCGCTTGCCGTGGCGCTTTTGCGCTTGCCGTGGCGCTTTTGCGCTTGCCGCGGCGCTTTTTGTTTTGCCGTGGCGCTTTTTCTTTTGCCGCGGCGCTTTTTGTTTTGCCGTGGCGCTTTTTCTTTTGCCGCGGCGCTTTTTGTTTTGCCGTGGCGCTTTTTGTTTTGCCGTGGCGCTTTTGCGCTTGCCGTGGCGCTGTTGCGCTTGTCGCGGCGCTGTTGCGCTTGCCGCGGCGCTTTTGCGCTTGCCGTGGCGCTTTTGCTTTTGCTGTGACAGTTGTGGGCCACCGTAAATTTATCCTCTGGCATCATTGGACATGTTCCTCAATTCCAACCTAAAAGATTTTCAGTCTGTGCTTTGTCCAATTTTATTGGAAACATATTTTTTTTAAAATAAATTGGCCAGGGTTAATTATATTTAAAAGATCCTTCTTTAAAATGCAACGAGACAGACCTTAATATAGAATGTTTGATTGATGTTTCGGGGAATGTGAGCTACCCATGTCCACCGTGCCCTCTGGAGACATGCACACAATAGGAGACAAAAGATTGTATACGTCTCCACAGGGCAATTTCTACAGATGAATACGTCTCCACAGGAGGTCGTGGGTTCGAGTCCCACCCGAGTGATTTTTTCCAACTTTCACTCGGGAGGTAACACACTGAGTATACAGTGTTTAAACGTTGGTGAAGGGCAAAAAAACTTAATTTGATTTATATATCACCCCGACGCAAAAATTCCATCTTATAACGTCTCCACATGGTTTTCACGAAAAAGATATATGTATTTTACTCAAAAACTAGGAATTTCCAAGGTAGATTGATCCATCGCAAATGAAGGGGTTTTAGAACAGGGATATTAAGTCCGAATTTCAGCCAAGGAAATTAATTCTGGTTAAAATAAGAGCATTTTGAAACTGTAATTTCAAACTTGAAAACTTCAGTACACGAGAACAAATAAATGTCTCCACAAGGATACACATTTCAGTATGCGTGTATCAGATCACTTAAAAGATCGTCACTGTGCTGTAACTCATTCACCACTGATCTGATACACCGTGCCCTCTGGAGATGTGTGTACAATAGGGAACAAAAGATTTTTTTATGTCTCCACAAGACAGTTTCTATAGATGAAAACGTCTCCACAAGATTTTTTTTACGAAATAGATATACTTACTCAAAAATTAGGAATTTCCAAGGTGGGTTGATCAGTCGCAAATGGAAGATTTTTAGAAAAGGGATATTAAGTCCAAATTTTAGCCAAGGAAATTAATTCCGGTTAAAATAAGAGCATTTTGAAACTTCACTTTCAAACTCGAAAACTTTACTACAGGAGAACAAAGAAATGTCTCCACAAGGATACAAATTTCAGTATATCACACGCACACACACACACACACTGTTTACGCCGCCTTGATTGTTTGTGTTATATGCCTCGCTTTGAATTTCAAGATGCCATACCCATAGAAAGGTAGCATATTATTGTACTAATACAAAGTTATTCAAGTTTTGATAGGGCATTGGATCAGAACAAATAAAGTGACCAATGTTTAGTTATGGAATTATTTCTTTTCAAATTTTCAAATGATACTACCTGACAAGAAGTCAATTCTTGCTGAGAAGACTGGTTCCTGCCACGCTATCAGTTTCATTATTAGGGAACAGTCTATCAGCTAGGCAGATCAAATTTGTTCACAAAAGCCTTAAAATAAAGGCCTTTTTGCATGTTTTGCAGGGGGGTTTGCTTTTGAAAGTAGTTTTTTCAGGTGAAATAAAACATAAAAGTGTAAACTTTGGTCCTTTACCACACAAGTCCTAATTGGCAAACGCCTCAGCTCAACCGTGAGTTAAAGTTCTCTTTATTGTGGGGTTCCATTATTAACTTTGTTCTGGGGAGTTATTGTTCTCATTAATCCCAATACACAAAGAGAAAATGAAACCCATCTGCAAAATGAGCAATATTACTCAACGACAAAAAGAGAACAATTTCTTTGTTGTTGGGTTTGCATTGTTCTCTTTGTTGTGAGAGGGCATTTTGTTCTCTTTTTGTGTTGGGTTTTCATTGTTCTCTTTGTTATGAGGGGGAATTTTGTTCTCTTTGTTGATGGGTTTGCATTGTTCTCTTTGTTGTTGGGTTTGCATTGTTCTCTTTGTTGTGAGGGGGCATTTTGTTATCTTTGTTGTTGGGTTTGCATTGTACTCTTTGTTGAGTGGGGGCATTTTGTACAATTATTCTTCATGTTCTGGGATACCATTTATGTTCTTAATGTACAGGGTGAGTAAAAAATCATGGAACCCAAGTGGCAGGACCAATTTTTAGATGAAGTTTTGCCTCTAGAACTTTCAAAATCTAGGATATGAACTCTTACTTTTTTGTGATCCGTGGACAGAACTTTATTAAAACGGTGTTTGTGTTCTGTAACTTGAAAAGTACATGAGTGATTTGAATGATTCTTGTACTAAAAGAAAAGCTCATTGACTGGGCTTTCATATCCTAGATTTTGAAAGTGCTACATGCAGGACGTCATTAAAATAATTGGTCCTGCCCATTGGGTTTCCTTTTTTGGACTCGCCCTGTATTGAACAACAGTTATCTTGGGTTTCTTTTTGTCAGTTTGTTGTGAGGTACCATTGTTCATTTTGTTGTAGGGGTACAATTGTTCTCTATGTTCTGGGGTACCATTAATGTTCTTGTCATATTTATCAACAATGTTGGGTTGTTTTTGTTTTCTTTGTAGTGAGGTACATTTGTTCTCTATGTTCAGGGGTACAATTGTTGTCATTGTATCAAATTTAACAACAATTTTACAGGTGAAAATTCTCTTTGTTATTTGGTACCAAACGTTATTTCTTGTGTTTGTTTTTAGTTGGTCTAAACTATGGACGTGTTGCTGGTATTATGCCAGGTAAGATTTTTTTTTTTTATTAAGCAAGCATTTCCATAACATTTTTATGTATCTATCCCCCCCCCCCCCCCATGACGATTGTAGAATGCCATGGTCCAATGGTTATGGTGTTTGACTCGTGTACGAAGGTGCGTGGGTTCGAACCTGGCCAGGAACATGTGTAAGCGCGCAGCCGATGGTCATTGGTTGCGTACGTGGCGCGTACGGTACGAGTGGGATTTGGCTGAAGTATTCTATATGCCCAGCATGGCAGCATTTTGCTCATAGACACAATAGCAAATGTCGTGTCCAGGTTTGTATATATTGGGGTCCCATTTAAAATATACAAGCAATACTAAATTAATGGATTCATGATTATTAATGACATTTCCACATTTATACTTGCATTACACTTTTTGCCACAAAAAAAAAAGAGAGTGCCGGTTTAGCCCTAGTTTACTGTGTAAGACTATAGACTGGAATTGCCCTTATAGAAATTTGTGGCAAGGGGTATTATTACCTTCTTGATTCGCCCCTCATGCATTAATACCTACTGCTGCGAATTTCATACAGCTGCCAGGCCATTTCCCCCTTCCCAACCACCACACCCCTCCCACCCCTGACTGATTGACTTTTACTTACTGAGTACAAAGGATGTATGAAACTGATGACTCCACTTCCAGCTGGACAGGGCAAACATTGGTATATTTAACGCCGCAAATTGACAACTTGTGCACATGTGTTTTTATACATAGCGCCTACAAGTTTACACAAAGCACCAACAAAGGCACCAACAACTACAACAACCGTTGCGACCACAACCCTTGCGACCACAGCCCCAACACCGACAACACGTGAGTGTGCATTTTATGTTCTCAAAACTATACATTTGGAAGCCTTGTTTTCGTTGTTTTTTTAGTACTGCTATTCGAGTATGAGTACTTTGATGATCGAGTACAATTTCGACATGTTGAGTACGAGTACTTTGCTGTCGGAGTACTGTCGTTTCGAGTACGAGTACTTTGACATTCTAGTACAAGTGCGAGTTAAAAAAGCACTCGAGTAGTAGTCTAGTACGAGTACCGAGTATGAGTACTACAACACTGAGTTTCGTCTGTGCTAGCATTGTTAACAAAGCTGCAAAGTTGGACAATAGCAAAAGGGGATCACTCAGAGTGATTACAGCTTTTTTATCCCAGCCTTGTTGAAGACTGTATAGCAATGAAATACATGTCCTATATAGTTTTGATTTTTGTCTGTTACAGCCATGGGACCACCGCGCAAATATCGTGCTACCTTTGTGATGCCGATGGAGGGTAATGGTGCATTATGCTTCAATCTGAGAGCAAGACATGGCCAACTCTACAAGCTCATTGATGACCAAGTGGCAGGTGAGTGTGCCGAGCCATAGTAAATACCGGGGGGGGGGGGGGGGGGGTTCCCTAATTTCTCAGTCGGCATTAGAGCCTCATACAGCAAAAGAGCTGTTGCCTTCATATTGTCATTTTTGTCAATGTGTTTTCATTGTATTTGTAAAATATATACCTCTGTTAATATGTTTTGTCACATTGTATTGTCATTGTGTTCTATAGGATTGACTGTCAGTGGTCGCATGGCAAGTGCCTACTTGACCAACCACCTGCCCAATGGGAATGAGACCTTACCGCTTGTCCTCGACCGTGTGACCTTCCAAGACGGCAGCCTCGAAGTCTCCCCAGATGGTATCTCCATTGGTCCAACGGTCACCTTGCCCTGGACCGGGGGCTGGACGGTCACTGTGCAAGGCCTGAAAGTCTCAGTCAGGGCTGGTCAACAGCTGACCGTCCGGGTCGGGTCAGACATCACACTGGTCATCCAGAAGCGAGTAGGAAACAGCTTAGAACACAAGAGGGACTTCCTTGGATTTGAGATTAAGAACGGCCAAGGCTTGTCTGATCAGGTGGATGGCATCATTGGTAAGGATTCTTAAGTCTTGTAAATTTTGAATCAACTGAAGCCTAAATCTAATACTTTTTTGTCTTCGTGGCATCAACCAATATTTTTTGAGCAAACATGGGCACTATTATAATGACGCCATTTTCTGAGGAGAGGCTTTGAGTCTGACTGATCAGTATACAATGTGGCATGTCGTTGCCTCGTGGTCTGTCTGGAGCATCAAATTGTGGTTGGCGGTTAATTCTGCAGGTTTTCGAGTCCGTCCTAGGGTTATGGTGCGTGTGTCCTTGGGCAAGGCACTTTGCCACTCATTGCTTCAACCCCCACCCAGGAGTAAATGGGCACCTGTGAGGGCAGAGATGGGTTATTGTGGTTGATTTAAGCTGCTTTGTGACAAAATGGCAGCAAGGAGCTGTATATGGAGCTGAGATAGTCTTTGGAATGTTTCATTGGCCCAATGAGCAGGTTATTAATGATGTTGCTCCTGGAGCACCAATAATGGTGGATATATGTGCACTTTATAAAGGCAAAGTATAGTACGGCAGATGGATGATGGGATTATGCCTTTCTTGATGCAAGCATGGCATTTGGCACACAGTAAGAGTATGTCATGAGAAGGATATTTGGCTATAGGGCCATCACAAATTTGTCTCTTAAAAAACTATCTTTGAATAACATGCAATGGTCGCCATTTTGAAAATTTAGAAATTTGCTTGTTATCCATAAACTTTTCGACCATTTTGAAAATTTAGAAATTTGCTTGTTATCCATAAACTTTTCAAAGGACAAATCTGCGATGGCCCTATGGCCAAAGATCTTTCTCATGACATACTCTGACTGTGTGCCAAATGCCATGCTAGTATAATTAAAGGCACAATTCCCTGAAATATTTCCCCTATTTACCCTACTAGTATTATTACTTTCTGCAAACAAACCAAACTTTTCAAATTCAGTGAATAATGTGTCGTTAATTTGAAATGAAACATGCGGTATTAAGAGGTTTATTTGATAAAGGTTTTGCCCTTCGCCAACGTTTAAACACTGTATACTCAGTGTGTTACCTCCTGAGTGAAAGTTGGAAAAAATCACTCAGGTGGGACTCGAACCCACAACCTCCTGCTTTCTAGTGCAGTTGTCTTACCACTGGACCACCAAATTAACGGGATTGGTTGGCTGGTTTGAATCTAATGTACACAGCAGCGGGTATCGCATTAACTATTCATATAAGATGGAACTTTGCGTCGGGGTGAAAACGCACTGAGTATACAGTGTTTAAACATCGCTGAAGGGCAAAACCTAATCTTATTTACATCACCTCGACGCAAAATTCCATCGTATGAATCTGGTTTATTTGAGGTTTTATGGGGTTTTACAGCCTTATGGATAAGCCTTAGTTTACCGCTCTTTTATTTTGCCATTTTAATTGACCCAGGCCAGTTTGAGCGTCGTGAGATACGTCTGGATGCCGACAGTGTGTCTGGAGAAGGTGACAGGAGGAGAGGTTCCCTCACGGTCGCTGGCCAGCGCCTGGACGTCCGCATCTCAGAGAGGATGGACCTTCGCGAGGACAGAGCCAGGGAGTGCTGGTGGCATGCTGAAAGCAATAACATCCTGGAGAACCCACTCAGGCACTACCGCACTTAATCATTAAGCCAACAGGAGACCTGAGGTTTATGGATGCATTCAGTCTAATATTGGATTACTGAGCATTAAGAGGTTAATGAGGTTTTGATATTTACTAAGAGATATTGACAATTTTCCGGAGAACCCAATAAGGCACTACCGCACTTTAATACATGTAGTCAAAGACCTGAGGTTAATGGATACATTATTAGGTTTACTGAGCATGATAGAGGTTCATGAGGTTTGGATACTTACTAAGAGATTCTATATTTGTGGCACTGCTGCAATTGCAATAACTTCCTGGAAAACTCACTGAGGCACTACCGCACTTAATCACTAAGCCAAAAGGAGACCTGAGGTTTAAGGATGCATTCCGTCTAATATTAGATTACTGAGCCTTAAGAGGTTCATAAGGTTTTGATATTTACTAAGAGATATTGATAATTTTCTGGAGAACCCAATAAGACACTACCGCACTTACATGTAATCATTAAGCCAACCGGAGACCTGAGGTTAAGGGATACATTCAGTCTAATAGATTGCTGAGCATTGAGAGGTGCATGAGGTTTTGACACTTACTAAGAGATTTTTTATTTGAGGCACTGCTGCAATAGCAATAACTTCCTGGAGAACCCAATGAGGCACTACCGCACTTAATCATTAAGCCAACAGGAGACCTGAGGTTTACGATACATTCAGGCTTATTTTAGTTTATACTGAGCAGAGGTTCTTGAGGTTTTGATATTTACTAAGAGATATTGATAATTTTCGGGAGAACCCATTGAGGCATTGCTGCACTATATACAGTAAATGCTAGAGGCTTACTGAGGCATCTATAAGTGAATGAATGAAAGGTTTGCAGAAAAACCATCTGGGAATAATTAATTTTTTTAAATTAAGAGAATGGTTCTGAAAAGAACCAGCGGTATAATATTCCGGTCAGTATGCTCTGACCGTTTTCAGGAGAGTGCCTAAACTCTAAGAAAGTAAACACTTAAGTAGCAAAAAGCGAAATCGATGAAGTTTGAAGTTGCATCCTGTGTTGATGCCAAGTAGCTGGGAGCCTAGAGCAAGCTTGATGTGCCCACTGAAGTGGAACAGAAGGGCTGCAGTCTCAATAGAGGGAGGACCTAGGGTATAGGAGACTGAGTCCGAGGAAATAGCTTCGCACTCCATCGATTTCGCATTTTGTACTTTTGTGTTTACTTTCTTAGAGTTTAGGCACTCTCCTGAAGACGGTCAGAGCATACTGACCGGAACTGAATGTTGCATTTGAATTGTTTTCGTTAAGCTGGAAGAACACTTACCTTTTTGTGATTTGTGGACAGATCTCTTAACCGGTGTTTGTGTTTAAAATTACGTAACTTGAAAAGTACATGAGTGATTTGAATGATTCTTGTACTAAAAGAAAGCTCATTGATTGGGCTTTCATATCCTAGATTTGAAAGTGCTACAGGCAAAACTTCATTCAAAAAATTCATCTAGCCATTTGGGTTTTGTTTGAGTCACCCTGTAGTTGTAGGACATGGGGCACCATCTTTGCACTTCGGGCCTAAATTGGAACATTGAACAAAAGTAGAGGAAACGGTTTCTTTTTTTCCCGCTGAGATAGAGGAAGTTCAAGTCAATGGAGATTGTTTTTATTGGGTTTGTTTGACGTCATAGGATGCCAGCAGAGCAAACTGTGTTTGTTCTGTCCAGTAGGCCTGTATCAATACTCGGACTGTTAATCTCATTTCAAGGTGGCGGACCACACGGGATACGCTCCCGTGTTCTTTAATTTGGAAATGTCCATAGTTCCACGTTTGTGGCAAAATGGAGACGAAACTGTTCTGCTTTTTGCACGCATATACATTTCTAATCTATCTAGCATACAAACGTCCTTGCTCATAAGTTCTGGCTTTTCAATCAATATCAAGGGTTTTTTGTATTTTATTTTCTTAACAAAGTTAACGACAGCGTTATCATAGAAGAAGTTCATGTTTCAGCTCGAAACTTATATTTCTACCAAATAAGCCTTTTGCGTAAAGGTCTGAGATAAAGGACACTAACGGTGTATTGCCGTTCTCATGGTGAATGAATACGAGATCTTGGTTCATAATAAGGACGGGGAACCAACACGCGAACGGTGTTCGCAAACAAGATTCTCACTTCCCACTTATTGGGAAGTAGATGAAGAACGTCAAGAACAAAGATGGCGGACTAAGGCCCCTTAGTGGAACTTGCTTACTGAATATTGTATATAAAATTAAAAGAACTTGTTCAGTGCAGGAGCAGTAATGATTAAAAAAATAAAATTGTACACGGTTTGGAGTGGACTTGGCAGCCTTGTCTTTTGCAATTTATAAAGCTGTTTCGGGATTTCAATTATTTTCATATCACATGTAATTCTATTTATTGTCTCCTTGGTTTTAATTCTTCGTTTTTAATACGGCGCGGCCCTCTCATAGTATGGTGTAACTTCGATTTTTTTTTTCAAGATACACCATTTTGCCATGAGAGGGCCGCGCGGCGGCTGTCATCTGGAATTTTCGCCCATCTGCACTCGTACAAGGATAAACGACTCGGACGACTTCTGGTTAGACGCGTGATCCGTCCCGCACATGAAAATACATGTACTACGAATACTTGTCAACAAAGACCCTGCGCCCGATGTGGTGTCGAAGTCTGTCAATTATATTTTTGGGGCCGTATCATAAGTCCGACGCCTCATAGGTCCGGTGTTGGACTTTCGAGGCATAAAATGTATTTACTCCGCCTCATAGGTCCGACGCCTCTAAAGTCCGACGACGTCGGGAAAACGAGACCTCGGAAAAAAGAGGCGTCGGACCTTTGAGGCGTCGGAGCTATGGACCGACATTGGAAAAGGTTCATTTGTCCGACAAAGCAAGAACGAGATTTAAAAAACACACTTTACAATGTTTGAAGTCCGCGAGGTCTACTTACGAACGGCGCACTGTGCATAGCATGAACTAACTGGACGGAGATCAGTCCGCAAACGCGCAGTTTTTGGCGCAAGGGTTGATGCTGCGGGCGTAAATCCGGGGGGGGGGGGAGGGAAGGTCTGGTACATTCCTTAATGTCAATGTGCAATCGCCAACTAATAAATAGAGGCTCTAAGATTCTGACATTTTATACAATGTTTGACTGTATTAATTAATAATGGCTGTTGGACTTATGAGGTGTCGGACTTATGGGCCTTAATTTGGTTGGGGGATGCGATTTTGTCGGACTTATGAGGCGCCGACGTGTCGGACCTATGAGGCGTCGGACTTTTGAGCGGACCCCATATTTTGAGTATTCATGAGTCTACGTTTGTGGTCTTCATTATTTAATTCTGATAAGTGATAACTACATAGCCATGTTAACGCCGAGCACAATATCTTAAGCTTTAAAATGAACTATGGAATGTGGCTCTTGTTTCATCGGTTCGGGACCACATCTCTCAAAAACGTTATAATGAAAGCCTAATTAAAAACAAAATCTGGGTAAACGGTGTTCTCATCGAAATTTGACTTTCTTCAGTTCTCGGGCAAATACTTCATCTATGACGTCAAAAACTGCACAATATCATGGAGTTATAAGACAATACCATCTATATATATAAGAGAGAAGTTTACTCGCCCCCGAGACGATGTTTGCTCATGAAAGGATCTGAGACCGCGGGCTCCCGCTGCGCGAAAATCGCTCCACGTCCGTGGAAAAATGCGGAGGGTGTCTTCCGCCGGGTCGGACACTTCGGGTCGTCCTGATTTTCCCGTACGGACCGGCGATCCTTTTCGTCGATTTTTCGTGACTGCGTTTTTCGCAGGAATTTGCCGTCGTGTGCGCTTTCACGTTGACTGCCTGGTCGCCCCCTGTGCTGGCTTCTCTGCGTGTCTAGACTGTGCGAGGTCAGCGAGGTCAACGTAGGGGTTCCGTTTACGTGTTCTACTCAGCCCTTCTGCAAAAGCGTTCACCAAATTGTGTTATGGGGTGACCTTGGTAAACTATTTTTTCTCCATGGTGCGTGGCCACCAAGTGCCCCTATTCTTTCATATGCTTCGCTTGCCGCCCCTGCGCCGAGTGCAACGAATACTCAGAAGGACTTCACATTAAGTATGCCTTGCGCGGTCTGACCAATCGAAAGTCTACACTGCGTAGTATTTCCGGGCTATGCAAAACTGTCGATGGCAACGCGTACTGCAGCCTGCTCCACACCCTGGAAACGAGGTTGAGTCTACGGTGCTCGCTATTTGCATGATTTGAAGCACAAGCATGTGAGTGACGTGTATAGTGCTCTGTTGCTTTCATCGTGTGTTTGCAGCTCCATGCATCCACCAAGGCTGACCGTTGTGAGTTCGCTGCCCGCCACGTATAATTCAGTGTCGCGTTGTAATGGGGGCCTGTTTTGGATCAACGAAGGATCGATGCATTGCTTCAAATACCGCGATCTTAAACGCTGTCACAAAAAATCGACAAAATAGTGTCCGACCCGGTGGAACACACCCTCCACATTTTTCCACGGACGTGAAGCCGCGGTCTCGGATCCTTTCAGGAGCAAACATTTCTCGGAGGCCGAGTAAAACTTGCTCTTATTATAGATGGTTGAACCAACTTGAATAAAAGTTGACTCGACTTTTTCCTCGCAGACGGTCTCGCAAATTGTAAGAAGTTCAAGTTTACGTTTGTTGAAGAGAACAATACTGAAACTTAATTATGACCTTCCTCCATGATTCAGACCGTTTTCATTTTCATTTCAAATGACACCTTCACGTTTTATTGCATTATGATTTATTGTCAAAACTGTACAATCAGCCTTCGCCTGTGTACTACAGTAACCTTTTCACTACGTTTTCCAAATGCGACTGCCTCACAAATGCGACTGATTCTATTGCTCAGAATACATGTAGCTGATTCAATTACTCAAAACTCAAAACTTTAAAAGATGATGTTCTGCTCAAATTGGTTTCAGTGGTCAGAAATTGCCTCAGATCACACCACAGAAATTGCTTTACTATAACTGCATGTCTCCCAACTATATCCCCCATTAACATTTAACTCCCCACATTTTCATCCCCAACACTACGCCCTACCCGATCTATGATCGGGTAAATCAGCTTGTCTGTTATACCCTGAAGTATTTATTCTTTAACTATTTTGGAACAATTATATCTTGCATAAGGAGTAGTTTTGCTTACAGTTTTAAGAATATTTCCGTTTTAGATGTCATGCAAAAAAAAAACCCCAACAAAATGGCACACCTGGAAATTCGCGATTGCAAGCCAACGGGTGTGCTCGTTATCACGCGTCTAACCAATTAAGGCAAGTCCGCTCAGTGCATTTTGTACTAGAGCTCTGAACAGTCGCGTATCCTTGTGTGTAGGATCCGTGGTGCAACTATCTGGGTACGTCCCCCTGATCTACCAATAGCTTCCAGGAAATCACACCATGTCGACCCTCTTCCCGACTTGTTTATTTACCCCAGCACTGTCGGCGCAGCTTGCCATGACCAATAACCAAGAAATCAGACACGCGTAGGGTATAAAAAAAACCTTGACGAGTTGGAAGGGTGCGAAGCAGTTCTGGGCGTACTGCTGAAGCTACATGTAGGTGTTCAAGTTTCCATCTTGACTGCGAAACCTTCAGCTTGACTCAACTGAGATTCTTTTTGTTTGTAAGTAAAATTGATCCGCTTGTAGTCACTCCCTTTGTGGTTCAACTAATCATGAAGCTTTATTTATAAAACTTGGTGGAAAAAAATGTTGCATCCTGACGCCACTTTTTTCTTCATGTTGGTCTTTTATCTCAATGAAGGTCATTCATTGCAAGAGTGATGATAAGACAGGAATCTGGGACTGAGAAACATTTCGAATTTTGTCAGGAAGTACTTTGAAAATGTTCTTGACTCTCCATAGACTTTGTACACAACCGCTGAAGTGGCGTCAGGTTGCAACATTTTTTTCCAACTTGGCAATCTTGGTTTGTTCTTATTCCTCCATGGTTAATGTTCTGGCTTTTACCTAAGAGTGTAGCATCTCTGTTTATTCTACGATTTCCTCTTCTTTTGATATCATTTTGCCATTTGTTTTGTTTTTGCCTTGTCCATGTTTCTCAGTGTCTAATGTATGTTTTCTGTCATAAAGGCTTTTCATTCAATATTTACTTGTTGAAGTTTGCCACTATTCCACCCTGCTTTAGCCTGTACTTTTTTATTCATGCATTTAAATCTGGCTTTTCTGTAATCCACTTGCATTGATAGTTATTTTTTTTCTATATTGTGCCCGGTACAGCCGGTACCCGATTTTTTTTGTCTTGAGTATATTGTTTTAATGACTGTTTTACTGAAGAAATACATATTCATGTTCTCTCTATTCAATTCGCCAATTTTATGGCTCGCAGAGTGTATAACGTTTATTCATGAGCTCGGCGGATGGGTTCAGCATTAGTAGGCTTATCTATTTACCGGTGTGCATGTGGGTCACACCATACCCTGAAATTAGGGCACACCAGACCAAACCCTGGAAAATAGGGCACCAGACCCAGCCATCATGGTGACCGTTTGACATATTTTTTTGTTGAAAAACGAGCTTGACAGAAAATTTGACAGAATGGATTTTTTTCGCAGATTTCTGGCAGAATTCTGCAAAAATGGTTATTTGACAGAAAAACATAGCAATTTGAAGAAAAAAAAAGGATACAAAAAATGTACATTTGTTTTAAAAAGCTTCAATCTTTTGCAAAAAGATATTCCGTCAAGTTTTCTGTCAAACTCGTTTTTTAACAAAAAAATATGTAAAAGTTAGCCGAAAATCGGCTAAAACGGTCACCCTGACGCCTAATGTCGCGCTTTCTTTTCCAACAAAAAATAAGAATCTGCCCCATTGGCTGAAAGTTTGATGTTTGATGATACATACATACATACATACATGAAACAGTTTCCAACCTGAGGAGCTGATACTGTGCAGAATCTTCCATTTTCCATCATTTGTAATGCCATTTGGGCAAGTCAACACATTTACCCATCCTCACACTCTGGCCTTTACATGCAGAACTGCTACCAAATTATTGATTTTTTTTAGCGAGGCAAAAATTCAAAGTGAAAGTTTTCAAGGTTACAAAATGCAATATCCTTTTGTGAAGTGGAACTTCACTCACAGCTTTACACGCATAGCCAGATGGCCTACAAGAAGTAATGCATATTCATGAACAAGTTTGACAACTCAGCAGCTGATTGGCTGCTCATGATAAGGCCAGGATCCAAGTTTGCAATGGCATTTTGTGCAGTAAATCTTTACACATGGATACACTGTGCATGTATGCACAGTGTGATTCCAAAATCTACAATGGGACTTCAAAGCAAATATCTTGAGTAAATCGTATATCGCAGCTAATCTCTTATCGTGAGCTGTATACACAGCAGTCAATTAATATGATGAGTGATATAGAGGTGTGAGTCTCGGGAAATTTCAGCCATGAGTAAATTAAAACACCTACATGCACTGGGACATTCTGCGGAGTAAAGCATTTAATCAATTTTAATGATAAAATGTCTTATTTTCCCCTTTACTTAATGATTGCTTCTTAGTTTTCAATGTTCTCTCATACACCTGCTGTTGACAAGCTTAGGCTTATTATGGCTACTAATTAATTGCATGTTCTTTTATATTTTCTGCATTTGTTTTTGCTATAAATGCTTTATCTTAACTTCCCTCAATGTACATGCTATATGAATTGTATTTGTTTGTGGTTAAAAATAGGAATAGAAATTGTAATAGATTGATTTGAATTGAGTTGAATCAGCGAGACCCCGTTCCATAATAGAACAAAAATATACTTTTATGTTTCGGGAATTACCTGTTATACAGGGTGACCCCAAAACAATGCAACCCTAAGACATTTGCCTTAAAAAAGGGAGCGGTGGATTTTTATGTTTTGGGTATGAGATTAAAGCTGAGAGGTTTTTCTTTCAATTACTGAAAAACAATCATGAAAATATTACCTTTGGTTGCTGAGGAAATGCCAATTATTATGTAAAAGTAGTCATGTTCCAACCTGTACACAAGTATTTCAATCAGTAAAACATTGTACTGCAAGCATACTATGCAATTATTCTTCATTCGTGCGATTTCTTTAGTATTTTGACATATTTATGACGCTGAAAGGGATTTAAATAGGATTAAACAGGATGAGATACTTGTTCATGTAGAAACTAACATGCAGGTATTTCAATCAAATTCATTTGCACTCTTGTCATGTCACATTATGTGCCGTGTTCAGTTGTGTGTAAAGGACATGCACAAAGATGGGGGAAAAACACATCATTTCCCAAAATCCATGTAGGCCTACTTTCTTAAGCAATTTATAAATTTTTCGAGGGTAGGCGGGCGGGGGGACATTTGCTCACCCTACCCCCATTGACACCCCTGCGGACCCCCATGTTGTTAAATGTGCAATAAATTAAGAGCAATATGACTTCGCCCCTCGTCTTCTTTTCCACCTTTCGCCCCACCCTCGCCCCACCCCGAGACGCCCATACATGTCCATTAAACTACATAGTTGTTGTGGAGTTGGGTGGACGGTTTTTACAGTTTTGCTGAACCTACAATCCCGGCCAAAATGGTTGGGACACTTCCTGAGCCTGCCACGGTCACCCACTCCCCCGCTCCCCCGGTCAATGTTGCTCTCTCCAGCTGATGGAACACACACCGCGCAATGAGAGACAACATTGAACGGGGGCGGGGGTTGGGGCCTAGCGAGATTTGGCCAGGATTATAGCCTTATAAAAGGTTTCAAATACTTGACCTAAAGACAGGTGCTTGTATAAAGTAACATGTCATTGGTGGAAGCTAGCCCAACTCATTCGAAATCGTTTCCTCTACTTCTCAGCTGTTTGCACATCTCTGTCAAGATGATGCGAGATTTATCGCTATTGATGATTCTTGCTGCCACCTTCTGGTGCAATGATGCAGCGCCTCATCGTGCCATCAAAACTCCATCTTTCATTGCATCGCTGGATAAAGCATCGCAGGTGAGCAATATTTTGCACTTGTTTCAAAAGCACTGAATCAATTAATTAGTTTTTCTTAGAATATCCCTCTCCCCCCAAACTGCCACTCTACTTTAAAAATGTGTGTGTGTTTTTCTTGTGTCTCATTTTTGACTATGCAATTATTTTTGTCTTCGGGGATGGGGGGGGGGGCACTAGGGTGACTAAGTTTGTATTTATGAAAAACAAAAGGGACAACCTTTTCATGAGTCGCTGTTGAAATCTAAATTCTGAAGAGTTAGGCGGGGTTAGTATGGGCTTTGGTGGACATGGGTGGACAGATAATTCCTTGGAGATAAACATGGGATAATACCTGTTTATCCATAGGTTGTGCATGCTTTTTTATTGTGTTCTCAAAAAAGTGATCTGGTGCACGGTGCCCTGTGGAGGCATGTGTACAATAGGGAACAAGGGATTGTATACGTCTTCACGGAGCAATAATAGGGGAATTCGTCTCCACCAGGTTATCACGAAATAGATATGGATTTCACTCAAAAACTAGGAATTTCCAATGCGTGTTGGTTCGTCGCAAATTGAAGTCATGATTTCAGGAACGGGATATTAAGCCCAAATTTCAGCCCAGGACATTACTTCTGGTTAAAACAGCAGCATTTTGAAAATCACTTTCAAACTCGAAAATTTTAGTACGCGAGAGCAAAGAAATGACTCCACAAGGATACAAATTCCAGAATGTATGTGTAATACCCACTGAGCTGAAACTTTAGGATTGGAACATTTTTTCATTGAACTGAGTTTTTGAGTTGTTTTCCCATGCACTTTTTGCATTTGCAGTCAAGGTTAGGGGAAGGATGAAGGGTTGTTGGGAGAAGGATTGCCAGGTACTTGGTCAACAAACTCATCCTGTCCGACCCAAATAAATCATTTCCTTAATACACTCGCACACTTCACAATTTCCTTTTCTGAAATAACTTCAAACAGTGTTGTGGTCTCTATGTTCCTCGCTATGAAGTCCTTTATATGGTTAGGGTTGGGGTTAGGGTTAAGGTCCGGGGAAGAGACATGAGGAACGTTCAGGATAAGGAAAAAAAAAAGTGGAACCCAAACCCCAAAATTATATTTCATATTTAAAATAAAATATGTAGCACCAAAAATAATAATGACTGGAAAGCCAATTTCATAAGCTACTTTTAAATAAAAAAATAACTATTATTGTTCAATCCGTTTAAAGAATATCATATTTAAACACAATGACCATAAAACCTCTTTCGTCCAAAAATGCGATTTCAAGAATCATCGTCACAATTGCCTTCAAAAATCACCAGCGATAAAACAACAGTTTAAAAGTTAAAAATATTCAACAAGTGGATTTTATAAATCAGATTGTTTGCTTAACCAGGGTTGTTAATAAAGATAATGTGTACTACAGTTGTTGACAGTTGTTAAAACAAGTATTCTGTGAATTTTTTTTTGTTTTGTTCCAAACAGTCAGAATACACAATCGATTGCTTTAATTTTTTTTTTTACGGTTTTAGGGTCATTGCGTTCAAATGGTGATATTCTTTGAACGGATTGAGCAATTTCAGTGATTTTTTTTCATCTAAAAGTAGCTTATGAAGTTGGCTTTCCAGTCATTATTTTCCAGTTTTTTTTAAATGTGAAATATATTTTTGGGGGTTTGGGTTCCGCTTTTTTGACTCACCCTGTATAAAAGGAACCGAGGAACACTGGACTTAAATGAGCCTACTGGGAACATAGGGACGGGTGCTTACCAGGGACTGGGGAACATAAAAAAAAAACAGTTTGGACTAATATCCATCCACCAATCTATCCTCCGTTTGGATTTCTCCGTATTCTTACTCAAATATGTCTCCTTTTTATTTTACACACAAAACGTAGTTCTTTGTTGACATCTTGATTCATTTCTTTATTTTTCCAGCGTGCCAAAAGAGATTTAGTTGACCCTGATGTGATTGTCCGTAACCGGAGGGTAAGACTATACATTTCTTAAGACTTTGGTCGGAAGCAAACGTTTATTGAAACAACAGTCATTTTGAAAATCTTTGTGTATATATTTTTTAACAGGAATATTGTAGATACTTCTCGTAAGACAAAACAAATCCTCTTGTGTTTAAAGTTAAGCTCTTATATTCGCAGAAGTTTGCTTAAAGAGGAGGGGGTATAAACGTGGTTTAATGTACAGACTGCACACAAAAAGGGGTGCCAGCACTTTTGAAGACCATGCTTCCCCCATTAAGAGTTCAAGTAAGGTATACTATAGGGCTAGCGCTTCATTTGGAAGATTTACCGTGAAAGGATGAAACGTTATAGAACACATGGGTATCAATCGGTTGGGGGACGTGTGGAACATCCCCCCCCCCCCCCCCACTTTGTAAAGTGGGGGATATATATCGTTTGTTTCCCCCTCCCCACTGTTTCCGTCCCAGAAAAAAAAATGTAGACTATATTTGATTCTTTAGCTCAGAATATGATTCAATGACTCCAAACTAAAAACAAATGATGTTTAAATGATGATCTTTTGCTAAAAAAAAATTGGTTAAAGTGCGGGTCAGAAATGGCCTCAGATCGCACCATAGAGCGTCTAGAATCCAAAATTCCCCGGGGCCCTGAAGTGGGCCCATTGCAGTCAAGGTTAGGGGAAGGATGAAGGGTTGCTGAGAAAAGGATTGCCAGCTACTTGGTCAACTAACTCTTTTTCATTCGCGCTCCCATTAGTTTTGATCAAGGAATGTCCCCTCCCCTTTTTGAAAAGCAATTGACGCCCTTGATGGGACAGCAGTGCCAGATGCCATTGTAGGTCATTCATCAAGGACACATAACTTTCTTAATAATTTGTAAATTTTCCTCAAATCCGAAGAGTGCACACAATGTATGTTATAATTACTGTACTTTGTAAATGTAGTTCTTTGATTCTTTTGGTACAAGTTTGCACTGCCTAGTGCTTATCCCTGAAAACACCCCCCCCCCCAAAAAAAAAAAAATCTGGAAGTTTGACTAACGGAGAAAATTAATTTATGGATACCCGGGTAGTTTGATTTTGTTTTGTTATTTGTAAACTTTGTGTGCATGTGCATGCACAGCCATTGAAGATACGTGGACTGCGAGTGTCATCCTTAGTGACGGCTCGCTTCACTAAGACAGTGGTTGAGAGCTTTGTGGTCAACCCAGCAGAGATGAGCCAGGAGATCAACTTCTACATGGAACTACCCAAAGAGGCCTTCATATCTGGCTTTCTGATGTAAGTCGGGCATTTTGAAGGCTTCTCCAAAAGTTGTAGTCGAGTCCAATACAGGTCAAATCACAAGTCCATCATCAGCGAAATCACAAGTCGAAACATCACAATTTAAATCACACGTCCATCACAAGTCAAATCATAAGTCAAGTCAGAAGTCCATCACAAGCATGGGCGTCGCCAGGATTTTTCTAGAGGAGGGCAAAGCACATTTTCCCCCGAAATCCCTGTACTTTTCCAGCGTATCATTCGATTTATCATTTTTCGAGGGGGACAGGGACTTTTAAACCAGAGGGAGCACTAGGGCCCCCTTGCCCCCATCCTCGCGACGCCCATGATCACAAGTCAAGTCACAAGTTGAAGGCAAGTCCATCACAAGTCAAATCACAATCCCATAACCAGAGAAATCACAACTCCATCACAAGTGTAATCAAATCAGAAGCCCATCACAAGTCAAGTCACAGGTCTATCAAAAGTCGCATCACAAGTGATACCACACGTCAATTTGAAGTCCTTCAAAACCCCAATTAAGTCAATCGCCAATCACTAGGTCACAAGCGGGAATCCAAAGTCTATCACAAGTCAATCTCGTGTAAGATCAAAACCAACAGGCGATGTAAAATATGTACCGCTCATTTGAATACCATGTAGCTTGACTTGACTCAATGACTTGTGGTCGACTTATATACATGTATACTAGTTTTATTTCGACAGGGTAGCCTTTTCAATTATTTAAACTGATATTCTTAAGGGCCCTGATTACATTAAAATAAATGATTGAATGAATTTAAAAGGGTACATGGACACCAACGAAAACAGTTAACAAAACCAAAATTCTTAAAGAATAAAATAAAATAGGTCAAAGAATTTAAAACAAAATATTTATAAAAAATCAAACTTTACGTAAGATTAAATATGTGAAAAACGAAACGAAGGTAAGAGGACCAAACTGTTAAAACAAAGAAAAGAAAATTGTTAGAAATTAACTCTACTGAGTGGAGCGCTAGGACTGTGGTATACCCTCCTATGCTCATATACAGTCCTATATAGCGCTCCACTCAGGAGAGCAAGTTAGATATCCACATTAAAGCAAGCACGATGAAGTTAAAGAGATAAAAAAAAAAGCCAGAAAGATACATATGAATATTTATAAATAGCAACCACAAAAGACATAACAAGTATTGCAATGACCTTGTGAGAACTTGACCAACTTTTATTTTTAAGATGGCATATTGCTTTAGGGAGAGATTTGCTAAGACGATCGCAGACGTCTTCCGTCAAGTCCTTGGTCAACAATATAACAAAAAGTATGTCGACAAAGGGCAAAGCCCTATATAAAAATTGGCCAGCTCCCTCGATCGTGACAATGTGTTTATAATGACAACAAACACACTCATGGAGAAGTTCTAAACTTCAAGATTTTTTCCAACCTTGCACAGAGAGACTGATGGTGTGGTGTACAACTCGCGGGTGGACGAGAAAGAAGCAGCCCAACAGGCCTATGACCATGCCAGAAGACAGGGACAGACTACCGGACAAGTCAAACAAACGTAAGTACAGGCCCCAGTAGATCGGGTGTAGTGGCCTGGCATTAGCTGGCACCACCGACACATCCTTATTGCTTGGCTAGAATGTCAGACAAGTCGACCGTTGAGACAACTCGACCGTTGAGACAACTCGACTCGGGACAAGTCGACCGTTGAGACAACTCGACTCGGGACAACTCGACTTTATGGAAATGTATACACGTGGAGCGGAAAAAGTTGCACTCGATGCACAGAGGGCGCTCCGATCTGGTGGCCGTCGCGCCGAGTCGACGTGTCTCAACGGTCGACTTGTCTTTCCATTTATCGCACATACGGTCGAGTTGTCTCAACAGTCGAGTTGTCTCAACGGTCGACTTGTCCCGAGTCGAGTTGTCTCAACGGTCGACTTGTCTGACCCCCCTTGGCTAGGGCTAACAGTAATACAAGTATCTACATGGGAAGCGGCTTCATCCACTTCCGTTGCATATGTACATTTGCACGCCGTATAGCCAAGTAATTCAGACGTGGCTTGGTCTACAGGGTGCAGCCTTGTATTAAAATTCCCAGAGACACTAGTGCTGAATGCCCATACTCCAGAATTCTTTTTAAAAATACTAACTCTCACAGGTATTTAAGCTGCACAGAAAAATGATGATCAACATGTCATCTTTCAATTTCTTTTCATTTTTTTGGTGGGTTGACCATTGACTTTTCGAGATATTCTCACCCAAAGAAGACGACCTCTTTTTTCCCCGAAGCGGACAAGTAGCCATTTTGAAAAACGATCCCTCCACAACATGGCAAAATAGTGCCACTTTCGAGCCCAATTGCATCCAGAATGCTCAGAATTGGAAGCCACAAGTCCGGGCCAGAGGTTCCTTGCCATTTCTCTTCAATTCCCTAATAACAGGCTCTGAGTACGTATAACCAGTGGCGTAGCCGGGGGGGGGGGGGGGGGGACAGCCCCCCCCCCCCATGAAACCTTGTCGCCCCCAGTCGCCCCCACTGAGATTTTGAGTCTCTAAAAAAATTATCATTGATCTACATGACGCCCCCCCATGAAATGTTCCAGCCCTCCCCCAGCGCCCCCCCACTGAAAAATTCCTGGCTACGCCACTGCGTACACAGAGGGCGCTAGCCATGGTGTCCGATAATCTCTTTCACAAAATGCTCAGAATTGGAAGCCCCATGTCCTGGCCAGGGGTTCCTTGCCATATCTCTTCAATTCCCTAATAACAGGCTCTGAGTACGTACACAGAGGGCGCTAGCCATGGTGTCCGATTGTCTCTTTCACAAATGGAAATGCAGGTTTTGAAAAGCATTTTGGGTAGACGCGCACATAACCCGGTATATGTCTATACAACATCTTTTCAATGGACGATATTTTTTTATCTGTCAATTGTAAACGATACTTGAGGTTGAGCATTGATTTTCTATCGGGAAGATAATAGTGCTCCAACCCCCTTCCCAAGGTTCTTCATGTGGCAAGTTGACTCACTTGCCTCCCCCCCCACCCTCTGGGTATGCCACTGCTCTCCCACTCATTGGAGGCAAGATTTTGTTTAGGACTTGAAGTCTTGAATTGGCATTTCTGTCGCTCCAGGTCTGAGGAGAAGAATGACTTCACCATATCCATCAATGTCGAGGCAAGAAGCAGGCTGAGATTCAATCTGACTTACGAGGAACTTCTGAAGAGAAAATACGGATATTTTGAGAATATGATTTCTATTACTCCAGGCCAGGTCAGTGCGAGATTTACGCTCAGTCCAAATCTTTTGTCCTATCATTTAGGGCTTTTGTCTGTTACAATTACCTTTTGATAATGCTGTGCAGAATGATTCAACAATTTCTCAGACTCTACAGTGTTTTACTAAAGAGGTCACTACAACGCAAGCCTATACATGCAGGGTGAGTAACAAAACGATACACAAATTTCGGGACCATTGTTTTAGTGACGTTCTGCGTGAAGCACTTTCAAAATCTATGATGCGAAAGCCCAATTTCTTTTAGTACAAGAATCATTCAAATTACTAATGTACTTTTCAAGTTACAGAATTTTAAACACAACCATTGTTTTAAAGGTAGAGTCCATCATTTGCAGCCATCCGCAAAGTAACTGGCGTAATTATTGTTGAAAAACTAACTTGGTTGATAGATAGTAAGGAGACTAAACTCCCTGTGAAATTATTCTTTCTGGGAAGCTGTCATTTTGAAGTAATCAACGAAAGAAGGCATTTCCAACGGTGATTCTTAAGAAGCACCGTAGGAAAATTTAAATTAGTAGTTCGTTTTGTTATTCAGCGCAGCGCGCACAAGTATTCGAACGACGCACATGCGCGCGCGGTTGTTATAATTCGTCGGATCAGTGCGCGACGTCGCGTATAGTTGCAATTCAAAACAATTCAAAACATGATTCAGCAACTTTTGATTTGAAATTGAGATCTTAGAATGCTGTTTTTCTCGGAATGTACAGCTGAAGCTTAGCTGAAACTTCATCAGGTTAGTTGCTCAGTATCCTTCATTAGATTTTGAACTCTTTTGTTGCTTCAAACGAACAAAATGCACAAATTACAAATGATGGACTCTACCTTTAAAGTTCTGTCCACGGATCACAAGAAGGTAAGCGTTCGTTCAACCAAACAAAACCAAATCACATAGGGATGTGTGTGAATTGTTTTCGTTTTGCTAAAAGAACGCACACCTTTTTCGTGATCCGTGGACAGAACTTTAAAAAGGTGGTTGTGTTTAAGATTTCGCAACTTGAAAAGTACATGAGTGGTTTGAATGATTCTTGTACTAAAAGAAAGCTTATGAATTGGGCTTTCATATCCTAGATTTTGAAACCAACAATGGTCCCAACATTTGGGTTTCTTTTTGTTTTTGACTCACCCTGTTGTAAAGAATCTTTGCTGCGCTGCACAAATTTATAGCAATTATTTTTAACTTTATTATTTAACTTAATTATTTGGGGGAAAGAAATTACTGAAACATTATTTTTTTCACTGGAATCGCGTAAATCTGTCAGCTGACTTTCTTTCTTTTCTGCAGACCGTTGACCATCTTATAGTTGATGTCCACATCACTGAGCCTCAGGGAATCAAGGAGGAATCCGTGGATTTCTTCGTCAAGAAACTCCTGACGAACGGGAGCGAAGAGGTTCAGCGGCCAGAGTGGGCGCGGCTGAAGGGCCAACACAGTGATCGCGTCAGCGTACGTTTTCACCCGACCCCTGAGGAGCAGGAAGCTCTGTCCACCAGTGGCAACTTTGGCAAGTTTGTTCTGCGTTATGACGTCATCCACAGGCAAAATGCAGGGAATATTGAGGTAAAGAACTGGATTTGTAGTCAGTAGCATCTCAAGTCAAATCGTAAGTCTGTCACAAGTCAATTACAAGTCAATCACAAGTCAATCGCAAGTCAGTCACAAGTCAGTCACAACTCAATCACACAACAATCACAAGTCATTCGTACAAACATTAAAAGTCAATCAGAAGTCAATCACAAGTCAATCACAAGTCTGTCACAAGTCAATTACAAGTCAATAACAAATCAATCGCAAGTCAATCACAAGTCAATCACACAAAAATCACAAGCCATCCGCAAGTAATGTCACAAATAAAAGGAACGCCCTTGTTGGAGTTTTACATTCTTAATAAAAGAGATGAACTTAAAATATTTTTTATTTACAACTTAAACAAAAACAATTAGGGTCTTTCCGGTTGTAGAGGTGGGCACTGGTTTAATCAATTTTTTATTTTAATCACGAATCTAGCATAATCACTTTAAGAAGTTTGCAGATGTTATAAAAAATGTACAAAAAAAAACCAAACAGGTAATACAGACTATATTTTGTAAAATCATTATGGTTGTCTTTTTCTTCTGCACAGATATTCAACGGCTATTTCGTGCACCATTTTTCACCAGAGGGAGGGTTCCTGCCCATACAGAAGAGTGTCGTCTTTGTTCTGGACACCAGTGGATCGATGAGCGGAACGAAGATCCGCCAAACTAAAGAGGCCATGGACACCATCCTCTCCGATCTCCGGAAGAAGGACGAGTTTGGTATCATCACTTTTTCCTCCTCGACCCGAGCGTGGAGGTCTCGCATGGTGCCTGCCAACAAGGCGAACATTGAATCTGCCAAAGATGGAATACAAGGGCTGCACGCAAGAGGAGGTTTGTATAGATTTACCTTTTTTTTTTTGGTTTGCACTGCAAATTTGGTGAAGATTAAGGTTATTTTTTGAAAAGAAGTTGAGCAATAATTTTGTTGACCTCATTAAATTTTCCTGCAATGAACTTATAAGCATTGTTTAAAACTAAAAATGTTATCACAAGATGATTCCGGTGTGAAGGTGTTCCAAATCCTGTCAATTGACCTTCATCATGCTGCCACCATTTCAGTCATTTTCCCTGTATCCAATAACAGCACTGAATGATAATGTTTTTTGTGCAAAAGGAACCAGACTATTTTTCCTTCCAGCCTCTCTTTGGTTACGTTGATTTGAATGGGAAAAAATCTCATGGCCGCAACATGATAATGGACTATAACTCTCTGAGTTCAGTGAGCTTACTGCAGATAAACTTTTCTGCAACTTAACCTGGAGAGTCGAGAATTCTCCTTATGAAATTGCTGTCATTAAGGGCACAACATTCTCCCTCCCGCTGCAAATAAACGTCTATCGATATAATTCATGCCCCACTTTTACCACAGGTACCAACCTCCATCGTGGCATAGTTGATGCCATCGAGATGCTGCAGGATGCCCAGAACAATGATCTCTCCACCGTCGGGAAGTTCTACCTTATCATCGTGCTGACGGACGGCATGCCAACTGTTGGACAACTGACCGAACCACATGCCATCAGCAGAGACATCCGGCGTCGTCTGGATGGCCGATTCTCTCTCTTCTGCCTTGGGTTCGGAGACAACGTGGACTACACGTTCCTGGAACAGCTCTCCTTGCAGAACAAGGGCCTGGCGCGGAAGATCAAGGAGGACTCGGACGCCGGTCAGCAACTCGTGGGATTCTTCGACGAAGTCGCCACTGCGTTGTTGGTCAACGTTAGGATCAGGTATGACGCCCGCATGGTCAACGTCAACAGCATTTCGGAGACTGTCTTCCCGACTTACTTTGAGGGGACGGAGTTGGTGGTAGCCGGCCAGCTAGCGGCCAACGATGACCTGCCAAACACACTGAACTGTGTGGTGGCCGCTGAATCTGGTGGGGTTGAGATTCAGCTGGAGCTTGAGACAAACGTCAAGGTTTGAACCGACAACTTCACTGTACTTTCAAAATTAATATTTGTTTCTCGATTTGATTGATTGCTGTGTTACATGTATTACAAGTTTGAAAATATATTTAAACAATATGCTGGTAGTGAAAGACTTTGTAAAAAAGTATGAGGCGCGGAATGAACCAACGTCAATATGGAACACTACGCCAGCTATGTCCCAAGGGCGGATACAGAACACAATTTTTTTTGGGGGGGGGGGGGGCAAAGATAAAAAAAATGTGTGGGTTCAAAATAATACGGCGTGGGGTTCGGGGCCCACTTAACTGGCCCCAAACATTTTTTTTATTCTAGATGCTTTGTTGCGATCTGAGGCAATTTCTGACAACTTTAACCAATTTTTTTTTGAGGAAAAGACGGTGGTGTATGCATTGTTTGCCTTTATTGCGACGTCACTTACAAAAAAGGGTTCTTTTGGGGGGGGGGGGGGCATGGCCCATGTTGGGCCCCCAGGATCCGCCCTCGCTGTGTCCCAGTATATTCCCCACATTGATTTGACTGAAGCATTTATCCACCCTGCTTGCATTGACAGGAGGAAAGTCACGCTCTTCTCAGCCCACACACTGTGAACAACTTCGCCCAGCGACTGTGGGCCTTCCTGACGATCAAGGAGCTCCTGCAGAAGCGCATTGCGGCGGTCGGTGACAGCGAGAAGGCAGAATTGACACAGAGGGCGCTAGAGCTGTCCCTCAAGTACCACTTTGTCACCCCGCTGACGTCGCTGGTCGTCGTCAAGCCCGACGAGGAGGATGCCCTCATCGGAAAACCGCAACCAAGGGTTGAACGGCCTGCATTTGAAAGAGTAATGATTCTTAGTCACCCGCCTGGTACGTGTTTACTATGCAATCCGTGCACAGACACTGTAGATGGTACTTTTATGTCCTCTTTCAAAAGCCACAGAATTAAGGAGGAAGACGCCGCGAGCACTGCTTTGTCCGTGTGGGACAATGTATGCACAACTTATGTTATTCTGAAAGTGCATTGCTATGAAGCCCGGGAAGGGACAGGGTAGAATTTTTTTTTGGGGGGGGGATTTGCTAATTCGTTCGCACGAATTGCTAATTCGTTCGCACGAATTGCTAATTCGTTCGCACGAATTGCTGATTCGTTCGGCAGATTACTAATTCATTCCCACGAATTACTAACGCGTTCCTGGATGCACGAGTAAGCAATTCGTTCCCACGAAGTAGGAAATCGTGCGAACGAAATAGCAATTTGTGCGAACGAAATAGCAATTCGTGCAAACGAAATAGCAATTCGTGCGAACGAAATAGCAATTCGTGCGAACGAGTTAACAATTCGTGCGTAGGAATTCGTGGGAACGAATTAGGAATTCGTGCGAACGAAATATGAATTCGTGCGAACGAATAAGCAATTCGTGCGAACGAATAAGCAATTCGTGCGAACGAATTAGCAATTCGTGTGAACGAATTAGGAATTCGTGCGAACGAATTAGCAAATTCCCCCCCAAAATATCCACCCTGTCCCTTCCCGGGCTTCATATATTGCACAAGGAACTTGTCACGGACGGTCACGTTGATCCAACATTCAGTGGCGTAGCAGTGGGGGGGGGGGGGGGGGGGGGGGGGGGGGCAGTGTTCCCAAGTTTCCCCTAAGGTGCCCCCAACAAAACCTGAAATTTGCTACTTGCCACGTAAGAGTCTTTTTAAACATGTTAAAGTATATCCTTTTTGAGGTTTGAGTATTGAGTCATTTGGTTGAAATCAAAGTCACGAGTCGAAAATGTCAAGTCTGACAAGTCACGAGTCACTGAAGAATAATGAGAGCAGAAAATTGTGCGGGGGTGGGGAGATAGGGAGTTGGAGGAGGCTTTGAAGGCAACGCATAAAAAGAGCAGAGGCCTGAAGCAATTATAACACAATACTTGCAACGTTATTCAGCAAATTTAACTATCTTCAGGATTTGTGTTACTCTTGTGTAAAATAATAACAACTTGTCGAGAGGAAGGGGTGGTTAGCCTCCCCAAACAACCATATTGGATTTGTCCATGGACTTATTACAGTTTGGGAAATAACTAACTTCAAACTTCATGGTTGCATGATTTTCTTTTAAACTTCAGTAATGCCGGCGTCTGAGATTTCAGAACCTGCATCCCCACCTCGCCGCCCATCTAGAATAGGCGTTGGTAAGTCTTAATGATTTGTTCTCTGGCATCATTGACCTATCGCCGTTTGTGAACTAGTCACGTCCTCAGACAACCCTATGGAGTTTTTGTACACTAAGTTTTGTTTGTCTCAGATTTTGCGCGTTCCGCGTCCATGACAAATAAAGTTGTTTTTGCAGTTGCTATATCTCTTGTAACGCAAAGTTATTCAAGTTTTGAATGAGGCATGGAACAAATAATGTGACGAATGTGTAGCTATGGAATAATTTCTTTTAAAATTTTCAAATGATGCTACCTGACAAATAACTCAATTGTTGCTTGGAAGACTAGTTCCTGCCAACCTATCAGTTCCATTACTTTTTTGATTCAAGGTTTATCTGATTGTGACCCTTACTCTTTTATTCTCGACTGTTTCAAGCAACATCGTTACCCTTCGTCAAAAGTGTGGGACCAGTGTCTGGCTAGCGCCACCTAACGGCCAGATGTAAACGACTTCTTGAATTATAAGCTTCAATTAACAGGGTTTTGTTTTTTGGGGGGGGGGTGCTGTTGCCCAAGAAAGTAGTTTTTCAGGTGAAATGAAACAAAGGGTAAACTTTGGTCATTTTATACACAGGGCGACACAGCCTCCATTCTCGCCCCATCCAGGAAACTGACATAGGTGAGTTTAGTTCTCTTTGTTTTGAGGTTCCATTATACTTGAGAACCATTGTCATCAAACCCAACAACAAAAAGAACAATGATACCAACAACAAAGAGAGTATAAAGGGACCTAACATAACAGACAACAATGATTTTCAACGACAAAGAGAAAAAATGTTACCCCACAAGCAACAAAACAATGGTACCGAACAAGAAAGAAAAATACCCAACTTAACAACAAAGAGAACAATGATACTGAACAAAACTTTATTTGTGTGGGGGTTCATGAAATGTTCTCTTTGTTAAGAGGGCTAGTTGTTCTCTACGTTCTAGGGTACCTTTCTTCTTACTTATTCGAGAAGAAAGGGGACTCATATGTTTATTTTTGTAGGGTACAACTGTTGTTTTTGTTGTTTGGTTCAATTGTTCTCTACATTGTGGGGTACCATTAATGTTCTTATGGGATTCATGTTCAACAGCAAATGAAGTTGCCTAAATTTGCTCTCTTTGTTGTGAGGTACCATGCTTCTCAGCAATAACACAATTCTTGCTGGGAAGAGTGGTTCCCGTCACCCTATTAGTATAAATACTGAGGAACGGTCTACCAGCCAGGCAGATTTATTTGTGCACAAAAGCCTCCCAAAGAAAAGCTTTTTTTTGGGGGGGGGGTTGCTTTTGCCCAAGAAGGTAGTTTTAAAGGTGAAATAAAACAAACTTTTCAACTTTAAACTTTTAAACCTCGCCGACATAACGTCTCTCATAACATGGGTGAGTTTAGTTCTCTTTGTTGTGGAGCCCCATTGTACTGAGGAACTATTGTCTGATAAAACCCAACAACAAAAAAGAACAATGGTATACCCAACAACAAAGAGAACAATGCAGAGTTGTAACAAGTGACTGCTTTTGCGACTTTAAAGAAGTGACTCGACTCTCACTCGAGTAGAGTCGAGTCGAGTCTATAGGTCAAGAAGGTCGAGTCGAGTCACAGTGTGAAGTCGAGTCGAGTTGAATTAAATACAAAACTCGAGTCAATTCGAGTCACGAATATTTTAAAACGATGTAAGAAATAAAAGCAAGAACTGTATACCAGTTAACAAGAAGTGAAACTTCGGTTATATAGGTTGGTTTGACTTGGGATCTAGAATTTTTTTCGCTGATCGCTGACAACATCCAAACCAAATTGCATTATACAAAACTGTTTCTGATTATTTAAAAGTGGGCATGTATCTATTCAATTTTTAAAAGGAGGGCATACTGCCAGCGTTCTAATCCAAGAGCTTAATATAAATCGCCCAAAGCCAATGATAAAACTATGATTTGGAAAATGTGTTAGGCCTAAGTCCGGTTCCGGGGTATTGTGTGCGATCCAGAACCAGATAATGGAATTCTGTGACACGCTGTATGTTTGTACACGGAAAGTGGCTGCTGTACCGTACTATATTAGCAAATTGACGTGAACATTTAACCGTTAGTCATTGCAAATATTTTTCGCAAAGCTTTACTTTTATTTTTGGCCCAGACTCGATAATTACTAGCCTTCGCTCGAGTCGAGTCGCTCTTCCGATTTGGGACTCGAGTCAAGTCGAGTCATTGTGCTCGCAGTGATTCGAGTCGAGTTGAGTCATTTGCTGGCAGTGTCTTGAATTGAGTCATTTAACCTCAGGGACTCGAGTCGAGTCGATTCACCAAAAAGTATGTGTTTATAATTGTGCCCAAGAAGGTAGTTATTCATGTAAAATATATAACATAAAAGCGAAAACTTTGATGATTTACCGCACAGGTCCATCTCAACGACGGCCCAACCGTCAGAAGAAGGGTGAGTTCTAATTCTCTTTGTTGGTACCCAAGGGCGGATCGGGGAAGGGGGGGGGGACGGAAGCCATGCCCCCCCCCAAACAAAGAACCCATTTGTTTGTTTAAAGTGACGTCGCACTAAAGGCAGGCACTGTGTACACCACCACCTTTTCTTCACAAAAAGATGAGATTAAAGTGGTCAGAAATTACCTCAGGATCGTACTACAGAGCATCTAGAATCCAAAAATGGTGTAGAGCCCTAGCTTAACCCTAAAAGGGCCGGGTTATTTTGACCATCTCTCAGCCGGGGGGGGGGGGGGCGGATTCCGCCCCCAAGATCTAGACCATCGAGTGACGAACAATTTTGAAACTCGGTACATGCATAGAGCAACTCATCATGAACATACCCAAGAAATTTCGTCACTATAGGTCAAAGGGTTTTGGAATTATGGCTAATTAATTATTCATATTTTTCTTATGGACGAATGGTAATTCTGCTCTGTGTACACGACGTTTATGGGAAAATTTAGTTTTCACGACGCGTAGCGCCGGAATTTTTTAGTAACAAAGTAACAAAGTAAACAATTGTACCCAACCGTTAATGTTCTTAAGGTATTCAACAGCAAGTGGGGTTCCTTTGCTCTCTTCGTTGTGAGGTAGCACAATAACTCAATTCTTGCTGGGAAGACTGGCTCCCGTCACCCTATCAGTTTTAATATTAGGGAACAGTCCACCAGCCAGACAGATTTTTTTGTGCACAAAATTAGCCCCAAAATCAAGGGAGGGGAAGGGGTTTGCTTAATTTTGCCCAAAGAAAGTAGTTTTTCACAAAATATAACATAAAAGTCTTAACTTTGGTTATTTACCACACAGGTCCATCTCGCCGACAGCGCGAGCGTCAGAGAGGTGAGTTCTAGTACTCTTTGTTGTTGGGTTCCATTAGCCTGTTTAATGTGGGGGTACAATTAGTGTTCTCTACATTCTGGGGTACCATTAATGTTCTTATGGTATTCAACAGCGAGTGGGCCATCCTGGCTGTCTTTGTTGCGAGGTATACCATCGTTGTTTTTGTTGTTGGGTTCCAATATTAGTGTAATCAGGGATGCCTGTTTTCAGGCTACATTTAGTCTGATTTCAGGCTTTTTCATGTTTTTAAAAAACAAACTCAGGCATTCCATCCCTTTGCACGAAGGACAAATTAATCCTCATGCAGCACGTACAGAGAAAACAATTGTGCATGGGATTCCCATTGTAATTACTAGCTCGATGCACGAATGTATGAATTGTAAGTTCAAGGTAGACATATTGAAGTGTGATCATTGCAATGCGTTTATGGTGTATTGCGATCGTTTTGTGCGTGCTTGCCTTCTTCCACATCAAACTGTTCAGGCCCTGGAGCATGAACTCTCTGGCATTCCTTCTCTTTGTTGGGGTACCATTGTTCTCTGTATTCTGGGAAGCCATTGTTCTGATTGTATCCAGCAACGAATAGGCTACTCTTCTCTTCGTTATTTGGTACAAAACGTTATTTCTAGTGTGTATTTTCAGACGATCCAATATATAGAGATCCAATAAATAGAGGACATGTTGGTGATCATATGTCAGGTAAAGATATTTGATTTATTGTGCAACACATTCCCGTAACGTTTTCGTCCAATTTCCCTCTTTTCCCGCTAAATCCAAAGGGCCGGTATCTTTACCTCGGATTAAAGAAGTCACTGACTGACTGACCGACTGCCAACCTGCCTTACTGACTGAATGCACCTGCAGCATGGGGGTGGGGTGCATGGGGGCGTGCCCCACAAATATAGAGCACCAAGAATTTTGTTTCTCAAATTAATGTTATCACATGAGGAGTACAGAAAACTGTTTAAACCAATGCTACTCACCCTTGGTCCACTATATGGATATATTAATATGAATGGAAATTCCATTGTTACTCACCTTACACTTTTTGCATTAATATTCCGAGTGTTGTTTCCTTCAAACTATTTGAATTACGCCCAATTTTGAAGGCTTTTCTCTGATGACAATGGTTACAAACAACTAAAAGAACAATTCTACAATACCCAACAGCAAAGAGAACAATGGTATCCAACAACACTTCTTGTGAGGTTCATTACTGTTCTCTTTACTGAGAGGAGTACCATTATTCTCTACTCTCTAGGGTATAATTAATGGTCGTATTATATTCAACAGCAAGTGGGGTTCCTTTGCTCTCTTACCGAGGAACCATTGTTGTTTTTAATTATTGAACGTCAAAAGTACGTTTTTACTACATATATAGCTTTTTACTGTTTGTAAAGTTGTAAAAACGTTTATGGCACGTCAGTTGGTGGTTATGAACGTCCAAAACGTTTTATGTAGGTCCTTGGCATGTCTTTAGAATTGTAATACGTTTTGTACGTTCCACTAACATTCTAAGAATGTTTAGGGCTCGTCAGAAATTAATCATTGTCCGAAATGTTTTATATAGTCACTAGTAACTACTAGTAAGTTTTTAATGGTTTCTGACGTTTCAAAAAAACATTCTTAGAACGTTGCCCCCCCAAAAAAAGTTAAAAAAAAAAACGTTCAAGTGTCCACAAACTGCTGTCCTAAAAACTTTTTTTAGACGTTCTCAAAACGAAAGAGGTATGTTCGGAAAACGTTCAGAAAGTGTTTAATAGTTTGCTGGGTTGTTGTTCAGTTCTAATATTCTCTTTGTTGGGGAACCGTTCTCATTGTATCCAGCTACGATTTGGCACTATTCTCTTTTTTATTTGGTACCAATGGTTATTTCTTTTGTGTGTTTTCAGGTAGAGGACTTGTTGCTGACCATGTGCCAGGTAAAAAAATGTTCGTTTTATTTGTGCACGCATTCCCGTTAAGTCTAATTTGAACCAACGTCGGGAACAAAGTAATTGTCGATGTTTTTGCGACCTGAGTTTTCCTGTCGCGGCGCAAGCAAATCGAAGGTCGATCCGAGACCGGCTTGAGGCACTGCATCTCGCAACTATGAGGAAACCTGAAGAAATATGTAGGAGAAGACAATTAAATGAAGAAATTACAGTGTATAGGTGGGAGGAAAAGCTCAGAGGAATGATCTGGGGAAAACCCACGGGATTGGGTAGGGACTGATCCAACCCACATGTGGACCAGGGCAGGATTAGAACGGCGGGCCATTGAGGTGGAAGGCGAGGAAAGAACCATGCACTACACCAACTCGACCCTCCTCTGAGATTAACCACTTTTGAAGCTATTTACAAGGGATCAATGTGACAATACATTGGAACATTTTCCTTTTGTGGGAAATTGTATGACTTTCTTTGGTTGGATTCAGTGTGCCATGATTAGGAAGAGGAAGTCGGGGCCACGGAGGATGAAGGAGCAGCTTTCTAAAGGTATTGCAGCCAAAGTGTGTGAGATTTGCTTCTTCATCATATGAGCTGGGGTTTGGAGTGGTGATTGTTTTTTTTTTTCATCACAACTACATGAAACACATGTCCTATAATAGAAGGTTTTACATTTTATTTGTTACATGCAGCCATGGGACCACAGCGCAAATATTCTGCTACCTTTGTGATGCCCATGGAGGGTGATGGTGCGTTGTGCTTTACTCTCAAATCAAGACAAGACCAAGTATACAAGCTCATTGATGACCCAGTTGTAGGTGAGTTTGCCGGGCCTCAGTGAAGAGAGAGGGGAAGGGGGCAGGTCTTACTCCCGTTTTAAAGCCTCAGTCAGCTAACAAACCCGTGGACGTTGCTCTGTTAATGTTTTGTCATTGTGTTTTCATTGTCTTTTTTGTCATTGTATTTGTACAAAAATATTACTACTACATCAGTGTAGGCCTATTATCATTGTATTAATATATTTAAGTGCTGTGATAATTTTCTTTTCCTTTTGTCATTGTCTTTTTTTGCCGATGATTTGTTCAGTATAGTGCTCTGTTACTTTTTTTGTCAGTGTATTGTCGTAATAATATTTTAGTATAAACTGCTCTGATAACTTTTGTCGTGCCAGGGTCATTGTCATATTCGTCATTGTATTGTCATTGTATGTATTGATACAGTAGAACCCCCTGTTATTTGTTTGCTCGTTCTATTGTCACGGTATTTGTAGGTTTGACTGTCAGTGGTCGCATGGCAAGTGCCTACTTGACCAATCACCTGCCCAATGGGAATGAGACCTTACCGCTTGTCCTCGACCTTCTGACCTTCCAATATGGTAGCCTTGAAGTCTCCCAAGATGGCATCGCCATCGGCCCAACGGTCACCTTGCCCTGGACTGGGAGCTGGAAGGTCAAAGCGAAAGGCCTGAAAGTCTCAGTCAGGACTGGTCAACAGCTGACCGTCCGGGTCGGGTCGGACATCACACTGGTCATCCAGAAGCGAGTAGGGAACAGCTCAGAATACAAGAGGGACTTCCTTGGACTTGAGATTAAGAACGGCCAAGGCTTGTCTGATCAGGTGGATGGCATCATTGGTAAGGATTCTGAAGTGTTATAAATTTTGCTAAGTCTAAGTCTAAGATTGTTAAGTCTTTGTGCAAGTCAACGAATAGGACATTCCTCTGAGCCAGTGAGATACGTATGGCTCCATTTTCTGAAAAAAAATACCAGAAAAATCCCGTTCATTAAAGCAATCTAGTACCTTTACATAAATCTCAAAATTAAAGCTGTGACTCGAGTAGAGGCTTGGAGTGTAGCTGACTCATCAGTGTACAATATGGAGTGCCCTGGCCTTGTGGTCTATCTGCAGCATGGAATAAGCCTTTTCGGAGTTCCAACTGCGCGCATTCGTAACCTGTGACAACGCACATTGTTTGTCTCAAATGCCCTTTGACAGTACCCACAATGCACAAGCAGCCTTTTTGTAAAGTCAGTGGCGCGATGATGTCAAAGGCCATGTGAGACAAATAATGCGCGTTGTCATAGGTTACGAATGCGCAGTTGGAACTCCGAAAAGACTTATTCGTGGTTTGAGGTTATTTCTGCAGGGTTTGTGGGTTGTGGGTTCGAGTCCAGCCTGGGGTCGTGGTGCATGTGTCCTTGGGCAAGGCTCTTTGTCACTCATTGCTTCTTTCGGCCCAAAATGGGTACCTGTGAGGGCAGAGATGGTTACTGTGATAGATTTTAGCTGCTTTGGTCGAATTGATAGCATCGAGCTGTATACTCCCAGGGAGCTGAGATTGTGTTTGGATGTTTAATTGGCCCAATGACCAGGGTAATAATTGATGGAGGGCCTTGGGTGCCAATAACATGAATAATGGTGGATAGGTGCGCCAACCTTTTTCTAACTCAGTGAATAACGACTGTGTCGTTACTGGGAAATTAAACACGCAGTAACTAGAGGTTTATCTGACGTTTTACGGGGTTCTTTAGGGTTGTTTGGGGTGCCTCGAGGTTAAACCTTAAATAACTCTCTCCCATTTACTCTCTCCCCTTAAACTCCTTTTGCCATTTCAATGAACCCAGGCCAGTTTGAGCGTCGTGAGATACGTCTGGATGCCGACAGTGTGTCTGGAGAAGGTGACAGGAGGAGAGGTTCCCTCACGGTCGCTGGCCAGCGCCTGGACGTCTGCATCTCAGAGAGGATGGACCTTCGAGAGGACAGAGCCAGGGAGTGCTGGTGGTATGCTGACAGCAATAACATCCTGGAGAACCCACTCAGGCACTACCGCACTTAATCATTAAGCCAACAGGAGACCTGAGGTTAATGGATATATTCAGGCTAATATTGCATTTAGAGGTTCATGAGGTTTTGATATTTAGTGAAAGAGTTTGATATTTTGTTGGAGAACCCACTGGGGCACTACCATGCTATCAGTAAAATGCTTGAGGCTTATTGAGGCATTGACAAATCACTTATCTAACAGCAGACATGAGATGTAAGGATAATTTCATGTAATTTGAGGTATTAAGATGTTCATGAGGTTATGATATTTACTGAGAGATTTTTTGAGGATCGACGAATCCGTATGTAAATCTATGTAAAAGAGGCTTAAGGTCCCCTAAGGTGCCAGGCTTGAAGCAAATTGATTATTGAGGTTCATCACCTATGTGTATTTTTAGAGTCTTTATCAAAACCAACTGTTATTATAAGCATACTTTTGATCGTTTTGACATTTTTTGGTTAAAACTTATTCTTGATCATTATATAGGTCATATAATTGTATATTCTATTTTTTTATAAAAGCATATATTCCATTTGTATACACTTTTTGTGTTGCATTTAATGGTACGTCTTAAGAACTTGTAAATGATTATACATGTATTGCGATTGTGTGCTCTTCACACAAAAATTTAAACTTAAGGTCAAAGTCGTATCCAAACTAGTTCTGTTTAGGCTAACTAAATTTGATGACATGCACAAAAGTCTTCAAACTTTTTTATCAACATGATATATTTTTTTCAATACTCAGCTTCCGTTTTTTTGTATCGTAAAAGACATTATGTAGATACATTTTGTCTGAACACAAGTATTTGTTTTGTCCTTACGGTCTTTAATAAGACTGACTTGTTGAAGGTACTGTACAACAATTTCCCTGCAGTCCCCGTTTGATCCACCCCGAGAATTCTATAACCACATACGCAGAGTGAAACTGTTAAAAGAACGAATTTGAGGTACCGTGTTGAACATTTTTACTCACAAGATTTTGCAATAAAATATAAATTTCATTTGTTTAAAATAGAAATGTATATCAAACACCGAGTGGAAGACATGTTTTTGAGCGTCTGTTTGAGTAAATACAAAGATATCAATTTTCGCGTGGAGAAAAATATCGGGAGAGTGGGGAGTTGGCGCATTAAGGTTTGGAACTCGGAAGACAGTTTTTATTATTTCTTAAAAATATGTAATCAGTGAAAAAAAAGACCCTTTCATTTTTTAAAAGGGAATAAATAGGTCGACGACCAATAAACAATGATGCATAGAACATTAAACAAGGTGCCAAGTCCGAATTATTTGTGCAGTAGCGGATGTACGGGGGTAGACGGTCGTAACCCCTTTGGCCACAAAATAGGAAAATCATGCAGAAAATGTACCACATGCCTTCTACTCCCCTCCCTCTTGACAGCTAGGCCCCACCCCTTATATTTGAGCCGAAGCTGGATTCGCCCTGATAAGGTACGAAAATGACCTCTTGAACTCTTTAAAGGGTTCATGAAATGAATATTTCTTAGGAACATAGGCCTACTTTCACGGTGCCACTTTCTACTCCTCTTTAAATGTATGAATACTATTTGACATCCCTTTTTGGTTAATTTTTTTTTTAGTGAAAATTACTTTTCTTTAAGACAACTGAGGGTGCTGTTGCTGTGATGTCATTTCAGGAAGATTTTGTTCAGTAGGGATTTTTCTGTTCAAATTGTGAACCCAAAAATGTGCTCATTGAAAACACTTGTGAGAAAGATTGCTCATTGGCTTACTGCCATCTATACACGTACTGACGCATCACCAAAGAAAAGAACATTCTCACAGCAAAACATCGAAAATACGGCAGGTCGACGACCGTTAGTTATTTATTCATTTCCAACATCGTTTTTTATGAGAGAAAAAAATGACACTGGAATGATGGAAAACGAGACGACGACCGCTCAATCCGGAATTTGGCAACGTGAATGAAAAAGAAACAACAAAAGTGTATCAAGCTACGCCATATCCGGGTTTCGTCGCAAACCAACTATCTCGATCCTTGTTGACTCAGAGAGAAGGTTTCAAGAAATAGGGTCAAGGTAGTATACAGTAATGACATTGAGTAGCACTGGTATATGGGTCGGTTTATAGAAAATTAAACTTTGGTTGACTATAAAAGTTATCGCGATCTACTGTTTAAGCCACATTCGTCCACATTCTTGCAATAAAGTTGGACCTTGAACAACGAGCGGAAAACAGCAATCACCGACGTCCACTGAATCAACAGCTAATATAATTGTTCTCGTTCTGATTTGGTGTTATAGATAAGGTGAGTTGTTTACTTTAATGCTGAAGATAATTGTTTTCGTAAACAAGACAGAAGGCGGACAATGCATTACTAAAGGCCTATTCAACTTCGGACTTTACAATCGGCCCAATTGCCACACATACTAATGACACTGCCAGTGCTACATTTATATAATTGCGTGTATATAGCATCACATGAATTGTAGTCTGCGACAACTGAAGTTTATCTTTCTTTCGTGAATCCCCGATTTCGGATTTCCAGTGTAAACCATGCATCGACTTAAAGATGTCTTGTCCCTGATCTGGTTCGTGTTGTGTATGGCGTGTATCTCCATTGACTTCAGTGAGGCTGACCCGTGGTACCAGACCGATATCGACACGCCAGCTTTCCTAGCCGTCGACGATCTCATGGTGTTTGAGGTGAGTCCAGGTTGTCATCGTAATTTGGAGGGGCACGCCCCCTTCTGCTCAGCGAGGCCGGTTCCCTTCACCCCCATCCCGCTCGATCGTGACCCCTGCTCAGAATTTGGGGCATGAGGCAATAAATGAGAATTTATTGCTAGAAACCTATATTGAGAGCCCCCTCTTTATGCAGAAAATGAGCCCCCACCAGTCCCCACCCCCTACAACTTGACCCCGGCTACGACACTGGTTTTAATATTTCATAAACACATTTATTTTGATGTAAACCAAGCTAGTACTACAAACGAACGGTTTTATTAAACATAACATTAATTAACAGAGCTAGCTAAGCCTAATTAGGCTTAGCTAGCTCTAAAGGTCAAACTCCAAGTGGGCTTAAAAAGGCATATTAATTCATTGTCATGTGCGAGATACTGAGACGATTAGAGTCATATGTTTGAGGCTTTCAAACATCTGTTTTTGCTGGTGTAGAGAGCTAGCTGTAGTTGTGCCTTTCTTATTGACTACTCACTCTCACTTGTGATTAAGGCAGTGCCATCGTAAATGATAACCCTGTTACGTCAATCAATTTAGATTGTGTTATCCGAATTTGTTTTTGCTATAATTGTAAACTGTTAAATGGGATGGTGCCGAGACTCAATTTGTTTCGAATTGTGGCTTAAAACATTAGGGTACAGTTAATCAAAAATTTTAAACTATTCACCAGAGCAGACTGATATTAATTTGTAATTAACTTCATTTGATTGCTTTCATTTCAATTTGCAAGCTCCAAAAATGACGATTTTTACTTTGCTATCAATCTAACATGGCCGACTCGCGAATAATTAGGCATTTGAGCTAAATCCGGCTCATTTTATAGACAGATGCATGAAAAGACTTCCAGTGAATTAGAGCGACCCTTGGAATCAATGAAATCGTGTAATTAGCCCTGTGGGACATGCTTTACTTATTCTGCCTATTATCTAACTTATTTACGAAACGTTTATTTTTCGTATCGCCTTTCCTCGCATTTACTGATAAAAACTTTGATTGCAGTTTTTTACGCGCTTTAATGAGGTCAATTATAAGTCATTTCCGTATGTAGTATATTTTTGCTCCTACCAGAACTTCGTCCCGATGTGCCACTGTGCTTGAGTTGAGTAACTGAATGAAAATATCTATAAAATAAAATTTTGGTTTTTAGACATTGTTCTTTGCAAAAGTACACTACGCTCAGTGCGCTGAGCGGTGTTAATGTTCCGCATTTCTTCGAAAGAGAACCGTTCGCTGAACTAGCTACGCAGTATAGTACGACGTACATGCAGACCTTGAACCTTGCACCTACGACCCACTTTAAGTGCGTGTGGTGGGGGCCAATGTACGAGAACAAGGTCAATGTGAAGTTCGCTCGAAAAAAATCACGCTGGTTGGCACAAGTGAAGTCACGTTCGGCACAACCACCAATTTCACGGAAAAGAAAAGAAGAGTCACCGTACGTGGTCCGTGGAATCATGCGGATGTGGCTTGTATTCAGTCTTGTTCCTCCGTCTCAAGTGTTTTAAGGGATTCGAACACAAGTATATTTTGAACATCAATGCAATCAAAAGTACGTTTGTTTGAGTTGGATATTAAGATGTAAAAACATTCTCTGATCCAGTGTGGATTTCGCACAATTGTAATTTTAGAGGACTGAAGTATATATTTTCTGCAATTTATCTCAATTGCTTGAAGCAACATCAACATAAAACACTATTAAAACAAGTGGAAACTCTTCTGAAACATACGGTGAAAATTTGTAGAGTTTGTTCAGTCATGTAGATTTAATGGTATATAGGGATTATTTTTTAATTTGATGTAACTTAGCGTGAAGAGAGAGCAGCTATCGGCGGGAGCGGGAGCGGCATGGCTTCCTCTGGGGATGGCTTCCCATGGGAAAGGGAGGATGAAGTAAATGTAAGTCAACGCACAGTCCCCCATCTTCATTTACTTATTTATTTTTTTAAAAATATGATTCGCCATGCATTGTACAGGGATAAGTAAAAAAAAAAAAGAAAAGCGGAACCCAAACCCCCAAAATATATTTCATATTTAAACAATATGTAGCACCAAAAATAATAATGAATGGAAAACCCATTTCATAAACTACTTTTAGATGAAAACTGACTGTAATTGCTCAATCCGTTCAAAGAATATCCTCATTTCAAATGCAATGCCCCTAAAAACTTTTTTGGACGAAAGAGGTTTTAGGGTCATTGTGTTTAAATGGTGATATACTTTGAATATCTTTGGATTGAGCAATTTAAGTAATTTTTTTCATCTAAAAGTAGTTTATGAAATTGGCTTTCCAATCATTATTACTTTCGGTGCCAAATATTTGTTAAGTAACTATGAAATATATATTTTTTGAGGTTTGAGTCCCGCATTTTTTGACTCGCCCTGTATTTTAAAAAGGAAACATTGTTCTGAAGGTGATGTGCGTTTTTATTTGGATGATATCATTGAGGGCGCTTGGGCGCTTTATAGATCTACTGGCGGGAAACTGAAATGGCGATTGTAGCTTTGGTACATTATGAACAAAACAAAGCGAACATGGGTTGTTGAGCAAACCATGTTGAAAAAGCGAATGAGGGGCGAATGAGGGCTGTACAGACGCAATTAGGCTACTTACTTCAATCTAAAAACTGAAGTTGTAGAATGATATTTTAAATGATAGAAACATGTAAATATACTCCATACATTTCATAGGATTCACATGACATTGTTTGTCGTTGCAGCTGCCCAATTAATAAGGCCCATTGCCAAGATATCTTTGTCGCTAAATGGACCAACATTACATCTTCCTATCATATTCCTATTTTGGACTCATGATCTTCCTTTTTTTGAACTCGTTAAACTTTAATCTTGTTGATGTACGAGAACAAATTTGCTTTGAACTTTGAATCCAGTGCTCAAAGATAAAAACCGCCACCAATCAGACATGTTATTTTCAAACAGGTCGTTGAAACTCCTGACCCCGTCCGAATACGCAGTCTCCGTGTGACGTCATCGGTGACGGCTCGCTATGCCAAGACGGTGGTCACCAGTCACATGGTCAATCCGACCAATCAGAGTCTGGAGGCCACTTTCAAAATGGAGCTGCCCGGAGAGGCGTTCATATCCGGCTTTCTGATGTAAGTGCAGTGTAACCCCCCCCCCTGTTCGAATTTGCAGCGTTCACGGCTTAGCTTCTTTGCACATGCGCTTCGTGAGGTTGTCGTATGAAGTGGTGAAGTGGAGGTTAAACTGTTCGCTCAATAAGCGGGTTGCTGATTAATTTAATACGAGAAATACGTGATAATTAGAACGAGGAATTAATACTGCTTTCTATTTTCAAAATGTAAGTATTTTTCAGGGCGGGTATGTGTTGTGCACATACCTCTTCATCTAAATTATTGGGGAACACCTATCGACGGGGTTTTCCGAAACCTCGGCTGGGTTGCGGCTAAGGCTTTAAGAAATTTAGTTCCCTGACTTAATTATAGGGATTCCGACTCGTGTGGCTCGATGGTTGGCTTCAGGAGTATCACATTCCATATAACGAGGTCACAGTTAAGATTATGTTCGTTTTGTTTCTTCAACGAGGGCCTCCAAATGTTTTTTTAGGTCCTATGGAGCCGACTCGGAGACGACGCCGGGGCCTCGAAAATCAGGATCCATCCAGCTCATGCTTCTTTTGGGTGAAAATGTAAATTTTTCACTGTTTTATGTGCCTTTCCGCAGAGAGACTGAAGGCAAGGTTTATTACTCGATAGTTGACGAGAAAGAGAAAGCTCAGAGGACGTACGATGCTGCAAAGGAACAAGGACAGACAGCTGGCCAAGTCAAACAAACGTGAGTTTCAGACACATTATTTGAACCCAACTAAGAATTTTAATCGAGATATAGGATCGTGTAATGAACTAGATAACGACGCCATTGTCATTTCTCGGCTCACCTTTTCCCCGTACTCAGGTCGGAGAAGAAGAATCTCTTTGCCATATCCATCAATGTAGCGGCGGAGAGTGAGTTGTCATTCAATATGACATATGAAGAACTTCTGAAGCGTAAAGACGGCCATTTTCAGAACGCAGTCGCCATTTCACCCGGACAGGTTGGTATAATTATAAGAGTTCGATCAAAGATTTTTGGTCATCTCGTGGTTGATTCGTGATGTACACTGTGCCTGCGCATTTAATGAAAGTCAAACACTGATAATGGCGAAATTCAGATAACCTTTATAATGGGCCTGTCAATCAAACAGTGCACCTTAACCAATCAGATCATGACTTTTGATCAGGTGACCTCGGGAGTCGGAAACAAAGTTGGCAAAATTAAAGGTAAATGCACAACATTTGCGTTTGCTGAAATTTTTAGAAATGGATCGATTTGGGGTTTAGTATTTTATGGCAAATTTTGTTACACTGACTTTCTATAGATGCTGGAAAAACATAATGTTCTTGTAGTCTGGTTCCCTGACCCTACTTCAGACAAAATTGAGCAATTTATAGACGTCGGGGAATTGTCAGGTCAGGGAACCAGACTAGCTACTTGCACCCGTTCCCGGGTGTGTAACATAAACAAATGTGGACTAACTAAATTTGGTGAATTGGGGGCAGTATTTGAAAGGAAAACAATCCAACGATGGTCGGCCGACCATCGTTGGAAATCGTTACAAAAAAATCCACTTTTCTTGAAAGTGATGAGAGCACACCAGGTGCTTTGATTTCACAGGATGTTTGAGACTATTGTTAACTTACACTTAAAGTCAAGTAAGGTATTTCATAATGAATTGGTAGTTTTGGTTTTTGATGTTTGCAGATGTTCTATATCACCTTTAAGTAGGTCTCAATGAGAAATGTACCAAAGGTGGGCGGAGCTCATTGCGAAATTCAGAACGGTATTCTATTGCAGCACAGCGCTCTACATTTTTTTTACTCGTTGTGTAAACAGATTATAGACCATCTGCTGGTGGTTGTCCACATCACCGAGCCACAAGGCCTGGAGGAAAACAAACTGGATTACTTTGTGGAGCGCCCTCAGCTGTCGGACAGAAGTAGGAACGAGGAGGTTTTACGCCCTCTGTGGGCAGAGACCAAGCATCTTCACGGCTCGAAAGCCACAGTGCAGTTCCATCCCAAACGGGAAGAGCAAGAGGCACTTTCTGCATCCGGGAACCTGGGCAAGTTTGTGGTGCAGTATGACGTCATCCACGAGCAAAATGCTGGTAATATCGAGGTACGTGTTGGGTACCCAGGAAGGGAACCCGAGAGAATGTGTGAGATGTTATGGAGGGCGAGATTTTGCGAGAATGTGCAAGAGTGTACGAGAGATTACCGCACCAAACCGTACTTGAATAGGTATAACAATATGCATAACAAGACTACCAGTGGGCCTAAATACCTATTCGGATCACACATTGTGTGCGCTCTCGAACCTGCTTTACCAAGCCTTCTCTTTTTTTTCTCTGTAGATTGTCAACGGCTATTTCGTGCACCACTTTTCTCCTGCGGGATTCAGACCCACCCAGAAGAACGTGGTCTTTGTCCTGGACACCAGCGGATCGATGTCTGGAACGAAGATGCGGCAAACCAAAGAGGCGATGGACACCATTCTCACAGACCTGCGGGAAAAGGACGCCTTTGGTATCGTGACTTTTGAGACCGTGACGCAGAGTTGGAGACCTAGCCTCCTCCCTGCGAGCCGGGAGAATGTAGCTGCCGCTAAAGAATACACAGGCGGATTGAGTGCTGGGGGAGGTTGGTTTTTTGACTACACAATGTTACTGTGTTGAAGTTAATTGTTAAAAGCCTAACAATGGAAATTTAGCTAGTATCACTATTTTGATAGGAGACTATAACAGTTCATTCGGAGTCAGGGTCTCGCCTTGTCTATAGAATATCTCCTTGCACAGCATGGGTATATAGTATGCGAGCAGGCTCGATGATTATGCAAAACAAGACTGCGTCTTGACCTCGAGATTCTGACTATTTAGCGGGCGCCTTCTATCAGGTCTTCGGTATTAAGCCTGTTGTTGTATTATAAAAACATGGCAGCCAATCAACAGCTTAGTCCACATTTTCTGATCGAAATGACGTCACAATTTCTAAAGTCGACTCTGATGGGTTGGCGCACGGGATAAAACTTCCATGATAACATTTCAAGCAAAAAACTATATTTTTCTAAGCTCCTTCGAAATTTACTATTCGGGAAAACTCTGTCAGTACTCTGTCAGAATCTTTTTTGGAGAACAACCTTTTACATAAACCTATCTTAAATTTGTTCCCTAGGTACGAACCTGCACCAAGGACTAGTCGACGCCATTGGCATGTTAGAGGAAGCGGAAGCCAACGAGCTGTCAACCTTTGGAACCTTCTACCTGATCATCATGCTGACGGATGGTGCTCCCACGGCCGGAGAACTGACCAGGCCAGACGAGATCAAGTCGGACATCCGGCGCCGACTGGAGAGCCGATACTCCCTCTTCTGCCTGGGGTTCGGTCGCGGCGCCGACTACCCGTTCCTGGAACAGCTTTCCCTTCAGAACAAAGGCCTGGCCCGGAAAATATACGAAGACTCAGACGCCGGGCTGCAGCTGGTTGGCTTCTTTGACGAAGTGGCCACTCCGTTATTGGTCAACGTCCACATCAAGTACTCTCCGGACATGATGGTGACCAACAGCATCTCGACGACCCTGTTCCCGACTTATTTCGAGGGGACGGAGCTGGTTGTGGCCGGCCAGTTGGATACGAACAAGACCCTACCGGATAGTATGTTTTGCGTGGTGACTGCCGAGACACAAGACACAGAAATCAAGCTGGAGATGACAGTCAACGTCAAGGTACAGTTTTATTGATTTTTTTATTCATTTAAATTCTTTCTTTAATAAAACCAAGGAGTCTTCAAAGTTTACATGCACTGTAGCTCGACAACTGAAGATTTCGTTTAGTTGAAGACGATGAAGAAATATTCAGTGTACGGCGAGACAGGAGGAAAATTCTAACGATATTCAAGGAAAAACTGTAAAGAAATCGGATGGGGAATGAAAACTAAATCCTGGTAACAGACATGGAAAGTGAGCAAGTATCAGTGCGGCAACCTGAATCTCCCATAAACTCCAGAGTAAATTATCTCATGCTCTTGGGAGCTAATTAATGTTTGTATAATATGGACGGGTTTGACCAATCCTGCTTCTCAAGGAGTTCTGTCATTTGACATCTCAACCATCCCGTTAAAAATCTCGTTTCTTCGAGCAGGATAGGCCTAGCCTGCAGCATATTATAAGTGATGCCATTTGGTACAAGGGGTTAATTGACAGTACGTGTCCTATATAGCTGGCACCCATTCTGTCATGTGCAGTTGTTGAGGTATTAAAACTGTCCAGCTTGGGGACACACTTATTGTTGTCCGCCGTATACGGACATACTCCTGGTGAGTCAAAGAGTCAATGAGAGTAATGCTTTTGTTGGACCCTAAGGGTCAGGGCAAGAACTGTCCAATAATTGAGTCAATAACTGACTGAATAACGGACTGACTGACCGACTGACTGGCTCATTTAATATTAAACTAGTATCCTACATTTAAAATTAAACTCATATTCTAAACTGAAAGTGTTGGGTCCAAATAAACTGTTATCGCTTTTGTCCAACAGGAGGAGAGTGACGTTATTTTCGATCCACAGGCAGTTGACGACTTTGCCCAGCGCCTGTGGGCCTTCCTGACCATCAAGGAACTCCTGCGCAAGCGCATTGCGGCCGAATTGAGAGCCGAGAAGCAGGACCTGACGCAGAGGGCGCTAGAGCTGTCCCTCAAGTACCATTTCGTGACCCCACTGACCTCTCTCGTGGTGGTCAAACCGGACGATGACCCCGTGGTTGATGCCGTGGAACCATCCGAAGACGATATCGCACCAGAAGGAGGAAGTAATGATGCAATTAACAATTGTTGACTGCTGTGATGTGGTATATGACGTTCGCCTCGTGTGCTATTATCCCCGAGGGTGTTCAAAACGCCATATATACCACATCACAGCAGTCAACAATTGTTTTGTTATACCTCTGTCTTGGATTGTTTGGATTTTGAAATAAAAATCACGAAAACAGACAGCAGTAAACACAACAATCATGACAATCGAACGATGCGTGTTGCGTGCTCGAAACAGCTGATCGTCGGCCAGTTCGCTGCTCCCACTCATGCGTGAAAACATTGTGAAAATAGCGTGGGTACCAACGATACAAGTACTTGAGCGCCGTACATACAAAGTCATAGCACACTGCCTGTGGGATATCACGTACGTAATATCCAACAAGGAGTGTGCCATGACTTTTTATAAACTGAACACGTGATCGTTCTAGGCCAATGAAAATTCAGCATTCGGGACAGAGATATAACAATAAAAACTACTTAAGGCAATAAAACAATAAATGTATAAATTACAAAGATACGCAATTACTTTGTTAAAAACAATTGTACAACAAATAAGGGAGGAAGCAAACAATCAGTTTTCCCCATTTGGCATGTCAGGATGCCAATCTAAACTTACTGGTGCGTTCGAGCATGTTATACTCTAGCTACTCCCTAGTGCGGGAAAACGTTCGCTCGTACCCCCGCCCTGCAAGCAGGGCGCTGAGATACGCTGATTAGGGATGGCATTTAGGTATTAATTTATCATGATCTATGTATAAAGCATCTGTCTGCAGCCGCAGCTAGCCAATGCGCGCAAATGCTATCCGAAAATTTCTCATTGAAATGCACACATTCCATACCGGATGTTATTTCTTTTTCATTGCGGACCATGTGGACAAATTCTGAGCGTCGCGTAATATGCAATTGACCCTTCGTGAATTCGAAACGGAGCCTGAGCAAGTGACGGGAATTGCAAATTTACAACACGGATAAGTTTTACAGATTTTCCTATATTGTTACGTTTTTCAATGAAAAAAAAACACCCCACATTGGAATAAAAGAGTGATGACCCATTCTTAACAGCCATTGCAAACCTTGCAGGGTCGTGGCTGTGATGACTTGCATGTCACTAGGTCACCAAAATGTATCCAATCAGAGGGTGAATTCGTCAGCGTATACCCTGTTTGCAGGGCGGGGGTACGAGCGAAGGGAAAACGCTGCGTGCGCATTACTCTCGGTGCAAGAGTATACTCGGCGGGTCGTACTCCTGCCGTTCGTCCGCTCAGGAGTATAGACTCGTGTTAACACAAGTAGCACGCTCTAACGCACCCTTTATGAGATGGTGAGAAGACATATGGGTCATCTGGTGCCTCTGAAAATCTTTCAAATATCTAACGATGTTATTGATTGGAAAATGTCTGGTCGAAATCTCTGATGCCATCACCATTTACAATCAGACAGAGACGATGACAGTAAACGTCTGAATAAGGAGGGGAAAAGACCTGTCTTTAAATAGGACGTCCGGTACATGCATGGGGACGATAGGATTGTCAAAAACCAAAACATATACCTTAGCAGGGGTTGTCGTCTGTTATTTTATAATCGCAAAACGTTTGCTCGTCTATATACAAGCGATACAAAACCATTCCCTATAACTCTAGTAAAGGTCTGATTTATCGGATTGTTTTTTTTTTCGTATGCGCAAAGATCGATTTTTCCAAACAATTTCCAAAAGTTGGAAAAACCAGTCAGTTTCCCCCTTGATTTACTATTCAGGTGCTCCCGGCGCTAGTTCGCGTGGCGGAGGATCCCCCGCATCCGCTGGTCCCGTTAGTCCCGCCGGCTCTGGTGGCCCCACCGCATTCGATCTTCGTAAGTACACCATTAATTAATTTCTATCGGTTTTCCCGACCAATTTCACCAAGTTTTCATTCAATTTAACGCCTGGCTCATTCAATTTAGATTGAAATTGAAAGGTCACGCAGATCGACATTCAACAATCAAAAAGAATCTTTCAGTTTTACAATCCGAGCATTCTATCGCCTTTTTGCTTCACTCGTCCCTGTAAAAGATGCATTTCATTTAAAAGTATCGCGTTCTTCATTCAATTTCGTCTGAATCAGTAGTAAGGGGTTGATCGGGCATTCCTTTTCACTAATGGGCAAACATATTTCACATTTTGTCAAGCATGTTTTAAGACTTCCTGCATGAAATCATACACGATGTCTTCAATCCGTAAATGCACACCTCTCTTTCTTATTTAAAGGGTCTGTGTAATGAATTTTTCTCATGAATACATTTCGTGCAACTTTTTCCTACTCTGAAATGTATGAAAATTATTTTGACATCCTTTTTGGTTTGTCTTATGTACTAAAAGTGTTGAGGGATGTAAGAAAATAACAAATAAGGAAAGAAATGCGGCTTGCATTATCTGTATGTCTAGACATATCAGACGTTATACAGATAAGACTTGCTCCGTAAAAAAAACGGGTGATACTCAGACTACTGCTTTGTACAATAGCTTGCAAAACGATCTGGGGTACACGCTACCCTGTGGAGACATGCGTAGGGAACAAAAGATTGTATATGTCTCCACAGGGCAATTTCTATTGGTGAATACGTCTCCACAAGGTTATCACGTTTTACTCAAAAACTAGGAATTTTCAAGGTGTGTTGATCCGTCGCAAACTGAAGTATTTTATGTAAGGGTTATTAAGTCCGAATTTCAGCCCAGGAAAATAATTAATTCTGGTGATAGGAGCATTTTGAAACTACACTTTCAAACTCTAAAATTGTAGTATACGAGAACAAAGAAATGACTCCACAAGGATACAAATTCCAGTATGCGTGCTTTTGCCATGGAAGGAGGCCTCCGTGACTGTGACAATGCGCTCGGAATAGTCTATAGCTAATAGGTTGTACAAGTAGGCCCACATTTTTCGAATGACGAAGAAGTGTTAAACTAATACCATTTACCGTCTGATGTTTAAATTCTCCTGCAGCAACCGGCAACCAACCGGGCACGTATGTGGACGCCGACCCGCACTTCATGGTCCATTCCCCGCGTGGTAATGTGACAGTGTGCTTCAACATCATGGGCAAACCCGGTGATGTCTTCAGCTTGATAAAAGATCCAGTATTTGGTAAGTTTTGACCAGGGAGTAAAAAGGAATGCCGGAGGGTGATGCAGTGACTTAATTTTTTCTAGGTACAGACAGGGTTGGGCAGCAAAGGAGAGATGAATTGACCGAAGCTAAAGTAGTGGAGGTCGAGATTTTGAAGGGAAAAAGGGTCACGCTCGCTTCCGTCACAGAATCAATCCCACAATGCAATACCGAAACTGGCACCATTAGTCGACTAGTGATTGATTCGTGACGGAACTTACTCCTGCGCGCGTAGAGCAACGGGCAAATGCCTCTAGTCAATCGGACGATGGTCAAAACGTCATCACAGAACTTACTGATACTGGCTCCCTGCTGTGCATTATGATGCGCGCGGCCACTGGTAACCAGCGATGCAACCATGCCCAGTGGTACGGTTCTATAGATTGTTTTTGAAAGTGAAAATTTACTATTGGATTTCACCCTTTACCGACGTGATCTTTTAGCACCGTGTACTCACTAAAATCTAAGTGCTCAGAAAAACAATTCACAAGCTTCAACAAAACTTCACCCTATAAAATTGACTTTTCTCCTTGTACCCAACTTTCAAGGAATCTCCGTCGATGGTCATGTAGAGAACTTTCACCGTCATGACGACCAGTCGGCGAGCACTAGCGAGCCTCCCCCGACCATCTTCGACCGTCTGGTGGTGACTACTGGCGGCGGACGACAGGTCCTGATCACCGCTACCAGCGTGAGTCTTGGACCAGAACTTTCCATGACGTGGGACACCGACTGGGAGGCTGAGTTGGGTGCTGGGGCGAGTGTTGCCGTACGGAACGGCCAGTACCTTGTGTTCCGGCCAAAGACCGGCGTGGAACTGCTTATCATGCGACACGACGTGGCGCGACACCGTGTGGACAAAGTGGATTTCTTTGGTGTGTACGTGATAGACGGCGAGGGGTTTTCTCACAAAGTGCACGGTATCCTTGGTAAGTAATAGATGAGATTTAAAAAAGGGCCATTGGCGGGCAGTGGCTTAAATAGGGAGGGCTACCTGGGGTGCATACATTTTTAGGGCCTTTTTTATGAGGAGCGCTCAGCTCAATAGGTTTTAAAAAGTGAAAGTAATAGACCTGAGACCTAATGACGTCATGGCTTTGCTTACATATGCGCTTTCCTATGGGAGCGAAGTCGGGACGCCAGACAAAGTAGGGACCGTAAGCGCACATGTAAACAAAGAGTGACGTCATTAGGTCTCAGGCCTTTCATGTTTCCTTTAGTTCTGAGTGGGGGCACAAGGGGGAGGGGGATTGGGGAAACTGAGCAGAATGCAGTATCCCCAGGCCAATTGTAAAACGATCGTTTATATATTGTCTTATTGATGGAGGGTCAACCAAACATTGTAATTTAAAAAGTGGTGTCAGCATACCACATAAAAAAAAAAAAAAATCAATATCACGTGTAAGAAAGAAAAACAATTTATACCTACGTAAACGCTTACATTCCAATAGGCCAGTTCCAACGCAGGAAAATCCACCTGGAGCGAAAGTTGGCAACAGTTGACGGCATTCAGGTCAAAGGTCACATCTGGGTGAGAGGTCGACGTATCGAGGTCATCCAATCAGAGAAGAGAGATCGTCTGACGCAAACTGTGGAGCCGTGCTGGTATGCCGACAATAACGCTGAGGGCGTCATTGACGGGACGTACACGGACTACTTAGTTGGGGGCTAAGCAATGTTTGCCGGTCAAAACTTACAAACATTGAAAAACAAATGAACATTAGGCCAAAAAAAAAAAGTCTCCGGTTTCTGGTATGCGCGCGCGTCGCCGTAGCCATGCGCGTCGGTAAAATTAAAAAGTTTTTTTGTCAATGTAAGATGATGTCTCAAAATCGCCAAACTCACTGGTTTGACTGGAATCCTACTGCTGCACAATTTTAACGTGTTTTTAGATGGGGGTAACGAGCGAGTATACGCTGTATGTGGCCTCTGTTGGTTCCCATATATTTTGCACTAAAATTAGTCGGGCACCATATGCAGTCATCAGCCGACATTTGAAGAAAAAAAAAGTAAAAAAAAAAAACACCACTTAGTTTGGGGCAAGCTCCATACCAGAAACCGAAGACTTTTTTTGGCCTTAGCGACCTTAATAAGAAGCCATTTACTGAGGTGGAACCATTGGCGCGCGCAGGTGGTACGCACGCACTTTAAGTGCCCCTTCAATCAATAGAGTTGTCAATTAAGGTACGCGCGCGCCACAAATTAAGAACGCGCGCGACATGCGTGCATGTGAGAGTGGTACCACCTCAGTATTGGCATCGATTCGCAAAAACGTCAACTTTTCGTTTCTACAATCTGTTAAATAATAATGAATATTTTAATCGTCTTTTCTTAAGCGACCTAAGCATGCTAAGTAAGCTTATATACTCCAATACAAGGCCTGAACATAAGACCCAATATAATCTGTACAAAATATATCATTCTGGGTCCTGTCTGTAGACATCGGTGGGTGAAACCAGTCATCATATTGCAGCCCTAAGCTATTCAATAATCTCTAAAGGTTTAAATTGATGGCTACAGATTGCATCAGCATTCTGTTGTTAATAATCACGTGAGGAATGATGTTTTTAAAGTTGATTATTTTGATAATGTTCACCATAACAGCTGGCATAGGCGTATATACTATTTTGGGGGTGATGGGACTGATCCCAAACAACCATTGTCTTCGTTCTTCTTTCATTTTGTGTTCATGGGCGTCGCGAGGTGGGGGGGGGGGTTGGGCAAGGGGGGACGCTTGTCCGCCCCCCCCCCCCGAGAAAGAAAAAAAAGCAAGAAAAAAAAAGAGAAAAAAGAAAAGAAAAAAAAGAAAAGAAAAAGAGGCGCGAAGTCATAGTGGTGTAAATATAATGGGTTGGGGGCATATGTCCTGGCCCCCCTCTAAAATTGATAAGTACAAGAATTTTTTTGGGAAAAATAGGTTTTGCCACCCTCTAGAAAAATCCTGGCGACACCCATGTTTGTGTTCATTGTACTTTATGATTAGTTATTGTGTGTATGCTTTCCTTAAATTTGACTGTCTTTGGCCAAATGATAAACATGCTTAAACAGAGACATTTAAATATTGGAGTTTGTTTAATTAGTCAGATATTTCTAGAAAATAAGCTTGTTTAATGAGGCCTAGTGTATAGCCACGAACCATTTTTTCGTTAGCTCAGAGCAGAATTTTATTATGCCCACGCAAAAACAAAAAGCTATAAAACATTTATTTTTAGATAAGCATAATGTTCCATAAACTCCAAGGACGTTGGAGGCTCCGTCGAACTCCGCATTGAAGTCTATCGATACTGATTCTATTTTTGACTAGCCATAATTATGTGCAGCATTATGCAGAAATGTGCCTCAAAAATGAGATCATGTCTTCCATAATAGCCAATAGGCCTATGTATTTTGCCGAAGCAGCAATTTGTTCAAATAGAATAAACAGCGATGATACACTCGATTTTGTTTTGCTTTTCAAAATTTAGTTGATTTGCTGGCTTTTGAGAACAATAACTGCAAATTAATATTCATTCAGTAAAAGCAGGAAGAACAGGTCATTGAAAGCATTTTTTTCAGCAAAGAGTTGTAGACAATTCACCCTCTCATTTCCAAAATGAGGGTTCCCTCCGTGTTGCAAAAAGGCTGTCGCCCTGTGTGTCAGGAACATATTATATAGGGGGCAGAGAAGTACCCCGCCAGTATCCCTATACACTATATGCGGCTACACACCTATGTTCCGACACCCCTATGTTCCGACACCCCTATGTTCCGACACTCCTATGTGCCGACAACAACCCCAAAACCTAATTCTAACCGGAAGTAAAACAACACAATCTTTTATGCGGGTTGTTGGAACATAGGGATGTCGGAACATAGGGGAGGGGTGTTGGAACATAGGGGTGTCGGAACATAGGGGTGTCGGTACAGTTCCTAGATTACGTTCACTAACACATCCCAAGAATTCCTCAGATTCCGGGAGCACAATGACAAACGAACTGGGCTTTTCGTGGTTCCATATACGGACGGAACCTCGTAGGAACGTGGCTCTACAGATGATGTAAGCAAGCCGTTGGATTTATTTCGTGATCGGGCTGATCGAGTCCCCGACCACCCTTTCCTTTGATCTTGGTTCTTCTTTCTTTGTTATTGGTTGATACTGAGGAACAGCATAATCGTTAACAATTATGTTTTTTGTACGATTTATTCTTTGTTGATGGATCTACGGGATCACCAAGGCGCGGATCAAGGAGGGGGGGGGGGGTCAAACCCTTCAGTTCTGTCAATTTTTTCCATAGAAATTCATTAAAAGTAATGCGAAACACCCCCCCCCCCCGCTCTGACACCCAGATAATTATTCTGGTAATAATGTCCGCCTGTGCACAAAATACGGACAGAGCAAGCTTGGTTAGGGGAGATTTAGTGTTAATAATCGTCGGAATTGAACATCGCACCCATTGAAAGTATGGTACCAGCAGGTCAAAGGTCACATCCGGTGAGAGGTCGACGCATTGAAGACATCCAATCCGAGAACAGATATCGTCTGTCGCAAACTACGGAGCCATGGGGGACTGGGGAAGGCTCTACTACACAGGACACTAGGGTGCGCTGTTTTATGATACAAATATAAACTTGCGCGTTCTTAGTGCCGCAAAACGGTGCATTTAAGGCAGTTGTAGTTTTTGTTCTCATATTTGCGGAACTATTTATACATTTAGACTATCGGAAAGTTACAAGATTACCTGAACTTCGCCATTCCTCTATTTCTTACCACAACAAATCTGGGCCCAATTTCTTGGCTCTGCTAACCACAGAATTCCGCGCTTACGACCACAACTTTTGCGCTAACCGCGCTAGCAGAAAAATTATGCGCTTACCCGTAACGGGATATACGCATGCGCAGGAGCAAAAAATTCCTCGCTAACACGTGAAATACGCTTATCGTAAACACGGAATTTTCTTCTATAGTAAGCAGGTATTTTTCAGTAACGGTAAGCGGAGCCAAGAAATTGGGCCCTGAATCATGGTCAAAAGGTACGGTGGGTATGCCTCCCCTCCCGCGGTATTTACGACCGTTGTCTCCTCGAGCCATTCGTTCGTTAGCTCACAGCAGAATTGTATTATGCTCATGCAAAGACAAATACAAATATAGACCCTTTTTTTCATAGATAAACGTATGTTCTAGAAATTCCATCAAGGACGTTAGAGAGCCCGTCAGACTCAACACTCACTCTATTTTTGAGTAGCCATAATTATGTGCAGCACCAGAAATGCGCTTCAAAAGGTAAAGATCATGGCTTCCATCATAAACCTCTATTTTCCGACCTACAATATGTTCAATATAGGAAACGGCGAACAAACACTGGGTTTATTTTTCTATTCCTTTTCAGGATTTGGTTGACTGGCCGGCTTTTGAGAACAACTTATCAATGCAAATTAATGCTCATATAAGTAAAAACTAGAAGAATAGTTCTTTGTTTTGTGCTGGTTATTCTTTCCGTGTTATCTGTTTTTAAACAACCCATGAATGTGAAACTGTATGGAATATCAATCGTGATCCCAAAATGTACATACGAGTGTGACGTCATGACAACGTTATGTATCAAATTATAAATGACTTTAGTTCAAAACTTACGTACTAAATAGAGAATCAATTTTACACTTTGCAATCTGATGAACAATTTGTCGTGTACGTGAAGTCGCTAGGTCTAAATCAAATCATCAAATGAATTAGAACCACCAGGCCCCGGTCCCGCCCCTGACTCTAACACGTATTAAACGTAGGGTGCATGTACTACTACGACCCTTCGCAATATACACAAAAACACCAAAAAGCTGCTAACTGATAACATCATCAGACGAAGTTTTCCTCTTATATTTTAATCCAGCAAATCCAGAAAATAATATTTCGAACAGTTGCTTGACCTTTACATCCGGAGTAATATCAAAGTTTCTAAATGATCAGTCGTCAGACTGGAAGTTTTCCTCTCGTAGACTCGTACGTTCACCAGAAAATTAATGTGGTCTGTCACAAACCATTCTTTTGTTAGCTCAGAGAAAACATGTTTATTATGCCCGTGCACAGACAAAAACAAAGATAAAAACGTTTATTTTTAGATACGCATATGTTGCATCAACCCCAGAACGTTAGAGACCCCGTTAATTTGAATTCAATTAATTTTTTTTTATTGTGACTGAACAACCACAGAGCTGTTCCGAAAATGCTTTTGATTGTCTATTATGGACAGTAAACAATGGTGTAATGAATTATTCCTCCCAAAAAAAGAAAAAAAGAATGTCGCTTTTCCACCGTGCATTAACCTGTAAAATTAAAAAGATAAGAATTAAAGTTGTATTTTTGGGTAATACCAAAATTGACGGTTACATGAACTTGACATTGTAGATGCACATATTCAGTACAATATTATCAAGAGCGCAAAACATTTAGAAAATGTGTCATCGCATTTTTGAAGTAATGTACGAAAGAATTACCTTATTGAATATTCATGACGCAATAACAAGAAAACAATAAAAGTCATTATAACAGCGAAGGAAGTGAAGGTCACGTGACCTTAACATCGTAAAAAGAAAGTGGTCAGCGTCATTACATAATATTTGACATGTTGTGTACGCAAGAATTACTTCATTAGATATTCATGACGTCATTACAAGACATGTATGTTCGACATTATGACACCATTGTATTATAATAAGAAGTTTGAATGTTGACCTTAAATTTCAATCAGACAAGCTTAATTGTTTTAGGAGAAACGGTCAGTGGTGAAATGATTTTAGTTTAAATATCCTGTAACAC